TCGCTTTTGCAAATGCGGCTTCATGCTTCTTATCCGTGTCGCGGCCCTTTTTCCCCGAGGCGAGCACTTCTTCGATGCTCGGCTAAAATTGTCAAGTGAAAACTTGACCATAACTTCCGTTAGCTTCGAAGTAAGTCCGTCAAGTCTTGAAGCCTAAGCACTAGACTCTAGTGATACCTTCATCTCCTTTTCATAAATCATCAGTCCTCCATTGACAGCCTCTGCAATTTGCGTATCACGGAACCGATCCTTGTTGTGGATCGATTTCTCCTTGCAGCGATCCTGAAAAGAACAGATTCCGCTTTTGACCTGCGAGCCTTGCCTCGAGTGCATGCTTGAAATGGTCGAATTCGCGGGTTTTGTCCTTCTGGTGGCCAAAGAGGGGGCATCCACGGTAGGCCTGAAATGGGTATGAAGCCGAGTGCACTTTTTTGCTACGTCTCCGTCTCTCCCACCCCCACAGGCCGGCCCAGGGGCAAAAAAAAAAAAAACCTCAACAGCTTCCTGAAGCAGCGCCTCTAGTTTAGCGTCGTATTCCCTTGGCGGCAGCGCCCGGTGCCCGTTTTCCTGGACGTACTGGAAAATGGTCGAAGGGTGTTTACGAAATGTGACGAGATTACCTTATCATATCCGTCGGCAAATTTGTCGTTTCCGGCGCTGCGGGCACGCTCGAAGGAGAGACACGATGTGGCCTGAGGGGGGGATGTAAAAGTTCATTTTGCCGACAATTCGCACAAAGTGAATTTTCGCTATGACTTACGGTGAACGCCGAGCCGATGGCGCGGTGGTGGTTGTCCTTGATGTGGGTGATTAAATTCTAGAAAACTCAACCTTGCCTACAGGTTTTTGGGCCAACCTCAACGTGCTCTTTGAGCGTTTGGCCGGTCAGTGCGGTCCCGAGCACTGTCTTCGGCTGCAGGTTGTCCAAAATGTGGTCAGCGCAGCCGCACAGCGTGTTGAGGAAGAGCGCGCCGCAATCTGGAAGGGAGGTCGGGACGCATTTCCAACGCCGGAAGACAACGCATTTGTCCTGCGCTCGTGGCCGCTCCGACGGCACGCAATAGGCAATGCCAGCCAAAAATGTTGTAATGGATTACGGTTTTTTACGATTGCTAAACACTCACGGGGTCAGTAAAACTTATGACCAACGAATCAAGCCAAATCAACGATGCATATGGTCTATGCGGTCTATCTTCATTTTTCCTAAACTCATTTTTTCTAAAAATCATTTTACTAAAAGTCATTTTCCTAAATTCATCAGGTGAATGGAGATGCGTAAAAATATAGGAGGGCGCAAATGCTGTCATTTTTGGTTATCAAAGCATTTAGTTGGCTTTTAGCAAACCTGTTTCGGCTTGATTAATACTTTTCTCTCCCAGTAGCGCTTAGACGATGTCAGGAACATCACATTAATTCGTCTATCCCTTCCACAAAATAACCTGCCTCCAGCTTTGATTTCTCCACTGGCCTGGCGCACATAATCCGATGGCGGCGGCACCGTATAGCAGTCCACTGTCTCGAAGGCATCCAGCACTCCATTCAGAAGATCACGCAATTGTGGAACGCGCTCGGTTTGCAACTATACTCATTTATAGCGTCCAGTGATGGCTCAAACTAACCTTCAACAGTTTTAGGTACTCTGGGTTCAAGCCAGCCTCATTCGAGTCGCGCATCATGATCAGGAAGTGCTAAAATGCAATCATGAAGTTATAGCGGCGCATGCCTGGCCGATCCGCTCGTCGCTCTTCTTGCCAAACGAGATGAAGCCGTTCAGGGCATCGAGGTCTTGCGCGTCAAGCTGGTTCTTGGTGTTGTAGACCTGGAAGGATAGCGTTGGGTTGGTTAGTGCAAGGACAGCTCACGTTCAGCGACGACATCAGCAGAGAGATGGCAAAGATGACGGTAGAGTCGGCAATGTTGCTGCAGTTGTCAAAGGTGCCTTGGGTGTCGAGGAGCATCACTGCCAGCTAAACGAGATCAGGATGTCGTTTTGGAAATCTGTTACCTCGGTGCCGTCACGCTGACGTCGGATGAAAATTTTCGGCCACACCATAATGCCTTGAGTGTGGCGCTGGTAGCCGCCGCGGAATCGGATCCCGTCGCGGCCGCTAAAAAAAGCGTTATGCACAACACGCGCCAGGCATACCCGATATATTCGGTGTCGTCAAACCGGGCGCTGCCACGCTGCAGGGCGCGCAGGAGGACGTTGTTCCAGAACGTCTTGCCCTGGCGGAATTTGCCGGCCGTCGAGATGATGGCTACCTGCGGAAATGGCACTCGGAGTCGAAAACGGGATTTGCCATTGTGCCAATTGCCAAACTGTTGTTCGAAAATTATCTCGCCCTACCTTCCGGTCCCCAATCTGTTGGCACAGGTCGTCGAGGAGTGGCTGGTTGAACTGTGTCGTGCCCTGGTCGCCGATGTTGAACAGCTGCTGCAAGTCCATTTCCCCCTAGAATGTGCGTTAGGTGTTATATTTGGGACAAACTTCTTCCGGAAGGTCTGGGTTGTAACCGGGGCCCGCACCCGGTCTAGCCGGCGGCTTCGGCAGAGCATCGCGTGGCTGGGACGGAGTGGCATTACCGAACCCTTGCGCCGACGCCGCGTATTGAGCGGAGGGCGCCGGAGCTGCGGCGATGTGGCCCGAGCCTTGCGCAGGAGACCCGTGGGCGCCTGCCGCGTTTCGTCCGCCTGCCTGGCTCACCGGATCAACGGGAGGCGCCCCAGTCTGAATAGCGCTTAATGAATGATCAGATCATAATTACAACTATAACTATAATGAATTTAAAAAAGAATTTAAAGCGCTACCGTCGATTGAGCGAGCAGTTCGTTGGCGCGTTGGGTGGCCCGAGTCGCGTCCGGCAGACGCGAGCAGTCATCCAGCAGGGTCTGAAAGCCTAGTTTACAAATTTCGACCGATCAAACGCCATAAATATACCAGGAAAACTAATTTTCGGTTTTTCTAAAACATGCCCTTCGATAGAGCGTCGCAAAAGATTCAAAAACCTTTTTACGGTGCATAGACTTGCTTAAACCTGTTTTTGTGATTAAAAACGTTCAGTGGCCTCCCTTTGTTTTATATGCGTGTTATTGTTGTTGTTAGAGCTAAAAAAGTCTTCAAAAGTATCATCTGACCTTCCGCGCCGTCGCCTCACACATAGCCTTCATCTGCGCGGTAGAATCCGGGTGGTTGGCCACCCACTAAATCATACTTAATTTTTCCGACCCAGTAATGTCGTACCTCCAGTTTCCGGACGTAGATCTCGAAGTGCTGGTCGACTTTGCGGTCCTAAAATCTCAGAATTTGCCAAGAATCGATTTCTACCGTATATTCGGCATCGGTGCACTCCGAGCCGGAGTGGGCGCTCATCGCTGAATTTGGTCTATACTACTTTTTACGGATAATATCGTTAATAAAGCGTAAAAAGGAAGAAAGATAGTATAAATTAATTTAATGCCGAACAGATGGAATTGCGGTTCAATAGCTTATCGCTTCCCGCGGACCGGCAAATTTCTGCTGCAACAAAATGGATGCCGATTCGTTGGCTTTAGAAATTGATCGATTTGGCTTTCGCAAGAGCGTTTTGCAGAATTAACAACGTAAAAAATTTTGTATGAAAAGTTTACCATTAAGAAAAGGGTGGTACCGGACTTTAGCAGGGCAGGGGAGCGATTTTTGTTTGTGCTCCTATAAAATTGATAACACATTTTCACATCGCTTTAGTAGTTTTTAAAAGCTAGAAAGTGCCGTAAAGTTTTTAATCATTTTGGAAAATTCGAAAATTATGTCCGTTTTGGTCATGGTTCACACATTGTGACCAAGAATTACCAGATTTTGAAAAATTTTGGAACTTTTTGATGAACTTTTATATGGATAAACTTTGTAAAAGGTTATAAAAATTATTTAGAATTTCATGGGAGGCTTGCTCCCCTGTCTGCCGATAATCCAGTCCCAAAGGGTTTTCTCTTTTTTTTGCTACAAGGCGCTCCAACTATCATATGTTTTTAAGCTTAAGACTCGATTAAAATTAAAAATTATATAACAAAATATTCAAAAAAAACCCAGATAACCTGTCTCAAAAGCGTTATCCCTTGCAAGGCAGGGTCTTTGATGCCCCTATCTGCCATCCACGTGAGCTTCTCGGGGGCCATTTTCTTCGGCAAGAAATTGGTATCCCTTGTGCAAGGCCAATGCCCTTGCTACCCAATCAATATCCTGATTTGAAAAATTTACTTCGCTAATAACAATTGAAGTCTTAGTAAAGTTTACGCATAAATTGTGGGATTTAAGCACTACTGAACATTAATTAGATGGTAAGACAAAATATGTACAAAAAGCCTCTCAGCTTATAAAAGCGAGTTTGGTTATTAAGTATCGGTGTTTCTGTACCTATCCGGCTGCATTAAAGTAACGAAACGGTAAGAAAAACAAAGGTTTCTGGCTGGGGTCTTGAGCGGTCTCACGTGAACGGCCTCCTAACTACCAAAAGGAGGCAGCTGCTGAATTGCTGTCGCAATAAATATGCGACCACTTGCGCAAGCAATTCATCGATTTGCCGGAATGAACGAGTGCGAGAGAGAAGCATAGAGAGAGTGAGAGAGAGGGAGGGAGTGCGAGAGAGAGAGAGAGAGAGGGAGAGAGAGGGAGGGAGTGCGAAATAGAGAGAGAGAGAGTGAGAGAGAGAGAGAGAGAGAGAGAAATAATATTATATACTGTAATCTGGCGTGTGCTTTTTTGGGGCCCTTTTTTGCATATCCACTACTTGTTTTACCGGTTCGTTTCGTTGCCAACATTTTTCCGTAGCATTCTTTACTCGTCCCTTCCCATCCAACGGCCCCACCCCTGGAAGGCCCGCGATTAAAATGAAATCGCCCATTAAAATGCGGGAAATGGGCCCTGGCAAGATGCGCTGCAGGAGTTGATAAGAAGCCGTGAAAATTCCTCCCCTCTGGCGGCTGTGATTTTTTTGGCGATTTTTGGCCGATTTGGAACGAAAACGATGTTTCGCTGGTTGGCGGTCATCGGAATTGTCACGATCGGTTAGTTGCTTCAATCGCAATGAGCAATATCGCAAAGTTTTATAAATTGTAGTTTTCTGTTTTTACACAGTCCAGCAGCCAAAAATAAAATACTAAAAATCTTACAACAGACGTATATAGAAATTTAAGAATATGAGAAATATTGTAACTTCTATAATTTTTCGTTTCATGAATTTTTATCACTTTCCAGCAACCAAAAGCTTGCAAACTTACTAAAATACAAGAGCCAGGCTTCGTTTTATATGTTGGACTGAGGTAAAAATTAAATGCTTAGCCCTAGCTAAATTCATTACTACTAATAGAGAATTTTCAGTTAACGCCCAAAACGTGCAAAAACCCTGTCCGGATGGCTGGGTCCAGTATGGGCAGCTGTGTTATATGTATTCCGGGAGTGTACAGAGGGTACGTTAATTTTATCTAGGTTTCCCGCGCCTAGAAACTTTAAATGATTACATGTACTTTCGGATAAAACTTTTAGAGCTGGCTGAACGCGATCAATTACTGTGCGACGGTCGGCGGTCAGCTTGCGGGCGCTTACAATCGAAGCACGCTGAACTTTCAAATTGGTGAGTCTTGCGTTCCCAAAGCGTCTCTGCTAGACTGCCCCGCTGCTGCAGCTCTAGAGGCTAAAATGCTTTTTTTGTTAACTTGTTGTAAGACCCTGGAAAGCACGAACACGTCAGCTGGGCAGCGTAGCTTGTATTTTCCCAAAAAAATCTCTGTTAGCCTGTCCATTAGCGACCGATTCGGATCTCCAATGGCCTCTGCTAGTTTCTGAGCGGCCCGGGATAGCCTATTCCAGTGAAAGCACCCTTTCCCGTCCTGTACGGCCACTCGCCCCCCACCTGGCCCACTGTCCCCACATAAGGTCGGGCCGGCTCTTTCGCTGCAGTTCTACGGAACCCCCACAAGTTTGAGGTTAGAAATCAAACCGAGTTTTCCGTAGGAAACTCTTAAATTTTGGAACGCAGGTCTTTTGAGCTGCACAAAAATTTTTTTTTTATCGATTGCGATTTTGTACTAGAGATGTTGCGCATAGGGGCACGACGTCGGGATAACATGCAAATTACGATAAAAGGCGCAAAAAACCCTTTTGTTGAGCTTATTTTGTACTTGTCTAATCGTCTCTGCTAGCCGCCAGCAGTCTGGTAAGGCCAATGCCAATGAAACGGCCCTTTCCGTTTTTGACCGACCACTCGCTCCCCATCTGGCCCACTATCCCCACATAAGCTCGGGCCGACTCTTTCCTTTCAGTTCTACGGAACCCCCACAAGTTTGAGGTTAGAAATCAAACCGAGTTTTCCGTAGGCAACTCTTAAATTTTGGAACGCAGCTCTTTTGAGCTGCACAAAAATTTTTTTTTATCGATTGCGATTTTGTACTAGAGATGTTGCGCATAGGGGCACGACGTCGGGATAACATGCAAATTACGATAAAAGGCGCAAAAAACCCTTTTGTTGAGCTTATTTTGTACTTGTCTAATCGTCTCTGCTAGCCGCCAGCAGTCTGGTAACGAATGCCAATGAAACGGCCCTTTCCGTTTTTGACCGACCACTCGCTCCCCATCTGGCCCACTATCCCCACATAAGCTCGGGCCGACTCTTTCTTTTCAGTTCTACGGAACCCCCACAAGTTTGAGGTTTGAAATCAAACCGAGTCTACGGAAACTCGTAAATTTTGGAACGCAGCTCTATACGGGCTGCAATAACAGAACCTACCGCGGATGTTTAGATTTATCTATTGGTCTTTTGCTTATGCTAAAAATTGACTTGAAAAACGACCGTTTAGCTTATTCTTCGTTCATTAGCGATGAATTGCTCGCACTCGCAAGGATTGCCTTCAAAAAACGACGGTTTTTAATGAAACACGCCATTTCTAAACTTCCCCCTTGCTACATATCGGTTTGCCGTGTCCGTTCCATTTAAATCGACGATTTTATGAGCATTGATATTTTAATTTCGACGGCGAACCACGGCAGTCAGCGGGAAGGAGAAGAAGCAACTCTTGGCAGAAACAAAAATTTACAAAGCTATTTCTAATAGTCAAATTTTAATTTCAGGGCTATCCCCGAATCCACTCTACGCCACCTGGGGTGGCCTTTATCTCGATGGATCGACGTGGAAATTTGTGGACTACACCTATTCCTTTAATCTCTACGAAATGTGGGCTCCAGGTATCCATTTTTTTTGACGTAATTATATGGCATTGATTCAATCAAATAGATCTTTTTAGGGGAGCCGCTGGCTAACCAAGGCGGATGCGGCGCCATCCGCTCAGGGGCCCAGAGCGGGTATTTCAACGTACCCTGCCAGAATTCCCAGCCTTTCATCTGCTCACAGAAAATTGCTACGTGAGTTTGACTTCAAACACGGTTCCAGTCAGGGAAAATTAGCCGAGATCCTTGGGGAGGATCATGGTCAAATGGATCATCATCAAAGTTCGACAACCCATGATGGCACATTGATTTATCCATGCATCAGCTGCACCAGGATTATTCAGAAACATTTTTTTTTGGGTCGTAGGGGCGGTTGTTTCGCATTTCCTCCTCCAATCTCTTCTAGCCTGCCCTCCTCTCGGGGTCCGTCCATTTCCTCCTCCAATCTCTGCTAGCCTGCCCTCCTCTCGGGGTCCGTCCATTCCCTCAAACAATCTCTGCTAGCGGTCGCTTCCTTTCGCGGTCTCCAGGTTTTTTGCAAAATTCTGTTTCGAATTTTTGCCGGGGCGAAGGCTAGATGATGGCAGTAATACTTTCTCGATTGGTGTGCTATATTTGCACAGGCGAAAAATGACCATGTCTAAAAAAGTAAGGGGCAGTCCTCTCGGGATCTGAATTTCCCAAAGAATCTCTGTTAGCCTGCCATCTCCTAAATCGCTGCTAGATCCGAGCATTTTTTGATGTTATGTTTCAAAGTGCTACCATTGCCTATTATGGGGACACTATTTACTGGAATAAAGACCGATGCAGTTCAAATTTCAGATGCGATACCAGCAACCTGACAGCCGTCTACGGCGTCCGAGGCACCGTTCAGTCCCCAAATTTCCCGGATACCTACTCGAACAACGAGAATTGCATCCAGCACATTGTCGCCAACCAGAGCCAATTCGTCGACTTGGCCTTCGATGCGTGGAATGTTGAGCCGTAAGTTTTTGTGATGGGTATTTTTATTGTTTATTATTACGTAATAAAAATGATTAATAAAAATCTATCATTCAAAAATCGGTATCACCTTTTGCAGGAGATACGACTATTTGGTGCTGTACGATGGGTGGTACCCGGGAGAAGACGCGCTCGTCATCGCAAAGTATGTTTCAAAATTTGTGGCATTTGAGAAAAATTGATTTTCCATTAATTTTTTTTAACCTTCATTCGATAGTATTGCTTTAGTAGGCATTATAAACTTAAATTAATTAGCCATTAATTAATACCAACTTTTGCCGATGTGGATGGCGGAACTGATTCTAAACGGATTTTTACTACTAAACCTAAAAAATCATAAATTTTGTATTCAAAATGACAAAAATATCGATTTTTCGATCAAAATTGCGGATTTTTAAAAAATTCAAAATTTTGTAAAAAATATTTTCGCGTTTTTAGATGGTTTCTAGATAAGAAAATGCTATCTTTTGCTGACAGCGCTATAAAAACACTTCCTATTAAGCTAGTAGACTTTTCTAGACTACAACAAAAAAAGTTCCGTCCCCGCCCCCGATAATGCAAAAGAACCTAAAATTTTAGCCTTACCTACGACCCGACCAACATCACCGACAACAGCACGAAGCCGAATTTTCAGGTATAAATTTTGCGGTTTTCGGACTGGGTATAAAAATGTATCTTTCAAGTTTTTATTGGGCCAATTGGGAAATCGCCTGATCGATAAGCGGTTGCAAGCTCACTTAATCAAAACCATGTAAAAAATTGCCGATTTCGATCATTTTGGACGCTTTCTATTTTTTAGCAGTGCCGATTTAATAGGAAATAATCTGATTTTTAGCTTTTAGTGTCATGAATTGTCTTTTTCCTTGAAGTCCTTCAATTTTCCAGACTACCAGCAACGTGATGACGCTGCAGTTCATCACCGACAACTCGGTGCAGCGCACCGGCTGGCACGCCAATTATACGCTCCTGGTAGAATTTGCTATAGCTTTAAATTAAATTAGTCTTCAATTCTTTCAATTAAAGTTAACGAAAACTCTCGAAAAATTATACTTTTCTTAATTGATGCTTTTTTTGGGCTGAAACTACGTCTTTTAGACCCTATCTTCCCGATATTGCGGCCAGCGGCTCGTCCGGGATGCTGCAAAGTCCCAAACTACCCCAACAACTATCCGTACGATGCCGAGCAGGTGTACTATATTAAGACGATACCCGGCACCAAGGTATGCGTTATATAAAGGGATCAGGGCGGCCATTATTGATTAGCGATAGAAGGCGTGAAAGCAGGCGGCAAGCTGTTCCGCTACCTCCTGCCTGGGCCCACTTTTCCCCAGTTTTTCATAGAGTAACCGGTTGGCTTTTTGCCAATTGTCCACTGTAGCCTGAGCTACACGGGCCTTCCCTGTTCCTTTAAAAGGCACGGCAAAGACATGCCCCGGAAGTCCAAATTCTGTGCTGCTAGCGAAAGTCGCGCACCTGGCCCACTATTTAGGCATAGATACGCGCCGATTTCTGCTATTTCCAGGAATTCTCTGGAGCCTGCGGCGGTACGCCGCTTGTTCCAATGAACGGTGCGGACGGATCTGTTCTGTCCGCCGCACCGGGGCCGTTGTGGGCAGGAAACCCTCCACTTTGGCGGACGAATCGTTCAAATCAGAATGGTTCGAGTAGGGGTGATCGGTCAGAACGATCGATCGACCCAGTGGGAATCCTGGCAATCCCGGGTAACCCCGAGAATTCCGAGCCGTGGGCACCAAACAAACTGGCCGCGCGAATACCCTTGGGAAGGGCCCTTCGGGGTGCAAAATGAGTCCCTTAAGAGGGGAGATCCTTCAATTGCATCATTCTAAAAGAGCTTTCCGGGCATGTTGATGAAACACGTTTTCCGAAAACATTAATGAAACGAATCGCAACGCGCTCGCCCGCGCAGCAGCTCATCGGCATTATACACAGAAAAAATCTGTCTTCAAACCATGCCTGAATCTAAAGGGGTGCGCAACGGAGTAAGCTTACATTTTCTGGCTATGGTAGCTGTATGGATTTTGTCGCAGCCGTGACACGCGACGCGCCCAATACTCGGTCGATAGTCCTAATCCACTACGCGACGAGCGGCCCGGCGTACGTGTTGCGTGTTGCGTGCACATCTATCATAAATGGTACTACAAAAATAATAGGGTTTTTGAGACGCCAAAGGTCTTGCAGTAATTGGGGCCTTCGATTAAACCTTCCAAAATCATAACGATAAACAACTCCCGATGACTTCTTTCGTTTTAGGGCTTTCGAACTCGCAAAAACCGTGCTGATCCGGCATTCAAGGCACTTGTCTGTCGCCCCGGATGTAACAATTCCCGCGCCCGGAATCAAAAGACGCGTACCTGGCCCACTAAATATGCATAGATAGGCGCCGATGTCTGCCAGGGCTAGGAATTCTCTCAGGTCTTCGGCGTGCCGTTGATCCGGCTTAGCTTAGGCTTAGGTTTGACCGTTGGCTGGCTCATTGTTGGCCGCCTCGGTTTCGGGGGCGGATCGTTCAGTCCGAATGGTCCGCACCCAATAGAGGTCGATCGATCACTACGATCGGTAACCCCATTCTGGAATCCTGGTAATCCCGGGATCCCGAGAATTCCGAGGACGTCGGCCCACCGGTGGCCGGCGTGCGACAAATTTTTGGAAAGAGGCCCTTCGGGATGCACTAATGAGCAATCCCGGAAATCGAGACGGAGGATTGAATCAGTCTTAAAGCGCACGTTCAGGAGGAGCGTACTCGTCCCAACGTACAACCCCATGGACAGGGGACGCGCGCACCGCCCGCCCGTGCTGTGACAGGCCATTCTCCTTTGCGGCGTGGACGCCCTCGCCCTCGCCAGGTTGTAGCTGTGGCTGACTGGTATCCATCCGCGCCTCCCGAGCGGGGGCCCGCCCGAAACCCCGGCCGCGGCAAAACTTTTGTTTTTCGAAAAAACGTCCCTGAACGTGCCCTTTAATACAGCTTGCCGGGGGGTTTTAACGAAACAACGTATTCCGAAAACATTAATTAAATGAGTTGTAACTTGCAACGCGCATGCCCGCGTAAGAGCTCAGCAGCATCCCACAAAGATTTGCTCTTACTGTGCCCAACAAGAGACGCGCAGGGGAGGAAGTACATCATCATGAGGGAGATAGCCAACAAATTGGAACTCTTGCTCTTTGCCGGTACCTTTAAAAAATCTCCATTGTTTTTGGTTATGGATTTTTTCCTTGCCGGCCTAATTCTCAATTTTTCGAAATATCACCTTGTCGCAATCCAAACAAAAATTCGGAAAATCTCAAAAATTCCCGCAAATTAAATTTCAGCGCATTGAAATTTCGACAAAAAGAAATATTGAAAAATAATTTCGACCAACGTGATTTTTGGACAAACTGTTAGCAAATCACCTTACGCCACCTGGCCCGGCCCCTTGAAAGTACTCCAAAGACGCAAAATTTATGTTGCAACCTCTTGAAAACATGTTTCATGCAAGTAGCTCTTTGAAAAATATTACCGTTGGGACAATCCCCTTTCCGGCACAAGCCGGCATAATCCTTGCATTTCGAAAATCCTCTCGTTCCTCGATTTTTTGGACGGAAACCTGCTGCGATTATTTGTGCTGTACGATGGACCCGGCACCAGGACGGCTCCGTTGCTTGAAAGTGAGGGTTTTAAAATGGCGCTGGCTACTGTCACAATCCCTTCAATTCCATTGCGTAATCGCCTAGCACCGGAAGAATTTGATGGCGTAATCAATAATTTATATAAAGAAAATTATCCGTAGCGATCATTTGGTGGCGTAATCGAACGCCGCGAAAAATATGATCGCGTAATCGTCGATACCTGTTATGATGGTAGAAATTGACGAAAAACACCAATTCTCTTCACATAATCGCACTTCTCCGAGTTTGGATTTAGTTTCACCGGTTACGCAACAGAATTTTCATTGCGTATCCGGTTTCGTAAATAAGGCGCAAACGATGGTCTGAACGCTTTTATCAAATAACTCGGCGGATTCCAAGCGACACTTCGGTCAAATTATTTTAAGCTTTTTAGTCACCCAGTACCATAATCGGTAAAACATCAATTTCCTCAAGCGATTCGTATTAAAAAAGAAATTTGATTGGCGTATTCGATTTTTCCAGATCAATCCAGTGAAGATTCGGATCGATAATTCGCTTCATTGATTATTTAGCCTAATAAATTCAGCAGCGTATAACCAATCAATAAACACCTAGATTTATTTGCGTAATATTTTATAGCTAATGCAGCACTTTCATCGCGTAATCGATCATAATTTGATCCTGCACAAGAAAAACACGGGTTCACACCGACCAGGCCAGCAACGAAGCTTGGTAATGCCGGCCGTTTACTTAGCCGTCTCTATGAAAACCCCATATCTTTCGCTACAAAACGCACGGCCCTTCATTGCTCAAAATATATGGAAACATCACGGGATTTTCAGGTTCTCCGGCTCGACAATCCCCAGCCCTGTCACCTCGCAACAACTCGATCACGCTGTTCTTCTACGGCGCGACTATCTGCTGTCCTACCGTGGTTTTCAGGCCAGCTGGACGATCAATATGAAATCGAGATCAAAAATGCTGCGCGCTTGAAGAGTGAATAAACCTTGGATCCAAACGATTTGCGCTTAAAAATGCGAGTATTTCACCTTGTCTGTATTTTTCTTCGACATTTTTCATCTTATTTCATCGAGTATTACCTTGTTTTTTCAGCACTCTTTGCTAGCCTGCCCAGCTGCCATTCAGATGTTTTTGATTCCCCAAATGCTCTCTGCTCAGCATACCCACATAACGACGGTAGAGTCAAGGCCCCGAGGATCGTTTCACTTGACAAGACTTCTTTGCCCTCTCACCTGGCCCACTACTCTAGCATAGCTGCAGGGCCAGGTCTCTCGGTCAGTTCTACGGGACAACACGAGCTTGAGGGTGCGGCTTATTCGAACCGTTTTGAATAAATTCCGTTATCCCCTCAAACCGGTTTTGATTTGAATGCAGGATCACTGTTTGGGCCGGTTGAATAAGGATTCCTAACTTCAAACAAACCAAACCGGTTTGAATATAATTTGAACAAGGTTTGAATAAGAGACAGTCTCCGAAACAGTCTGTTTTCGGCACCATTTTTGCGTTTTGGCACCAATCCTTTGTGAGATTCCTCACTTTAGGGTGGTTCGGCGGCATTCCTGCCAGGTTTTGAGTTAGCGGATCATTTCGAGACCTTTTCTTTCAGCGCTGCCAAAAAAAAAAGGTTATCCCGACCATTCGGATGCTTGTGAGGAGGTTGTGAATGCCAAGCCTATCGTTGAAAAAGTCAAAGTAAACCACGTAAATGATGCGAATTTCATCATTATATTGATCACACAAGGTTTTAGAAAGGGATGCCTCGAAATCTTAGCCGATTAGCATCCATCCAATCGATTAACACTGATTTGCCTGTTGTTCAAACCAGGTCAAACCAACTCAAACCTGGTCGGTTTTGGTTTGAATAACGGATCCTTATTGAAGCAAACGGAAGTTTTGATTTGAAAGCAGATTCTGCATTCAAACCGCCCTTATTCAAAATCAAGCCGGTTTGAGTCGCGATTTGATTTGAATAAGCCGCACTCTACTTGAGGTTAGAAACTGACCCGAGCTTTCCTTTGAGGAAACTCGTAAATTTTGGACCGCGGCTCTTCGGAGCTGCACAATTGCCTCATAACAGCGCGTTGCTCACTTCCGTTAAATGATGCTATGTGGATTGAGTTAAAACCAAAAACTCTGCACAACCGATTTATATTTTGGTGCATTTGTTTGTGTACGGGTGCGGCAAACCGGTTCCGCCGATTTTGATGGCCTACGGCGGATACAGGCCATCGTTCTGGGTTCTTTCAGGTTCCGCTTTGAGCAAAATTCCGCCGTAATCGATTTCCAGCTCGGCCATACCTAGTTCACTGGGCTAAAAAATGGTCACTAGATGCTCATTGGTGAGTTTTACGTTCACCCCGTTTTCCAATTTTCACAAAAAATGTGTTTTCTGTATCCGCTCAGTGCAGGTCGACGGATTTTCGTTAGTCGGGTTATCTGTGAACATCTTTATTCATCTAAGTTCCAAAATTTTGTTTACTCACATTTTTAAACAACTGAGGCATTAAGAAATAATTCATTTTAGAGCTTACTACCATCACTGTATGTTCTCGCTTGTTTATGGTTGGCAGTAGACTCGTCAGCAGTAAGTTTACGGGACTTTTAGAATTGCCGCTAATCGTTTTTGTGTTGAATTTTGCGATATGAATCCAGCTAATTTGTAGAAATTTTTTTGCTAAAAACTTTTATGTTTCAGCGAAATTTGTGGAATGATTACATTTTTTTGGCTTAATCCGGAACGGCATCGCGTCGCAGAAACAGGCAGTCTAGCGGCGAACTTTTAGGGATCCGGTTGAAAATAGGCTTTTCCAGCGCATCCGGCGCCAAGACTACTACGAAGTGGACGAGAGCCTCGAGAATCGTGGAGTACCCTCGGATCCCAAAAAGGTTGCCTCCATTTGATTTTTAAATTTGCCCGTTTTATTTAGAAAAATCATCAATTCTAGATCTTCGTCTCCCAACGTGCCAACCTCTACTACGAGGGCAAACAGAAGGAAGACATCTTTTTCTGATTTTTCCACAATCCGATTTTGTGTGTATAAATTGTAAGATTCGCCGAGAAGCCGGTCCAATAACTGCATACATTACGCAATTCTGTATCCACATCTCCTTTACTTTCCTTTAGAACCTTAAGAACCTCCCGCTCAAAGATCAAAAAGCCGGCCTCACCGAAACGTTCTGGAAACCAGAGGCTCACAAAAAACGTGGAATTTTTCATGCTGGCCGCAGGGGGAAAGCGCGGAATTTTTGATTTTCCCATTCTGTATTTTTCTGTTTTTGTGGATTCTTCAAAGGGAGAACTGGCATGACTTCCACAAATGATCTCTGCTAGCCTGCCCTCCTCTCGGGGTCCGAATTTTCTAAGGATCTCGCCAATCGCTTGATTTTCGATGGAATCATAAAAGTCAGTTCTCCACCTAATCCATCCGGATTCCACCCCCGATATTTTCCGAGACTCGGAAATCCGGATTACCGTAATCCACCCCGGCCGCCGGATGTCCACCCCCACATGCTAAAAGATTCGTAATTTTCGAAAACATCGGACTTTTTCTTCTTTTTCAATTTCCAATTTTTAAAGGGACTGGCAAAGCATAACTGGATTTTGTTGACGATGGGTTGTCGACGGATTCTGCCCGCCCGCGACACGCAACGCGCTGCGCAGATGTGCGACCGAGTTACTGATTAAGTGATCTTACGACGATCAAGGGCTCTCCGCGTTGCATATCGCGGCGCCGTAAGATCTAGAAATTTCCAACGATTTGGTATCATGGCATTATTCATGCGACTTTTACCGTTACAACGTTACAACGTTTATAATGCTATATTATTCAGGCATGAATTGAGACTGTTGATGACGGACCTGAGAAGATTGTAAAGTTGTCAAAATCGGCAATGCTACGCTGCGCTAAAACATTCATTTGAAAAACTTAACTTTATTTTCTTCTGATCCGTAGTTTTGAAGTTGACTTTGCGCAATCTCAGAATTTACGAATACGAGCAGAGGGAAAACAAAGACTATTAGTTTTCCGACTCGCCGCTGGGTAGCCAAGTTCGTTGTAACACATTTTTTAAAGCTGAAAAATCCTGTTATTTTTTCAAGATTCGTAATTTTCGAAAACATCGGACTTTTTCTCCTTTTCCATTTCCGATTGTTAAAGGGACTGGCAAGGCATAACTGTGGATTTTGTTGACTATTGATTCGCAACGGATTCTGCCCGCCCGCGACACGCAACGCGCTCGTCAGCCGTGCGGTTGCGTTACTGATACGTAATTTTACGACGATCAGGCGCTATCCGCGTTGTGTATCGCGGAGCCGTAAGATCTAAAAATCTGCAACCATTTCGCATGATGGCATTATTCATGCGACTCACTGATGGGCTGTGAAGTTTGTTGTAACACACTTTTTCCAGAACTAAAAATTGTTTAAATGGTATTTTCCTTTTTCAAGTGGTCGTACAATCCAAAAAATATATCGATAAAAAGTTTCTAAATTAATAAGGTAACCACAAGATTTTCCTGGCGTCGTTGCAACATTTATAATGCTATATTATCCAGGCTTGAATTGAGACTGTTGATGACGGACCTGAGAAGATTGTAAAGTTGTCAAAATCGGCAATGCTACGCTGCACTAAAACATTCATTTGAAAAACTTAACTTTATTTTTTCTGATCCGTAGTTCTGAAGTTGAGTTTGCGCAATCTCAGAATTTACGAATACGAGCAGAGGGAAAACAAAGACTATTAGTTTTCCGACTCGCCGCTGGGTAGCCAAGTTCGTTGTAACACATTTTTTAAAGCTGAAAAATCCTGTTATTCTTCAAGATTCGTGATTTTCGAAAACATCGGACTTTTTCTCCTTTTTCCATTTCCGATTTTTAAAGGGACTGGCAAGGCATAACTGTGGATTTTGTTGACTATGGATTCGCAACGGATTCCACCGTCCCCGCGACACGCAACGCGCACCACAGCCGCTCGATTGCGTTACTGATTACGTGACTTTTACGAGGATCAAGGGATTTCCGACTTTTTCGATCTTTTTCTCGATTTTCAATTTGTGAATTTTGTTGACTATGGATTCGCAACGGATTCCACCGTCCCCGCGACACGCAACGCGCACCACAGCCGTTCGATTGCGTTACTGATTACGTGACTTTTACGACGATCAAGGGCTCTCCGCGTTGAGTTCCGCGGCGCGGTACCATCTGGAAAATTTCCATTGCCAAATGAAGTCGCATTATTCATGCGACTCACCGCTAGATAATATAGTTTGTTGTAACACATTTTTTCAAAAACCCGAAAAATAGTGTAAATGAGTATTTTGGGTTTTAACGGGGTGCTATTGTCGAAAAATTATCTCGATACAGAGATTTCAAATTAATAAATTAACCCAAGTTTTCCTTAACGTTTTTGTAACATTTATGATGCGCTATTATTCACGCTTTATTGATGTATTCCTGTCACACGAGCGAAACAAAAGGAAATTGTAAAGTTGTCAAAATTGGCAATGCTACCCGGCGCTAAAACATTGATTTGTAAAGCGTAAGTAATTTGTTTTACTGTTCGATTCTCCAGGTTTCTCCAGGAATGCTATGCAACCTATTTTTTTCAAAATGTTTTTGGCCTTCAACGTTATTCCGTTAATAGGGCACGTTCAGCGTTTTTTTAATGCAGGGCCCGGGGCTCGAACCCGGCCCCCGCTTGGGGGGGGGGGGGGGGGGGGGGGGGCCCCCCCCCCGCAAGGAGGGGACCGCCCGCCTGTAAGCACGGGCAGGCAGTGCGCGCGGTCCATACGTCCATAGGGTGTATACGTTGGGACGAGTACGCGGCCCCCTCCCTGAACGTGCGCTTTACGCTTTGATTATTCTATTTATTAAGCTTTTTGAGGCTATCTTTGATGATATGCAACCTATTTTTCCAAAAATTTTTCGCCTGCGGCGCTGTTATTCCGTTAAAGCATCAATTTCGTTACAAAAAATTTTCGAGCCCCCCGAAATTTTTTTCTGGCTACGCCTCCGACCTTTTGATGACTAGTTACGAACAAATAGATCAGTTGATGACACAATCCATTAGCTATCGGGCACGCCGTTGGCTAGGCAAGTTCGTTGTCACACATTTTTAAACCGGAAAAGCTTGTAAATTGGTATTCATCAGATTTTTTCGTAACTAGTCATCAAAAAGGTTAGACATTTTTATGTGGCCCTGTTATACCCTTGATATTGGCTGACAACCACTTTCCAACGAGATGAAACGCTTAATTCCAGCGTTCCAATTTTTTTATGAAAAAAATGCTTCATCAATATGGCAGTTTCCGAAGATTTTATTTATCCTAATTAACTGGTACCCTGCTTTGTTACGCTACCCGATAAACTACGTTTGATACGTCAATGGGTGCGTAATGAACTCGACATGATTAAACACTTTTTAGGCTTCTATGACTGAAACATTAAATTTTTTGCCAAACTTTCCGTTCCCCCATTGTTATAAAACCAGTAGCAGACGCCCATTTTTGAGGCGTGCAGCGTCGAGCCTATATTTGATCGAAAGGGAAGACGATTTTCACATTTAATGGTCATGAATTCGGAAGCATTTAATGTAAAAATGCCGTCAGTCCCGGGCCAAATCTCAAAAAAAAGCCGCGAAGCGGTTTTGAGGTAAATCAAAGGTTATCTATTTTACAACACTTTTTGAAAAAGATGTTTCATCAAAATTACGATCCTTTTATTTCGCGAACATGATTAATTAATCTTCCATGACGGCTTTCCTAAAAAAAGACGTTTCCACTCCTGCCCATTTTATTCGGGCCAACACGTTAGGGTCCCAGTTTCCAGGTAAAGGGCTCCCCGGGCCGGTCGTCAAGGCCATCATCCACGTCGACGAGAGAGAGAGAGAGAGAGAGGAGAGGGAGAGAGGCAGAGAAACACACCTCCACATCTCCATGTTCATCCAGTGGCGCCGGGCCCAAAATGCCCCCAGGCCATTTCCGGGCCCACCCACCAAGAATTTGGCCCATTTCGTCGAGCCGGCAGCACCGCCACCACCTGAGATTCTCCTCTACACAACTGCTGATCAGAGAGGGTACGGTATTTCTTCAATTTCCTCAAACAATCTCTGCTAGCCTGCCCTCCTCTCGGGGTCCGTCCATTTCCTCCTCCAATCTCTGCTAGCCTGCCCTCCTCTCGGGGTCCGTCCATTTCCTCCTCCAATCTCTGCTAGCCTGCCCTCCTCTCGGGGTCCGTCCATTTCCTCAACCAATCTCTGCTAGCCTGCCCTCCTCTCGGGGTCCGTCCATTTCCTCAAGCAATCTCTGCTAGCTACCATTTCAGGGAAAAGGACGCTAAATCTCCGGTACTCCTTGTAAAACCCACTCGAGCCAGCCAGCTGCGTACGCGACGCGCCAAAACACAGTGGGTCGCCTGGCAAGAAATAATTTAAAAAAAATTAAAGATATGCCTCCTTCGTTTTGATACGTTATGCACTGAAACATTAATTTTGTAGAGCTCGCACCCAACCGGCGACCACGTCAAAAATGGGCCCACCGCCGTCGCTGCAACCGATACGGTAATTTTAACCTTGCCTATTATTTTTTTTATTTAAAAATTTGATTTACCGTATTATGATTCGAAGATTTGAATCGAAGCAAAACACTAGGAATTCCTCTTACCCGACGTTTTCATAATTTTCAGATTATCTTAGAATGTCTGTTTTCGATCGTTTTTTTTTATTTTTGATTCGTAATATTGCTGTAGAAGTATTAGTGGAGGCGTTAATCGATTAGATCGTCATAAATTACGATTAAACAGAGTGTTTTTCGAAACATTTTTTTCTTTAAGGCGACCCTAATAACTGGCCTTTAATTTTGTGAAAAATTAGTAAAAACAAATTTTTATACATTTCGTTTTCTTTAAATTCCGCAATTTTTGGTTGAGGTAGATTTGAATCACGGGCCTGAAATTTTGCTACCATGTAGGCTGATTTTCAAAGAAACCCGGTTCCAGAAACGTTTTTCAAATTTTCAGCGGGCCGAATGTCAATAAATGTACTTCAATACTTCAATGGCACCCCGTTGGCTTTATAATTCTATGTAAAAAAACATGGAAGGAGATAATTTTATTAACAAACCTTAGCCTAAAATTGCTTACAACATTTTGATGTGTCTATCGCTTTAATAACATTTATTGAAATTCAGAATAGATTTTTTTTGTTAGGTCGTCCTATTAAAACAACGTGTTTCAAAACTTTGGCCTGCTGATCCTTCTTCTAAGGTTTTAATCACGCTCCGCCCATTAAACGAATTTGGCTTTCCTAAAAATTATTTTAGGATGTTTTTAAGGAGTCCTAAATAATTAATCTATGTTAAGGCACCATTCGTTTTTAAAAAGTTCTTCAAATTCCGCAGTGTAATTCAGTCAACCTTAATTTTAACCTCTGCATCGCCGGCAAAAAAAAGATGTTTTGAAATTTTAGCAAGTGTAGACCGGTGAATTTCTTTCTATTTCGTTTGATCCCTCGTTAAATAATTTTCAGCAAAAATAATTTTAGAATAATCAATGTTTGATTTTTAATGAGGCTACTTAACGAAATCATAAAAAGGTATCTAGCACTTTAACAAAATTTATTTAAATTGAGAGTAGTTAGATTTTAGCTTTTAATTAAGCCCTCTGATTAAAAAAATGTGTTTCAAAGATTTTACGGGCTCAGCGTTCCTTAACGGGTTTTAATCCCAAGTAACCATGAGCTCTCTTAAAAATTATTTTCGGGTGCTTTTAAACGATGATTGATCAATTTAAATCAAGGTACCTTGTACAAGATTGAAGGCGCTTATTTTAGGCGAAAATTACGTTAGATTTTAAATTTAAGCGCTTTCGATTTTAAACGTGGGTTTCAAAGTCTCGCAGGGGGCAGTTGCTTTAAATTACTGTAATACACATCAAGAAAACGTTTACTCAAATTTTCTGAATAATTTCGCAATTTCACACCAAGTTTTAGATTGCAAGATTTTGGAAAGGTCTTCGTATATTTACCTCTCACGTTTTCAGGATGGAAAGCGACCTGAGCCGCTCGCCGACCCGCGAGAATCCGCTTTTCCTCCGCGCCCAGCCCGCCAACCTATCGAGCAGCTGGTCGTTTGGGGTAGGTTTTTGGGCACTATTAAAGGGACCGGCAAGGCATGGCTATGGATATTATTGGATTTTCTGAATCCGCCACCGATTTTGCCGCGCTTATGATACTCTAGCCAGCCGGCATGTTCATTACGTAATTTTCACTATTCTCGTCATAAAAGGCCCTTAAACGTGCGCGTTTCGTCGTCGTTTTTAGGTGATATTGGAGTTTTTCACCAATTGTCGTTATTAGTATCAGCAAATTAACTAAAAGTAAACAGTTTATTAGAAAAACGCAAAAGAAAGCCATGCTCAAAAAGTGTTTCGGGTTCCGCCGACTTGTTGGCCAACTTTAATATTTCAATTTCTTCTTCAATTTCTGCTTCAATTTCAATCTCTGCTAGCCTGCCCTCCTCTCGGGGTAGCTCCGATTTATATTCGTATTACTTTCATCTTTTTGTGTGTAAAATCAATGAACCATAAAAGAAATCTAGGTCCCATTATGACTATAGAAATCCGCGGCTACCCCTAATCTGCCTATAGAAATGCGAAGAGCCGGGATTTTCACGTGGTCGGCCACCCGGAATTTCCCGCTACCCAAAATCCATACTTTCATTTCAGTTGAAAATATTTTATTAAATTCTGCTTGTATGCCAGTTGCATGTTTCAAAAAAAGCACTGTGTCAGATCCGAAATACTTTTGTTAATTCATGCGATTTTTAATGCTGTGCTAAATAAAATAATATAAATATAATTTATCGGTTTTTGCCATTTCACGTGCATAACGTTCTGACCTGTTTAGACTTAATGTTTCAAAAAAAGTGCCGTCGTAGATTTCTTTTGTTTAATACAATTGTTTATCACAACGAGCTAAATTATCTAGATGTCCCCTTCATTAGTAAACTTCTTAGTTAATTCTCATCTTCATTGTATTTTTCAGCATTTATAGAACCCTTTACCTTCCCTAAAAATTTTGATACTACATTTAAATGATCGAAAATTAGAAAGCATGTCAACCCGTTCTTTGCGCAAAAACTAAGCAAAAAAATTGATGTTTCAAAAATGTGCCGTGCCGTCGACAAGGTTCTTTGTTTAATTTGCAACTTTTGGTTGTTCCCTTCATTAATTTCTTGCGTATTCGATTTTAATTTTTGCGTTCGCGAATTTTTGCGATTTTTTAGTTGTTAATCTTTTCAGCTGTTTTAAGCTATCCAAACAGTATATTCTTGGGTTTTAATAAAATGCTTAGTCAATATGTTTCAAAAATGTAGCGTAGCGGCGCAATATTTTTTAGTTTAATAGTTCTTCTATAATTTGTTCGCATTGCCTAATGTTAGATTCTTGGCTTTTTGAGCATTTTGGCCTGTATACCCTTTTGAAACGGTATTAAGGGTATACTAGAAATAGTAGATTTCTAACTTGCAAGGCAATCGCACAGTGTTGTTTCAAAAAATGTTGGTTAAAGCCCCAAAAATTTTGGCTTTTAGAGGGTCTTCGTAGGATTTTGCTAAATTTCTTCATGACGTTATTTGAAGTTTTTCATCAGCATTTTCATCAATCTTTTTAGGCTGTTCGCTCTTTAAAAGCGGTGCTTAGTTCATGGAAATCGTTGAGTCTGGGTCATCTTGTTTGTGTGTTAACACAGGAAACATGTTTCCTGTTTTTTCAAATTCGATGTTTCAAAAATTTGGCTTACCGCCGCGAAGCCTGTTGGCTTAATGAGTCGGCGGCAGATTCTTTCATTTTCGGCATTACTTCATCATCATTTATTTTGTTTTGGTGGAATATTTATATGCCGCATTTTTGTCTGTATACCTTTTTCAAGCTGTATTAGATAGGATTTTAGCTTAAAAAGTGCCTTTTTGGTTTCAAGGGAATCGCGTATCAATGTTTCAAAAATGTTCCGTACAGCCGCCATTCCTTTTGGCTTAATGAGATTTCGTAGGTCGCTCTAATTTTCTGTATGATTAATTTTGAAGTGATATGCTTCTTCAGCATTTACGTATATTTTTGCCTGTCTACGCTTTAAAAGTGGTGCTTATTGGTAGTCTATGGAAATTGTTGATCCTTAAGTTTTTAATTTTTTTTAATTCGATGTTTCAAAAATGTGGGTTACCGCCGCCAAGTCTGTTGACTTAATGCGTCGTGCGAGGTTGCCAGATTTTCTGCATACTTCATCATCATTTATTTGCGTTTGTGGAGTATATGTATGCCTCATTTTTATCAGTATACCCTCAAAGCTCTCGAAAGTTCATTATCTCGAAAGTTCATTATCTCGAAAGTTCATTATCTCGAAAGTTCATTATCTCGAAAGTTAAATATCTCGAACAGTCGAATTCTGGAAATGCAGCAACAAGTGTCCACAAGGCTAAAGAGCTGCGTCCCGACTACCAGGCGCAACAAGCCCTCTGCGAGAGCTATGATGCTTATGAAACCATTAACTTCGTCAAGTTAATTGCCCAGACCTTTGATTAAATGATATATCGGAATAAATGCTTTTTATTTTATTTGTGACATCAATGTCGAGTTGATAACAAAAGGTGGAGTAGAATGGTAAAGACCGGGTTTCAAGGTTATGAACTTTCGAGATAATTAACTTTCGAGATAATTAACTTTCGAGATAATGAACTTTCGAGATAATGAACTTTCGAGATGTTTATTTTCGAGATGTTGATTTTCGAGATAATGATAGGTAATCCTCAAAGCTATACGCTATGGAAATGTACCTTTTTGGGTCACAAAGGAATGGCGTGTCAATGTTTCAGAAATATACCTTACCGCCGTCAGGGTTTTTCAGTTAATTTGTCTTCGTACTATAGTTTACTTTGGAGCATTTATTACGGTATTTTTTGCTGTCTGGCCTTTAAAAGTGGTGTTTAGTCTTGGAAATCGTCGATTTTTGAGTCGTCTTTCACGACTTTTATTTCGATGTTTCAAAAAATGTGGCTTATCGCCGCCAAATTTGTTGGTTTAATGCCTCGTCGTATAAATTTCTTAATTTTAATCTATTGATTTTTGAGATCATTTATTTACCGCATTTTCCCCCTCTACCCTTTAAATTATGGAAATCGCAGGTCTTTGAGCGGTGAGGTGAGCTCACATCGATGTTTCAAAAAATTGTACATCAGGGCGCTAAATTTTTCGGCTTAATTAGCTTGTGCATGAGGTCATCGTAATTTTCCCCGGACTCAATGTTAATCCACATATTTTTTTGCCGATATTTCGTACGTATGATTTTTATGCTCCGGTTTTCTGACTTGCTTACGCTTATTCAACGACACAAAAAACCTATATTAATTTTTGGATTGCTTAGGCGTAAATAAAGATCAACCTCGGGTCAAGAAAACGTTTTCCGATAACGCTTCTGATGCCATTTCCGGGTGTTTGGAAATCGACCTCAAAAAATTGGGGGTGCCCACTCGAGCGTCTCGTGGATTGCTTCCGGTTGTTTCTTTCCGGTTTCCCGAGTTCCAGGGTAAAAAGGGCTTTGAAAAAAAGATGTTTTGCGTTGCCGAAGGCTAAATATTTGTTTTTGCTGAGAATTGACATGATAACGAGTGCGTAAAGAGCGAAGCAAAAGGCGCTATAATACGTTAAGCTCCAAGATACGCTAGAGTACCTAACCGTACACTACAATACGCTACACTACTACCTTACGCTCACTACCACCACCGCTACACCACGACTCCTAAAAATTACAAGAGTACGCTGGAGTGCGCAGCAGTACGCTGGGCTACGCAGCGCTATGCGGCAGTACGTAACAGTACGATGCGCTATGCTTACGCTACCGTACACTGTCATATACTACAGTACACTACCCAACAATCAGCTACAGTATCCCGAGCTTTACGCTACAGCCTCTTGCAGTACGCGACACCACCGTACGACACGCTATGCTGCGGTGCATTACGTTACCGTACCATAGAGTACGCTGTAGTACATTACGCTATTGTAGAATGATTGCCGTGGACGCTTCTCGATACCTGGGAAAAAAACAACTATACAAACAGTACTCCATAGTACGTCACAGTACTTTACAGTACGTTTCATTACGCTCGGTACGCAAAGCGTGTACATCACCTGACCAAATACCTTGCCTAAAGTAAGTCTTAGTAAGACAGAACGAGCCATAATCAACTAAATGCTCCTGTGGATGCCTGTATTCTCACATAGATGAAACACAATTTTTGTCAAAGCCTGTAAAACTTTTTTTTTCGGAAAATACGCCCTCTACCTTCCGCTATCATCGAAATTCCGTCTAGCGCATTTTGCCCCAAAAAAGCCAGGGGAAAATTCGTTATTCTTTTGTTTAAGGAAGTGGTGGCAACGACCGGAAAATCGGCCAAGGGAAAGCGAGCCAATACACACGAACAGCAATAGCTTGGCAAAAACAAAAATATATTTTTTCGAGATGGGGTGGGGCCGGTAAGGATCCGCGGTTACCTCAAAGTATCTTTGTTAACCTGCTCTCACCTCGGGGCCCAAATTTCTTACCAATATTCCTGAAAATTCTGAAATTCAATTTCGCATGAGATTATCGTGATAGTTTCGCAAGTAATCATGCGCAATTCTGAAACAATTTTTTTGTTGCTTGACTCGGGTGTGATTTTTTGCCTTGCGTTGTTCTAAGGCCGCCTTTTTCCGGCATAAAGAGAGAGAGAGAGAGAGAGAGAGAGAGAGAGAGAGAGTGAAAGAGATGCGACCACATCCTTTTCATACCCACCAATTTCAGACGATCGACAAGCCGGCCCCATCCACCACCCCGGTGCTTCATCCACGACCGTGGCGAGACCCGGTGACCCTGAAAAAGACGTGAGTTATGATCACTTGAAATTTAATAAAATATTAAATATTCCACCTTAATTTTGCACGGCCGTTTACTAGGTGTGTCTACCTGAACAATTTTCAGGCCCGATTTGAGGGCCATTCGATACTAAAATACTCGAATTCTCCATCATTTTGTGAATTCGACCCTCCTCATTCCGATAGCAATTGCAGAATTTCGATACAATTCAAGTTTATAAAGTTAGATCCACTTTTCTAGAGCTTTGTGGGCCTAACTTTGATGCAAAATCCAACAAACGACCGTCAATTGATGGGTTGGCGCAAGGTTTTTCCACCAGAAAATGTGCAACATTGTTTTTCCAACTGGGCTGTCGTTCGTGGGTATACAAAAAAAAAATTTAATCTGATTATGGAACGTAAAAGTGCCAAAACAAATGTACTTCCCCTGAAAAAAATCCATAAAAAACTTGTAAAGCCGCTAAAGACGCCAAAAACGGCGATAAATCGTTAATTTTTGCATTTTTAAAGGCATCTTGACCGTTCTGTCATTAATGCGCTAAGTTTAGATAATTTCAGGAGAAAAAGATTTTTTAAGTACGCTATTTTGATTGGCTATTTTACGCTAGAAATCGCAACGTTTCATGATTACTGCCCTAATTTTCTCCTGCCAATTTTAATGTTGATTTTGAATTTCTTTTCGCACCGTAAAGGTAGAACGTACCTTTACGTACGTACTTTTCGCAACGTACGAACCATAAATTAGGCAAGCTAAAAAATTCTCTTTATCAAATTTTGTGTGAAACACATTGTTTCGGCCGCGTAGCCATGGTGGCGCTGCACCCAAAATATCACCCCCAAAAAACCCAAAGGTGAATTCTAGCTATTTTTTGCTATTACTAATGGAATATTTAGACTGGGAAAAGGTAAAAAATTGTAGAAAATAAATTATTGAATTGATTTAAAAATGACGTTACAAAATTAATTTTCAGCCCGGTCACGCAGTCGATGGAGACGCTGCTGGCGCTGGAAAATAATCTCTTCTTCGCCAATAGGTGGGTGAAGTGAGAGAAGGAGAGAGAGCGAGAGAGAAAGAGAGCGAGAGAGAGAGAGAGCACAACTCCGATGACCCCTTTTTCGCCGATTCTCATCGACACTCCGGTTCTTTGGCATTAACGGTGGGGGCGGTGCGTTAAAAAGACGGGAAAACCAACTTTCCTAAAGTTTTTATTTCGCTAAAAAATCAAGCAAGTCTTTCTAAGCGGTATCTTCTCATTCCTATACGCAAAAACTTGACAAATTTTTATGGAAAGCTATAAAAATCGCGAAAATTAGAAAGACAAGAAAAACACCGTATTACTCGCTGTCCTAAATGCCGAAATCACAAAATCGATGAAACAATTTTATTTTAACATTTTATTTTTTGCCCAGATCAATTTCCTCAAAGAATCTTTGCTAGCCTGCCCTCCTCTCGGGGTCCGTCCATTTCCTCAAAGAATCTTTGCTAGCCTGCCCTCCTCTCGGGGTCCGTCCATTTCCGCCAATGATCTCTGCTATGCTATGTTCACTGCCCTGTACCCTTGCAAAATCCAAATCAATAATTACCGGTTTCTAATCCGCATCGCAAAATGTGCACACCTCCAATATTCGAGGCCAATTAATCCCTTCTGGTCGGCTCCTCCGAAATTGGGGCGTAAAAAGTGGCGGGGAGAAGACTTTTGCCGGTGGCGGGATTTGGGAAGGCCGCCCCGAAAATCCTAAGGTTTCACCGGGTGGGCCCAACCAGCAAATATTATTTCGTCCAATAGCTTGGAATTCTTTTTGGTTTCTTTAAAGGTGCCATTCCGTCTGGTCCACCCCCTCGGCGTTGATTCTTGGCAAAAAGCCAGAGACGGGCGCGACGTGAGTGCGCCGCATGCTTTCTACCCCAGTTTCAACCGGAAAAGTCGTGAATTTCACAATTCTGACGCCATTTTTGACATCCATGCGACATTTTTTTCCATCATAGCCGTTTTATTACTAAAATTAGAAGTAGCCTATTAGCTAAATGATTGCTAAAAATCTGACAGGGCATTACGACATTTAATCCTCGCGCCTTCAAAAATTCGATCTACCCCGCAAAATGTAGTGTTTTTTCAAACATTATGCCTTTTTCAAATATTTTTGGCTTCCTAGCTCCTTTAAAGCAAAGCTATACTTTTATTGGCTCTCGGTCTTCTATGAACTTCTCCAGGGCGAGATACGCGACGCAAACGCATCCATTGGCTTTGCGTGATTGAACAAAGTCCCGTCATCGCAACGCACTTTCTTGCCCCTTTAAGAATTGAGAAAAATTGAGGCTTACTTCAACCGGAAAATTAACGGTTTATATTTTTCTCGACTTCGCTTTAGAAATAGGAAGGAAAAAGAAAAATGTTTCTCAAAATTTAGGTACAGGTTTTCGGGAATTTTCAGGTATTGATTTCTTCCACTATGTTATCCATTTTCGATGCTGCATAAGAATAGTTCAGCTTTTATGATTCTCGGGTCCTTGTTAATCGATCTTATCTGAGCCACTCTATTTTCGAAATTTTTCGCGATTTTTAAAAATTCATTTTACCTAGGTTAGGTACAAAACTATAAGAATATCGTCCAGAAAAAATTTGCGACAACTTAGAAAATGTGTGTTTCATCTCAGCTTAATCCGGATTTAGTTCAAAACCAGCTATTCGAGTGAAAGGAAACAGTCACAAAATAATTTCTTGAATAATCGTCGACTCTGCTTATTATTTTTTTGATTCCTTTCCGCTGGTGCTTTTAATGCTTTTTATTTGCTCTAGAATCGTCTCGAATTATCGATTTATTCAGCCATTTGCCCGAGTGGCCATGAAACTCGTTAGTCACGAGCATACAGTGGACTACATTGTCGACACCAACACCCTGATCCGCTCCGTTTTTGTGTAGGTTTTTTTGTGAAAAAATTCATTTGATTTTTTTTGCTTTCGAAGACAGCAGCAGCTTGTTCACCGTTTTTTAAAAACCGTAATATCTTAATACTCGAAAATTCGAAAATTGCAAAAAAAATTTGTGTTTCATCATTTTGCATGATTAATTGTTGACCTCACTGGTTATTACCTCGCTGATATGAGTCACCTTTATCAAAATCAATTACAGGCTAGCAGAGATTGTTTGAAGAAATGGACGGGCCCCGAGAGGAGGGCAGGCTAGCAGAGATTGGAGGAGGAAATGGACGGACCCCGAGAGGAGGGCAAGCTAGCAGAGATTGTTTGAGGAAATGGACGGACCCCGAGAGGAGGGCAGGCTAGCAGAGATTGTTTGTGGAAATAAAGTGCGACTCAGGGCCCTCGAATTGTATCCCGGTTTCTTATAATGTCACATTTTTCGCCACAAATTTCGGGTGGCACCGTAAAAACAGCGTCGTGTGGCGGCTGACGGTGGGAAAGGGCGTAATTAGTTTTGAGCTGGAATTTTCTGCCCTCCCTCACTGCTCTCCATACCCCCCCACACCGGAAAATTAGTATTTATTTCTGCGCCGCTGTTTTGCTAAAATTTTTCGGGTGGAAAAATTTTTACCTTCCGCTTTGTTTATTCGCTAAGGTATTCTAAATATTAAACTAGATTTTGCCTATTATTTTGCTTTTTCACCCAAATAAAAAGATCTTGTTATTACAGACCTCCTAAGATTTTTTAAAGTTTGTTTTTACGAAACATATTTTCGTAAAACCATTTTTCGTCAATATTGGTATTAATAAATTTCTATCTTAATCTATCTATATTTTATTAAAACTAAACTACAGCCTTTGTTTGTAATATTAAACTACTACCCTATTCCCTATAGCTTTCCACCAACCCATTAAAATGGTCTTCGAGCTGATCGAGCTCCAATCCCCCCACCACACCATTGACTCGTTGATGAAGGCGAAAAATACGGCTAGGTATCGATTTTTTTTGCTGGATTATTACACTTATTATTCTTTATTCGTGAATTATAAAATTAGCGAAAGTTGAGACAAATTTGCGATTGCCTAAAACTTAGATTTTTGATGTTTCACAAATTCTAAGCTACTGCTATGCTAGTATTGATATAATGGGTTATCGAGGAAGTCTATGACTATTAAAATTTGTGATATTCTACTAAAGCTGCACTATGGTTCCAGCACCGCGACGCGCTAAGGCCCGTCCTTGTATTTTCTAATGGATTACATCTTATTAAAGGGGCTCGGAAGTCAAAATTCGCGGGTGCCGGGATTGAACCTGCTGGTCATAAAAAAACGATGCCGAGAAGACCCAGAAACGTAATTTCGTTGCAAAAAAAAACGTAAAATATTTGAGTAAAACCTAAAAGTTCTTGGGGCGAAAACGACCTTTTGAGTGGGCGGCGATTACATGTCGTAATGCCGTGTAAGGCGCCCAATCACTCGCTCGGTGGTTCTCTGATCAATTTTCAGAATTAAAAAGTCTAGAATGATCAAAATTCGATGAGGATCCCAGAAATCGCGTCAGGATTTTGGAATTCAAGCGTTTTCACGTCCAAACGGGGGCAACAAATCACGCAGCGCGCTCGCGTTGCGGTCGCATTTGACTATTTATTTTTCGTGTGAAACGCACCTAAAAAGGTCTCCATTAGTAAAATTTATGGGTCTTTCTTGAGTCAAAAAGATCAAACACTTTTTTAATTTCACTTTCTAACCCGCAAGAAGCGCTAAAACACGTTACCACCCTAAAGACATTTCAAAGTGATAAAAACAAAAAACCGATGGGCTTAAAAAAACAAAAAAAATAGCTTTACCCCGCTAACAGTCCAGTACCGAAATGCAAATCGATTGGACCGGGATTCCCCCCTAGGTTTAATATTTAATTCGTTTTAATTAGCGCGACCGGGCTATTTTTAAAATAGGGTCTGGATTTGCTCAAATTCTGCACAAAATGAACATGGTTCATCATTATGCCTCAGCAGCTCATTACTGAAACATCAGGTTTTGAAACGCCCGCAACGCCACAATTTCCAAATTCCTCCCCGGCGGTTTTTCTCACTTTTCTTCAGAGGGTCAAATATCCTTTACTAAAAATCGAATCTAAGACACTTACAACGAACACTTACAGTAGAAAAAAAACGGAGCCCATACCAAAGTATCGCCAAAATTTTCATTTTCTTTCATTCTCACTCTCGTCTCATTTGATAGAGAAAAAATTTTTTGAATATGATGACGATATTTATTTTTGGAAAATCAGCCGGGAAAATTAGCATAGTAGGCTTTAAAGATGGGAAAATTCGGGCTAAAATGATCCTAAAATTGCTGTAACTTTGTAAATCGAGCTATTTAGCAAAAATGAAAAACATATCAGCGCAAAATTATAAAAACGCAAGATGAAAACGGAATCAGCGCAAAATTCTGCACAAAATAGGCCTATATAGTTATTTAATGACCAGGTCTTGCACCTAGAAACTCTTAAGAAATCTAAAAAAAAGATTTTTCACGAATTTATAGATTTCTTAGGGAAAGTTTTTCGACAATGGGTTTTGCAGTTTAGCGACAACAGGTTAGCAAATGGACGTTGATTTTCTTGATTTCTCGATCGTGCTCGGTCTCGAAAAATTTCTTGATAGCGGCGATCTGCAAATGGCAGACCAGCAGAGATTCTTTGAGATAATTTACCCGAGTGTGATCTGTAAACATTTATAGTTTGTACCCACTTCGCCCGGCCTGCAATTTTCCAATTAGCGGCCAGCCACTTGGCCGAGCCCATTTGTTGTAGGCGAATTCCCTGCGGGACCTCGGAGCAGTTTTTTCTAGCCGATTTTCACCTGTTTGCCGATCCCCTTCCATTCCCTACAAGGGGCTTCTTCCCCCATCCGGCTATTATTATTTTAATCCCGGTTCCACGTGGGCATCGATTGTTTTTGCGTGTCTGCCCCTGACGATTCCACCCCTATAATTACCGGATGACCAAGCAGGAAAAGCCGAAAAATGGCAAGGCAGCCGGGGAGGAAAAGTGAGTTTCGGAAAATTTTCGACTTCCGGGTTATTTGTATTCGGCAATAATTCAGGGGCTGTTTTCTTTCGATTTCTTTTTAGGTATTTTTTCTGTACATTTCAGTGCTTTTTTGGGGTGATTTTTGGATGATTTTTAAGCATAAAATCCTTACATTATCTTTTCTTTTTTAGATGCGAAAAAATTGTGTTTCTTAGAATTTAATGCTTAGGAAATTCCCGAGCGTGATAATAAATGTTTGGGGCTGACTTGTGAGTTCTGTGAGGTAAAACCAACAAAACCTAGTCCTTTAAAAATCTTGCTTTCCACAGTCGGATCCACTGGAATATTAAACATATTTCGAAGTTTTCGCGCGGATAATTTAATTAATCATAATTGAATGGCTGTCGCCGGTCGAAAAACCTCTATTTTATTTATTTGTCATCGAAAAGACCGATCAAAAGTTAACAAGAAATCGTGGGTTTCACAAAACGAGTTGTTCAAAAAATTTACGTGTTCTAATATTCGTTGACCCCTTCCATTGACTTGTTTGACATCTCTCATGTAAACCTTCTGCTGATCCGTCTACTTAGCGCCCGAACCTGAGATTTTTTGTGAAAAATTTTTGAAACATGTTTTTAGTCCACTTTGAAAAAAGTTTTCTTATCGATTTATGCACAGTTGCGATAGATTGGATCAGAATAATAATAGGACAGCTCTATCCGATTCCCAAGAAATCTAAGCTCTAGCTCCTTATTCGAGTTGAATTCGGCCTCAGACGGAGACCACCGCAAAATTATTATAGTTGGTGACTCGTAGGTAAATCTTCTGCTGATCCGTCCAATTAGCGCGGGAAATTACGATTTACTTGTGAATCATTTTTGAAACTTATCTTTTTGCACTTTCAAAAGTTTTTTTCTTGTCCATTTATCCACAGTTTCGATAGATATTTTCGATAAACCATTAATTTTTTATGTATCAAGTATCGTACAGTTGGCCAGGCAAAAATTCCACCGCCGGTGGCGCGTGAAAACAATAAATTCAGGCCTCCTCCTCCCACCATGGTAATCAGCGGCTTTCTGGGACTATTCTGGGCCCTCCTGCCCTCGGCCTCTTCTATCTCTCTATCTCTCTCTCTCTCTCTCTCTCTCTCTCTCTCTCTCGCCCCGGCCATTGCCATAGAAACTAGGAATGTGTCCCAGTCGCAAATTCCGCTTTCCCAGGCCCCGCCTGGCCTCCCGGGGGTTTTGTATAATTTTTTTGACCAGTTCACAACTAATTTTGAAACATTTCTCAGCGAAGGTTCAAAGCTCTAATTATTCACAACTGAAACCGTTGATTTTAATCAAGTAATCAATAGGCATTATCGATTCCATTAAAAATTTGAAATTTAATGGGTAAAACAGCCCTCGATGGCCAAATGAAATCTGTTAGCTTGCCCCGGAAGCTCTTTCACTCCCTATATTTCTACCTATTTACTATCTCTCTCTCTCGCTGTTCTCTCTCCCCCTCTCTCTCTCTCTCTCTCTCTCTCTCTCTCGTTCTCGCTCCCACTCTAGGTCTTTCGCCCATTCTCACTCGCTTATCTCATTCTCTCTCACTCACGCTCTCCGACTCACTCTCTCGCTGTACCTCTCTTTCGCTCCCTCTCTCCCTCTCTCTCCCACTCTCTCTCTCTCTCTCGCTTTCACTCTGCCTCCGATCCCTGCGCTTGCCTTGCCCCTTAATGTTTTCTAGCTAAGAAGCTCCCTGTCAAATCTCACCAAGGATCCTCAATGCTCTCCGTTAGCTACCTAGCAAAAGTCTTTGCTATTAGAAACCTGTCGCAGTCCCTTTAAAGATAAATTGCTCTTTGTTGCAAGTTCGCAGGTAGGATAAAATGAATGTTTCTGGAAATCCGAGCTTTCGGGCCACATTGGAAGACATAATACCTGCATGTTTCTGTCAGAGCGCGCAAAAAAACAGGACCAAAAGGGTTCCAGATCCCCTAACATCCATGTTTTTCAGATCGATCCGGCGGCGCTCTGAAATGATGGAGAAGTACGAAAGGCTGGGGAAGATTGGCGAAGGATCCTATGGGGTTGTGTTCAAATGTAGGAATCGAGATACGGGACAGGTCCGTTTTCCTCAAACAATCTCTGCTAGCCTGCCATTTCCAGATCGTCGCTATCAAGAAGTTTTTCGAGACCGAGGACGACCCACAAATCAAGAAGATTGCACTGAGGGAAATCAGAATGCTAAAGGTTAGGTGTTTGAAGCGTGAAGCTGCAAAAACGAAGCGTTTGGTGTGAATTACTTGTCGTAATGCCCTGTAAGGCGCTTTATTACTCGATCTTGGCTATTCTCTGATAAATTTTTGACTGAAAACGACTAGAATGATCGGAATTCGGTGAGGATTCCAGAAATAGCGTCAGAATTTTTAAATTCAAGCGTTTAGCGTCCAAACAGAGCCTAGGAGCATGGGGCGCGGTCGTGTTGCGGCCACATCTGGCGATTTGCCGGCAATCAACGCTGACGGAGTGGAGCAGCTTTCTTAGCGCCTTTAGCTTTTAAAGAATTACTAGCCAAATGATCGCCGATTATGGCCCCCCAGTAACCATTTTCCCCTTTCAGCAACTGAAACACGTGAATTTGGTGTGCCTCATCGAGGTGTTCAAGCGAAACCGGAAGCTGCACCTCGTCTTCGAGCACTGTGACCGGACCGTGCTGCATGATTTGGAGAAGAACCCGAGCGGGTGGGTTGTTATTACGTCGAAACATCGACGTGGAAAATAATTGTAAAATATTTGTAAATGATCTTAAAAAAATGTTTCAAGTATTATCAGCAAAAATTTTTTTTAAAACTTGCTAATAGACGTGAATGGACAATCCTAAAAAACTAAAAAATTTGCAAGGGATTCAATAAAACTTTTGCTTTTTGCCGCGATACGCGACGCCTGCCCTTGCATTGCGTAAGGGTTTACGCTAAATTTACGGTTGGCAAAACCGCGTGCGCGTTGCGTGTCGCGGCGAAAACCCGCTACACCAACGATTGCTCGAAAATAATAATCTCAAAAATCAACAACTGGAAAATCAGAATCTCGAATTTTCGGAAGCTCGAATTTTCATAATTTCGAATTTCAGAAACTCGAGTTTTAGAATCTCGAATTTTTTTGAATCTCGAAATATGCCTATGCTGGATTCAGGACGTAGGCGTGCAATTTGCGAAGCCTTTAATGCTGATTTAGAAAAATTTATTAAAAATTTTTTAGCAAACACAAAAAAATGTTTCAGCTTCCCGAGTGTAATTTTTTCGAAGATAACGTCTAGTCTGGTCTCGTGTGAAGTGTGAAAATTACAAATGATCGGGTTTAAAGGGACGGGCAAGGCAGAACCAAAAGTAAAGATGTTTTCAGCCGGGATTCCGTGGGGATATTCCTTGGGACTAAAAACGAATTTTTCCATCGGTTTTCCCGGGGATAAACACCGAAATTCGCCTTTTCGAAATCGACTTTTTGGCTAGAAATGAATTACATGTCGTAATGCCCTCTAGGGCCCCCAATTCCTCAATCTCGGGGTTTCTGTGGCCAATTTGAATATCTAAGACCGCCAAAATGAATAAAAAAGCTTGAGAATAGCGTTAAAAGTTTGAAATTCACGCGATTTCCGGAAAAACAGGGGCTGGTCGGCTTGCGGCGCGGCCGCCTTGCGGTCGCTCTGGCTATTTTCCAGGAAGAAACGCTCAGGAGGTGGACTAGACTTCGCGCCTTTAATCAAATTGCGTAATTTTTCTAGTAAATCAACAGGAATTAATCCTAAAAAAATCCACAAAAAAAATTTAATTAAAAACGAGTTTCAAAAAAGTGCGCATCTAGATGAAAGATATTTCGCTGTAATTCTGTCTTGTTTTCGCCTTTTTTCTAGCTCGCTAGCAATTTTCGTAGCTCGCTAGCTTTAAAATGACGCAAAAAGATGAATTCCAGGATCCCGGAGGACCTGATCAAAAAGGTCATCTACCAGCTGTTGCTGGCCGTCCAATTCTGCCACGCCCACAATTGCATACATCGGTAAGGTTTAACAATTTTAAATGTAGAATTCATTAATTATTTTATTAACTTTTAAATGAACAAGGAAAACAGTTTCCACGATTAATATTAAAAACTTCAGAGTGCGAACTTTAACTATTAAATCGAAAGATAATTTTATCTGCAAAGCTAGAGGTTTCCTTAATTCACAAAAATCAATTATCGTAAAACCCCATAAAAATAGATGGTAAATAATAGCTTTTAGCCTTTAAAACCGGCTATCTGAAAATAAAACATAATCAAATAACAAACTTTAAATTTGCAAAAAATGAATGTTTCTATGATCAGCTAGGCCAATTCCATAACAAACAGATTAATATTGTGTAGTTATTACGTTTTGCTTACCCGGCACTCGCCACTTCCAGAACCAATATAAATTCTTATAAGTTTCATTTCCATTAAATAAATCAATTATTTTTTCCTGAATTGCGGAAGGGGAACGGCGAGTTGAAATCCATGGAAAAACATTTTACCGCGTTACTAAATTTATAAAGAATTTAATATGATGAATAACAAAATTCGAATATGCTATGGCAACCAGGTGTTCATCGGGGAATTGACCTATAGGGTGTCCCAAAAAAACGACCCATCTGGCATTTCGCCGTGTTACATCCAATCGGTCCCAAATTTGGATCAAGGGTGTATCAGACCCTGAATAACAACAATCCTGACTTATAGCCCCGTAGCTATCGTGGTTCTCGAGTTATAACGAAAATATTGTTTTCCCGGAATTCTGAAGCATTTTTTCGGCTATCTTTTTGGACTTTGCATCGATTTGCATCGACTTCCGGCTGGATTAGATAAAAGTCAGGATTGTAGTTATTTAGGGTCCGATACACCTCTGGTCCAAATTTGGGACCGATTGGATGTAACACGGCGAAATGCCAGATGGGTCGTTTTTTTTGGGACACCCTGTATTTGCGGCCCGAACCATCCACTTTTAATTCGATTTTGATTTTATTGCCCCGGAACAATAGCTTTTGATATAGCGACACGCAGCGTGCGTTGCGTTGCGTGTTGCGGCGGATCAGGATCTAAAAAAATTTCGAGACGTGCTCGCCCTTTTAATTTTGATTTTACAGTGACGTGAAGCCGGAGAATATATTGCTGACGAAGAGCGATGTGGTGAAGTTGGCCGATTTCGGTTTTGCACGAATAATTAGTAAGTTATGAAACTTTGAAGTCTAATTTTCGTATTTTTTAGATAATACCGAAATGTACACCGACTATGTAGCAACAAGATGGTATCGGAGTCCAGGTAAAAATTAAGTCTTCCCGGGTAAGCAGACTAGCAGAGATTGTTTGAGGAAATGGACGGACCCCGAGAGGAGGGCAGGCTAGCAGAGATTGGAGGAGGAAATGGACGGACCCCGAGAGGAGGGCAGGCTAGCAGAGATTGTTTGAGGAAATGGACGGACCCCGAGAGGAGGGCAGGCTAGCAGAGATTGTTTGAGGAAATGGACGGACCCCGAGAGGAGGGCAGGCTAGCAGGGATTGTTTGAGGAAATGGACGGACCCCGAGAGGAGGGCAGGCTAGCAGAGATTGTTTGAGGAAATGGACGGACCCCGAGAGAAGGGCAGGCTAGCAGAGATTGTTTGAGGAAATGGACGGACCCCCGGAGGAGGGCAGGCTAGCAGAGATTATTCAGGAACGCACTCCCAATCCTATTAAACTGAAATCCAACCATCGTATCCCCTCTACTTCTGCAACATGTTTTTCAGAGCTCCTAGTCGGAGATACCCAATACGGTCCTCCGGTGGATATTTGGGCCATTGGCTGTGTGTTTGCGGAAATGATAACCGGTGAGAATTACTTGCCTTCAATGACCCTTTAAAGGTAGAAGAACAGGTTCCACGATTCCTCGTGAAAATTAAGAATTTGAAAACGGCGTGCTCCCGTATTATTTTCCCGCTTAGCTTCCTAATAGCGGATTCCTCTGAAACATAATTTTTAATCTGGTCTTTTCGATGCTGGGATTCTGTCTTAAAAACACAATTACTTTCAGGTGAAGCCCTGTGGCCCGGGCGGAGCGATATCGACCAACTTTACTTGATTCGTAAAACGATCGGTGAGCTTTGTATCAATTTTTAAACGTTGGATTCGCTATGGTATTTGATTGCGGAAGTACCTATATTTCCCCAAAATTCGTGCTAACAATTAGCCAAGAAAATAGCCATTCGTTAATTAAATTAAGGTTAGATAACAGGGTTTTTATCCTTAATATTTCAGGTGATTTCCTCCCTCGCCACCTGTCGATATTCCGGTCGAATCAATTCTTCTACGGCCTCACCATACCGGAAGCCGATTCTGAAGAGCCGTTGACTACGAAATTACCCAAGGCCACCAGCACGCAGATCGACTTTTTATTGGTGAGAGTGGAAGAGAGAGAGAGAGAGAGAGAGAGATAGAGAGAGAGCTACATGCTCGCCCTAAAAAAACTAAGAAAGAGAATGTTTTATTAAAAAGGATATTTTGGCCAGTCCGCGTTTGTTTAATTCGACTCTCATACTCCAATTTTTCCCCAGAAATGCTTCGACATGAACCCGGACAAGCGGTGGTCCTGCACGGAACTCTTGTCGCACGACTATTTTAAGGTAAGAATAGTATCAAGGGTATTAAAAAGTGCCCTAAACGCATTAAGATGAAAAAACAACCTTAGAAAAGTAAAAATAGAATTCGTTCGAATAAATTGTTATTTTCAGGGTTATCAACTCCGAATCAAGGAGGAGCCGCTCACGCCCACTGCTAAAAAGGTAATCAAAAGATTGTTTTTTAAAAATCTCGGCCACAAGAAAATGTTACAAAAATAGAAGACTAAACCGGACAATCCCTAGCATCAATCCTCAGCGGAGGTCTTACAGAAATTCTTTAAGCGACTGGGACAACCGAACAGAATCGTAATGCACCCCATATGCATTTTTGGCTACGTATTGGCTATAGCTTTTCGCGCGGGGACACGCGGCGCGCGTACCGGATCACGGCGTGCGCGTCGTGGGTCGCGCTCACATTAAAATTCACAGAAAAACGCCACAATATAGGCGTGGGAGGGGGATTTTTTAAGTTCCGGAAATGTCTAGCAACCTAATAGAAGTATTAGAATAGCTTTTTAGGTGAAATTTAATTTTATTTCGAATAAAACCATGAAAAACGGTAGATGAAATCTTCTAGGTTGAAATTTGGTCAAAAAAATAGGTATTTTGGGCTCTGTATTGAAAATGTTTATGGTTCTAAAGCCTTTAGAAGAGCGAAAACTGTTTAGAAAAACCTCCAAAATTCATATTCGAAAAATTGGATGATAATAAAAATTTCCCAATAACGCAAAAGCCTGAAAAAAGTTTGCGATTCAATGTTTCACAATTCAATGGCGTAATCGATGAATTCGATCCAATTAATGGGTCTCCATTGGAGTCAATCCTAAATAATCCAATGGAGTTCAAAAATGTCGTCATAATCCCCGAATTTCCCTATCAGTGCGCGAAACTGCTAATTCCAGCCACGGTCCTCGAATTGCAAAAATGTTAGGAATCCTTCCATTGTTTATATGAGAAAATGAAAATATAATTAAATTAAATATTTGAGAAATAAAATTTAATTAAATACATTAGAAATAGAAAAACTACCTCCTCCGATAATGCGAAAGCACCAAAAATCCAGAGTCATGGCCACCTCGGTTAGCGGTGTTTCAGAATTCTATGGCGTAGCCGGTTAGCGCGACTCAGTTAATGTGTCATTTTCGGAAGCCGGAACGTAATTCAACAATTTATAAAATTACCAAAAAATCAAACTTTCACATTTTTCAGAATCTTGCTTTTTAATGAGTGAAAATCCATTTTCCAGTCGTAATAAGAATGTTAGATGCTGGATCCTAAGCAAAAGCCCCCCCCCCGATAACGCAAAAGCACCAAAAATATTTGCGATATGATGTTTCCAAATTCAACAGCTAAGTCGCGAATCCGACCCAGTTAATCGATCGAGAATATCTTTGCAAAATGGTAATTTCAGGCAAAATTGAGTTGAGAATTCAAAAATTCCATCAGAATTCCTGATTTTTCGCAATTAATGCGTCAAAACTCTCATTTCAGTCGCCGCCCTCGAACTATCTACCGTACCTCAACGGGGCGCAGAGCGACGCGGCGCGGTTCGCGATGAAAACGCAGCCGGTGGCCCGCGAGACGAACAACAACCTCAACTCACATCGCAACTATTTGCCCACCATTTAAATGTTTTATTGTAAATTTAAACCGGAAAATTCGTTTAATTTGAATTTAAACTGGTTTTTAATTCTACAGTATCCCTCTCCGAAATCTCCAGCGTTTATATATTTTTCTCCTTACCACGGGTCTCGGCTGGAAATCAATTTTGGCCTACCGTAGCCGCGATACCTTCTCGATTCTATGATGTATCTTGTATTTTGTGTGTGATTTTACCTATTTTATAGCGAATATGTGTGAATTTTGAATAAAATGTTTAATTAATGAGATACACAATAAAGCTTATATTACGCTTAAAATTCAGAGAACAGAAGAATTTGGGAAAAAAATAAGTTTCACGATACGGCCTAAAAAAAGAACATTTTTTATCTTTAATCAAGGTTTTGGTGTTCGGGGACTAATTTTGCTCTGGCAGCTGCCATTACAAGTAAATAATAACCTATGTAAATTGGAATTAAAGATTCTTTACCGTTGTTATGTATCGTTAATTGAGGCTTTTTCGTCCTTTATATTTTTCTGCTTTATCTGGAGGGCTGATTATTGATTGGCGAATCTATCAAAATAACGATGGTATCTAAGAATAAGCTTTAGCTTGTATCAAATTAAGGCGAATTTTAGTGCTTTCCATTTAAATATTTAAATAATAGTGTGCCAAAAAATAATATAGCAGGCCTGGGATGAAAGTGATTAATGAATGCGCACTCGATCGTGAATTAAATTTCGATAAAACATTTTTTATTTCCCTCTTTCTTTCCCTCTCACGCTCACTGGTTGTCTCTCTCACTAGCTCTCTCATCCTCTTTGGCTCTCCCCCCCTCTCTCTCTCTCTCTCTCTCTCTCTCTCTCTCTCTCTGTCTCTCTCATCCTCATTCACTGCTTTTCGATCCCTATTTAAAGCCATGCCAAGGCTGTCTATTTAATTAACCCTTCCATAGCGTAATCGATTAGAAGCCACCTCTCACCGACGGGCGGCGCGTCTGCATTGCGTGTCGCGGCCTCCGAATAACGAATTGAATTAACGAATTTTACGGGGAAGAATGAAATTGCATAACAATGAGAAATTTTGACAACAGGCTGGCAGTGATTTTTGCCCAAAAGCAGCCTGCTTTTCCGGTCCCCTTCGCGTCAGTGCTAGCGAGTAATTGGCCCTCCAAGGTTATTGGTAGTCGGCGAAACCCCATTACGAAAACAAATTGCCGCCTTGGTCCCAAACTTTCAGAAACACTTTTTGTTTTACGAATTTTCATCGTTTTTATCGCTTTTTTACAAAGAGCTCGAAAAACCAGTGACCATCCTAACTAAATTACTGCCACGCCCGCGATACGCCACGCGTACTCCTCCTAATCGTTTGCGGCGGATGTGTTCCGCGTTGCGTGTCGTGGCAACCTTTAAATATTGTTTCAGAGATGCCGACCTACAGCCAATACGACTACACGGTTTTTGGGTTGTTATGGGCCGTCCGGATTGTTCAGGCCATTTCTACAGTATTCTACATTTGCATATTGCTCATCCTTCTCTGCCCCTTTAATCGACAATTAAAGGCCAATTTCTACAAGAAAACGATTGCCATGGGTGGGTAGCAAGCAGAGATTGTTTGAGGAAATGGACGGACCCCGAGAGGAGGGCAGGCTAGCAGAGATTGGAGGAGGAAATGGACGGACCCCGAGAGGAGGGCAGGCTAGCAGAGATTGGAGGAGGAAATGGACGGACCCCGAGAGGAGGGCAGGCTAGCAGAGATTGGAGGAGGAAATGGACGGACCCCGAGAGGAGGGCAGGCTAGCAGAGATTGGAGGAGGAAATGGACGGACCCCGAGAGGAGTGCAGCCTAGCAGAGATTGTTTGAGGAAATGGACGGACCCCCGGGAGGAGGGCAGGCTAGCAGAGATCTTTGGGGGAATAGTTGCCTCTCCCCCCCCCGATAATGGTAAAGAACCTTTAGGTGAGTTTAGGTATATTCGACTTGGTCTGTTTCTCAACGACGGTACTCGAATCGGCATTTCGAAACTGGCAGCTCTCCGTCAGACTTTTCTATGCGGTGCTGATCGCGCAGAAAATTGCTAAAAATGGACATAATGTGGGTGGTGAGCTCAAATTTTAAGGGATCGTGTCACAAAGGTTTCGGGCTCAAAAATTTTTTCAGGGTTGGAGTGCAGTTTTCCCCACCCCCCCAGCCGGCACCCAACTTTTTTTATCTCGGCTCCCTGTTCATCTACTGGTGTGTAAAGTATACCAAAGTGTTCGCCTTGCTCTGGCAAGTATTTTGGTATACTTTACACACCTGTAGATGAACAGCGAGCCGAGATACGGTAGGTGGGGGTCGGCTGGGGGGGAACTGCACTTCAGCCTTTTTCAGTTGACGATGATCTCGATGAATGTGGCGAAATTCATGGTACTACGAGATCCGACAGCGCAGGCTAGTGAAGTGGGTCTAAAACTCAGATTTTCTGAAAGAATCTCTGCTAGCCTGCCTTTGCAGGAGTTTCCACGAAAATACTACTGCCTGATCTTCTTCTTGAAGATTTTATTGGGAGCTGTATTGCTGAGTTCCCATCGATTTGTGTGGATTTCTATTTTCGGATGGCCGGACGAAAACTATAATTACAACGTGCCAGTGCTCGATACGGTACGGATCTTTTTGGTGTCCAAAATGGAGTTGTCACATGCTGGTAGTTCCCTCATATTCATGAAACAACTTTGTTCCAAATTTTTGAGGCTCGACAGATCCTCGACGGGTGAAATTTTGTTGAAAACGTTTACTTGAACCTATTGCAGGTTATCCGTCTGTATACAACAATTGTGACAACGTTACCATGCCTGATCTGCGGCTCGCTGAACCTGGCGCTCATCTACTTTTGGCGGAACCTCGAGTTCGGGGCGGTCAAGGAGAAATTGAGATGCTGGGAGGGAAGGCAGCTGATTTATTCTGTTGTGAGTATTTTTCTGGGAATTGCCTTGTTTATTATTCTTCGAATCCCTAAAAATATGCAGCACGTTTTCGTCTGATTTTGGAATCGCTGGCTAGCTTTTGGAAATCATTCTTGAAATTTAGAAATTGTATGTTTTTGTAGATATTTTATGCTGTCAACCAATTTGAACCATTTAATATAATAAAAACCTAATATAAGCCTGTTTCATCAGCTATCAAAGGAATTCTATCTCTTTTAGTTAATCGTCCTCTCCTCCCTGCCGATGTCTATTTATCAGATTATCAAAATCTACGCAACCTGGGTGGATGCAGACGAATTGCTTGAGGACGCCACCGAAATTGTAAGTGTCAACAATTTATCCAATTTTCAAGCTAAAACAATGTTTTAAAAATAATTTTTTCCGCCGGTTTTCTGCGCTCAAAAACTATTTTTTAAATTTTTTAATGATTTTTATTTTTATCGTTATTAACTTTTGGTTCAAAATTCTTAGCCTTATATAAAAAATTCGTACATTATTCACAAATATGATTAAAATTCAACCAAATTCCAAATTAAATCGTTATTTAAAATTTTCTAATTGTTTTTACATGGAAATCTGCCAAAAAGGGCCATTAAATTTGTTTTAAAAGGTGTATTTAACAGAAACTGAAATTTTAAATTTTAAAATCAGTTTTAGAGCCACAAACTCCCTACAAACTTTTCCACAAACCGCTTAAAACTTTAATGATTTCCGGAAAATAATTGGCTTAAGTGCGGTTTCCCCCGAGCCCAACCCCACATGCCGTATCTCGGCTCCCTGTTCATCTACAGGTGTGTAAAGTATACCAAAATACTCGCCACAGCATGACGAACATTTTGGTATACTTTACTGACCTGTAGATGAACAGGGAGCCGAGATACAAAATGTTGGGTGCCGGCTGGGGGGGGCGGGGGGTTCAACCAAATAATTGCAAATTACCGCAAACGATTGCGATATCGATAAACACGGCCCGCAGTTGTGTACCTCATTTTTTGAAAAACACGATTTCTAATTAATTTAAATTCATTTTCAGTCGGACATTTGCTACCTGGGATTCGAGTTTGGCAACGCGTACATTTTATTTTTCCTGAATCGCGATATTCGCCAAGAGTTCGTGCTGCGGTCCTCAAAAATCCGTGCTTGCTGCCCGAAAGCGGTAATTACGGTAGATGCCGAGAGGTATTCGGAAAAACCCGCGGGCAAAATAAATAAATTGTAAAAAAACGTGACACATGACCGAACCTAATGGAATTCCTCAAAAACTGGGAGCTAAAGGAGCATAAAATGATGCAACATTTTCACACAACTGAAACAAAAAAAATCAAAAAGGTTCTTTGGCATTATCAGGGGGGGTGAGATAGGCTAGAAATTCCTATTAACATAATCGTAATTTTTTTAGCAGTTTTTAGTAAATGTGGCAATATTTCGAAGGCAAAGGTATCTAAAATCTTCCAAAAAAAATCAAAATTTGTCCAAAAATCTATGTTTTTTGTATTTTCTGATCAAAATTTGTAAAGTTTGTACGTGAAGAACTAACAGAAATAGCTTAGAAACACTGCATCTATTTATACAAAAAATGGATACTAATCCCCCCCCTCCCCGATAATGCCAAAGCACCAAGGCAGGTTTTGCAAGAAATGGCTCTGATTGAATTATTAGATCTTGTTTGGAGCCTGGGGCGAGATATTCTTGAAACATTAAAATTTTATAGCAACCGAACGAGATGAACAACAACAACAAATCACAGCAATAAAAACCCGTAACTGGAAAAACAAAGCTTTAGCCAAATAGTCCGGAAAACCGGAATTAACCCCAATAATTCACTAGGTCTCGACAGCTACGCGTCGATACTTTCAGTATCTTGGAAAATTATCGAACTGTCAAAGACTAGTCTATAGAAAGTGTCGATTCCTGACTTTCTTGCCTATTAAAATAAAACATAATAATAGTAATTATCATTAAATAGCCCGTTTTTTACAGTAGCACAATATTCTCAAGTCGAAATTCTTGGCATCAGATTGGAGACAGTCAGCTGTCGAGCCGTATCTGAAAAAGATAGAATTTCGCGGCAGCAAGCAGAGATTGTTTGAGGAAATGGACGGACCCCGAGAGGAGGGCAGGCTAGCAGAGATTGTTTGAGGAAATGGACGGACCCCGAGCGGAGGGCAGGCTAGCAGAGATTGTTTGAGGAAATGGACGGACCCCGAGAGGAGGGCAGGCTAGCAGAGATTGGAGGAGGAAATGGACGGACCCCGAGAGGAGGGCAGGCTAGCAGAGATTGTTTGAGGAAATGGACGGACCCCGAGAGGAGGGCAGGCTAGCAGAGATTGGAGGAGGAAATGGACGGACCCCGAGAGGAGGGCAGGCTAGCAGAGATTGGAGGAGGAAATGGACGGGACCCCGAGAGGAGGGCAGGCTAGCAGAGATTGGAGGAGGAAATGGACGGACCCCGAGAGGAGGGCAGGCTAGCAGAGATTGTTTGAGGAAATGGACGGACCCCGAGAGGAGGGCAGGCTAGCAGAGATTGGAGGAGGAAATGGACGGACCCCGAGAGGAGGGCAGGCTAGCAGAGATTGGAGGAGGAAATGGACGGACCCCGAGAGGAGGGCAGGCTAGCAGAGATTGGAGGAGGAAATGGACGGACCCCGAGAGGAGGGCAGGCTAGCAGAGATTCTTTCGGAAAACCTACTTATTCACCCGGTCCCATTCCTTTTCCAGCAATTGCAAGCTGCCATTCTCCAATTCCACGTAGGTTGTCTAAAAATATGTTGCGTGTAAAAAATACTGAAAAACCAGAAAGACTAATTGACAAAAATTGATGTTTTTTGGGTTGAATTGGCATTCTTTGCGAAAATAAAGTCAATTCTGTAGGTTTTGAAATCTCACAATAAGTTTCGCCTCGTTTTTCGTAGTGAAATGGACACGGTAGCGGGCTTTGTAAAATTTTGACGGGATCGACAGCAGCTTCCCGACCTGAAAATCCCACCTTATATAATTTTGGTGCGTATCTTTGTCTGTATGTGTGTGTGGATGTCACTTTCGAGGGCCTTCCCGTGTCCAAAACGGCCCAATACTTCGTCAATTGGGGGAATCGACCTTCCTCTTTCCGATGATGTTCTCAGAATTTCGATAAAATACAAGTTTACAAAGTTAAAGCCTGTGTATCAGGGTTGGTCATTTTGCGTCCCGTCCCCGTCCGTCCGCGTCCGGACGGGGACGCGGGACCGTCACCCTAATTTGCATAAAATTAGGGGACGGACGGGGACGCGTCCGGGAAGGGACGGACAGACAGACGGGGGACGGGGTGACGGTCAGCGTCACCCCGTCCCCGATGCAAATGCCGAAATGCAAATGGGTTTCCTACCAGTAATTATTTCGGGTCTCCTTCTCGTTTCTTTAGAGGAGTCAAAATACATGCAACGAGGCCAAGCTGGGAGTTATACCGAGATGGCGTCGGCGCTGCAGATAATCACCACCGTTTTTTCGGAACTTGCTACAGAGCTTAAAAATTCGAGATATTCAAGTTAGAAAGCAATTGGTTACTTACTCTACGTGCTAGGTTATAAGCACTTCATCGTAATCATGCTATCGACGTTTTGTACCTTGCTCTGCGAAATTCTAAACCCAGCCGGTGCGTGATTTGAATGCCATTACTTTATCCCCGTAATTTGCATCGGGGACGGGGACGCTGCCCCGTCACCGTCCGTCCCCACCGTCCCCGTCCCGTCCCCGTCTGTCCCTGAACAACCCTGCTGTGTATTCATTTTTGGGGGAGGGGGGCAGGAAGGCTAATTTGCATAATGCGAAAAATAGAAAGGCCCCAAGCCGGACCCAAGCTATCGGAAAGTCAAAACTTTCATGCAAAGGCCGCATTCCAGCGCCCAAGGCCCGCGAAGCGGGTTTTGGGCGCTGGTCATGGTATAAAATGAATTCCGACCATCTCGCCGAAAACCATCTCGCCGAAAAACCATCTCGCCGAAAACCATTTCGCCGAAAAACCATCTCGCCGAAAACCATCTCGCCGAAAACCATCTTGCCGAAAACCATCTCGCCGAAAAACCATCTCGCCGAAAACCATTTCGCCGAAAAACCATCTCGCCGAAAACCATCTCGCCGAAAACCATTTCGCCGAAAACCATCTCGCCGAAAACCATTTCGCCGAAAACCATCTCGCCGAAGACCAACTCGCCGAAAATCTAATTTTGTATGCAAATTTTTTCGCGTATTTGCGGTCATCCCCGGGTCACAAAAAAGTAAAGAAAGTTGCTTTTTTCAGGGTCTCTGTGCACGGACACTTCCCCTATGATTTGAGGCCGAAAACCGATTGGTTCAGTCATGCTCAGTGTTTTTTCCAGTATAAGACCAAAATGGAACAAGCCTGAAAAAAATTTGCATACAAAATTAGATTTTCGGCGAGTTGGTTTTCGGCGAGATGGTTTTCGGCGAAATGGTTTTCGGCGAGATGGTTTTCGGCGAAGTGGTTCTCGGCGGGATGGTTTTCGGCGAAATGGTTTTCGGCGAGATGGTTTTCGGCGAGATGGTTTTCGGCGAAATGGTTTTCGGCGAAATGGTTTTCGGCGAGATGGTTTTCGGCGAGATGGTTTTCGGCGAAATGGTTTTTCGGCGAAATGGTTTTCGGCGAGATGGTTTTCGGCGAGATGGTTTTCGGCGAACTGGTCCGATACCGTATAAAATGTTTGTTTCAGGGAAAGATCGGGTGTTCCATAAATTGCGGAAAACAATCGGAAACAATGTTTGCCGCGTCATTCCATCTCATGTTTGATTAGAGCCTGCTCTAGGTGGATTCTTGGTTTTTACGCGACAGCGACCGCAACGCGCTCTCTTACGCGCGTTGCGTGTCGCGGGCTCGGAAACAGGAAAGGCCAAATATACCTCTTCAAGCTTCACTTCCTCGCATTGCCCATCAACGCCACGCTCTCGGAGATGTTTATTCACATCGGCTACCGCCAGTTCGCCCAATTTTTTCTTCAGTGAACCATCCCTAAAAATCAGGCAGTCTAGCAGAGATTGTTTAGGACGAGGGACAGAGAGAAAGAGGGAGAGGGAGAGAGAGGAAGAGAGTGATAGCGAGAGCGAGAGAAAAAGAGAGAGCAAGGGTCAGAGGGAGAAAAAGAAAGAGAGCGAGAGTCAGAGTGAGAAAGAGAGAGCGAGAGTCAGTGTGCCAGAGCGAGAGTCAGTGTGCGAGAGCGAGAGAGAAAGAGAGAGAGAGAGAGAGCGAGAGGGAGAAAGAGAGAGGGAAAGAGAGCGAGATAGCGACCTACCTGATCTCCTCCTGTCCATAATCGCACAAACAGTACTGTGATGGGATCGGTAGCGTTCTAAAAAATTACGATGAATCCAGCTCAAAATCGGGCTTTCCTAATCGAGCTACTAATTTTAAACACCGTCTCGATAAACTGCACTTTTCTCGTGTATCCAGAAAAAAGTGTTGCCTATTTTTGCCACTTTTTTCTTCGAAGGCGCGAAATCAATCCAATAATCCAACGCGCTTTAACGGATGGTGGGATTTCTAATGAAGAAACAAATCAATGCAACCAAGCAACTCCACGGCCCAAAAATTGTGATCAGATTAGATCCTACTCGAATTGTGTTCGCGCAAACCAAGAAAGAGTGGCAAAAAAGCGCAACATCATATTTTGTCGGGCGTAAGAAAATCGTAAAAAAAATTAAAAAGCTTAAATAACCCGGCAACCAACTTGCAAGTTCTCGGCACGCCCGACTCGAAACGTCGCAGCCACGAAGATCCGTATGTGCCATTAATGCGTAGATAGGAGGTATCAGTGAAATTGGAGGACGGTTGGTGCTAAAAAAGTTGAATTTCCTGAAAGATCTCTGCTAGACTGTCCTCCTCTCGGGGTCCGTCCATTTCCTCCTCCAATCTCTGCTAGCCTGCCCTCCTCTCGGGGTCCGTCCATTTCCTCCTCCAATCTCTGCTAGCCTGCCCTCCTCTCGGGGTCCGTCCATTTCCTCCTCCAATCTCTGCTAGCCTGCCCTCCTCTCGGGGTCCGTCCATTTCCTCCTCCAATCTCTGCTAGCCTGCCCTCCTCTCGGGGTCCGTCCATTTCCTCCTCCAATCTCTGCTAGCCTGCCCTCCTCTCGGGGTCCGTCCATTTCCTCCTCCAATCTCTGCTAGCCTGCCCTCCTCTCGGGGTCCGTCCATTTCCTCAAACAATCTCTGCTAGCCGTCAAATTACCCGAATAATGTCGACCAGAGTGGCGTGAAGATCATGATGAGAAGACAGGAATTCGCTATTTCTGAAAAACCCATAATTAGCTATTTTAAAGGGAACGGGCCAGCAGGAAATCGATTTTAATTGTTCGAGAAAAAAAAGAGAAGAAGAGCATCTCAAAAATAAACAAAAATTGAAAGCAGAATCAAATAAGCTAAACCGAAAAACTACCTTTTGAGCACTTTTTGCATGTTTGTCTCCCTTAATGTTTTCGGGAGTGAGACGAGCATTAATGGGTTGTTTTTGTCGTACAATCCCTGCTTGGTATTTACTGCCTAAAAAATGTATGGTAACACAGTCAGAAGTTTGACATCCAGTATGATCTACAGTATCCCTTTTACAAAACTCACACTATCATATCGTGGCCCGTGGTCGCCCATCACGATTGTCACCGCGTTGTCAAACTGAAAATCGTTAGAATTCCGCGAAATCACAGCACAAAATTGGCTGCAAAGCCCAGTCAAAAACCGAAGTCAGCGTAAGCTAAGCTTCCGAAGTCCTGAGCCTAAGCCTAAGCCTAAGCTAAGCAAGCCTAAGGAAGATTTGAAGCCGACTTATCTTTTCGCAGAACTGTGCTAAAGAAATGAGAAATAGCTCGTTTAGAAGAGAAAAAAGTATGCTACAAAGCCTAATCAAAAACACATATTAGCCTAAAGTAAGCTAAGCTTCCGAAGCCTAAGCTAAGCCTAAGCCCAAGCCTAAGCAAAATTGAAGTCGACTTATTTCCTCGCCGGATTGTGCTAGAGAAATGAGAGACAGCGCGTTTGAAGGAGCGGAAAATGTGCTACAAAGCCCAATCAAAACCGAAGTCAGCCCAAGCCATCCTTCCGAAGCCTAAGTAAGCCTAAGCAAAATTTGAAGCCGACTTATCTCCTCGCAGGAATTTGGTAGATAAATGAGAGACAGCGCGTTTGAAAGCGCAGAAAATTGGCTACAATGCCCAGTCAAAAACCGAGGTAAGCCTACGCTAGGCTTTCGAAGCCTAAGCTAAGCCTAAGCAAAAATTAAAGTTGACTTATCTCTTTGCAGAAAGGTGCTAGAGAAATGTGAGCCAGCTCGTTTGAAAGAGCATGAAAAAGGCTACAAAGCCCAGTCAAAAACCAAAGTAAGCCTAAGCTGAGCTTCCGAAGCCTAAGCTAAGCCTAAGCAAAACTTAAAGTCGACTTATCTCTTTTTAGTCGTCTTCGTCTTCGTATCCGCAAGAACCTACTTTATGCTTATTCTCCTCGAAAAACCGTCGAAAGTCGTGGTCGGTGTTGGCCATCGGTCGTTCCGAGTCGTGCGACGCAGCCACGCTCCACATTAACGACATTTTTGGGGTTCCTAGGAAAAGGAAAGGTACCGTAGTTTAAGGGTTTAAATGGCATAAAGGATTTTAATTAAATTTAATAATCGTTTTCAGTGCATGCTTTAAAGGGAAAGGTACGCCTCGCCATCTATCACGCAACTGCTGTTCGCAAACAATGTTTCGGAAAAAGTCAAACTTTGGAAGAACTTTTGCGCCCTAATTCCTCGAGGATTTATGTGTCTTTAAATGGTTTTTTTACCATTCCTAAACTGAAAACCTTACAAATTTTTATAAAAAAACATCAAACATATAATTTTTGACGAAAAAAGGCGGATTTTTACGAAAATTTCGACTTTTTCTAGACGTTTTACAGTTTTTAGATAGTTTTTATAGTTTAAATATAGTTATTTTTTTTTTTTTTTTATATATAAGCGAGAAAAGTATGTTTGTTTTCTGTAATGACGATTTCTCGGCCGTCAGGCCGAATTTCGCGCTGATTTTTGGCATGGAGGTGGAGAAACGCATTTGCCAGACACGCATTTTTTTGTTTTTCGAAATTCCTTCATTTAACAATTTTACAAGCAAAATGGTGAAAATCCTTAACAAAATGGGCTACGAGCCATGGTGTCCGGGCCATAACTCGAAGGCCTGATGGAATTTCGGGCTGAAATTTGGATCACTTATGTATTCGATAGTGGGGATCACGCGCATCTTATTATTTTTACAAATTTTCGGCGCATTCAAACTAAAAAAAGCGATTTTGCGAAATTACTAGAAGTCCTCCCGCCCGGGTTGAACCCCGCCCCCAGGATCGAAGAGGCCTTTCCGCCTCCCGTCCCCATGCCCCCTTTGGTATAGTGGCTTGACGCCCGGTCCACCACGCACATGGTCCAGGGTTCGGATCCTCAGCAAATATACCTTTTTGCTTTTTGATAGTTCAACAACAAAGCATATTTCGAGGCTCTCGGTAGGCCTAGGTCCCGAAATTAGGCCAATCCCTCGCTCTAGCGCCGCAGGCCAAAGAATAGGCCCTTGGCCCGGGTTCTAGCGCCGCAGGCCAAAGAAAAGGTCCTTGGCCTGGGCTCTCGCGCCGCAGGCCAAATGCTGAAGAAAAACCAGTAGCTAGCGCCGCAGGCCAGAGAATGGTTCCTAGAGACAGGCTCTTGCGCCGCAGGCTTGAAAAACGGAAGGGGATTATATCGTTCCTAGACGGGGGCCAGTGGAAAAGGGCCGCGAAGCGGTCATTTTCCACTGGTAGAGTTATATATTACTAAAAACCCGAATAAAGCTCTGTCTATAAACTTACTAGGCATTTCTAGACTTCTGCAAAAGCTCCCCCCCCCCCCGGAAATGCGAAAGAACCTCGCGCTCTACCTTGCCAGCAAGTCAATTTCTGACTTTTCAGATGGCACACTACAGCTTTATTCAGTTCAGTTATTCAGTCTGTTATGACTGTGATTATTCAGTTATGACTCGAAGGGGAAAAGAGCTAGAGCTTAGGTCTCTTCGGATTCGGATAGAACGTGGTCAGAAACCCCCAAACCGATAAAAAAAATATGAAAAACTTTGTTTAGATTATTAAAATTAACTTTGAAAGTGGCGCCTTTGTAAAACGAGCGGGGACGGATGTTTGCACGATTTTGGGCATAGTGAGCCAGTTCGCGCGCCTTTCGGCCGTAGGGAGGGAGCGCAGGGGCGTAGGCCGAAGTCCAGCCGCTTGCAGTGGCGAAGGCGCTCGAAGCGGCTGGGGAAATATATGTGATGTTTGAACACAAGGTAGGTTTACAAATCGATGTTTCGAAAAAAGCCATAACCTGGCGGAAATGTTGTACCGTAATCATTCGCCATGGGGATTTTTTTGGCTATTGACTCCAGTCTGATTTCTTCGACTTTGCGACTCAATTTTTTTTGATAGGCAGCGCATTCGCCTTGCCGCCTTCACGGAGATTGTATAACGCAGCCGAAAATCGCGCGTGCGCGTCGCGTGCCATCGATCCGACCAAATTCGGGGAAATCGAAAATTCTCAAAAAGTCTTGTTTCGAAAGAAATATGATTCAAAAATCGACGAACCCCAGGTTGTCCTGGATTCAATAATCACTGCTGGCGTTTCGCTTAAACTACTACGAGCCCACATACATACCCGGATAGGCGTCGATGAACTTCTTCTGGTAGTCGAGCAGGTGGACGTATGGGTATCGGCACTTATCGTGATCAAAAATGGCATCTTTTAGCAGACGATCGGTTTGGTAAGCGCCGCGGATTTGGAAGGGGCTGGAAATGACACATCTTGAATTTCCTCAAAGAAGCTCTGCTAGCCTGCCCTCCTCTCGGGGTCCGTCCATTTCCTCAAACAATCTCTGCTAGCCTGCCCTCCTCTCGGGGTCCGTCCATTTCCTCAAACAATCTCTGCTAGCCTGCCCTCCTCTCGGGGTCCGTCCATTTCCTCAAACAATCTCTGCTAGCCTGCCCTCCTCTCGGGGTCCGTCCATTTCCTCCTCCAATCTCTGCTAGCCTGCCCTCCTCTCGGGGTCCGTCCATTTCGTCCTCCAATCTCTGCTAGCCTGCCCTCCTCTCGGGGTCCGTCCATTTCCTCCTCCAATCTCTGCTAGCCTGCCCTCCTCTCGGCGTCCGTCCATTTCCTCAAACAATCTCTGCTAGCCTGCCCTCCTCTCGGGGTCCGTCCATTTCCTCCTCCAATCTCTGCTAGCCTGCCCTCCTCTCGGGGTCCGTCCATTTCCTCAAACAATCTCTGCTAGCCTGCCCTCCTCTCGGGGTCCGTCCATTTCCTCAAACAATCTCTGCTAGCCTGCCCTCCTCTCGGGGTCCGTCCATTTCCTCCTCCAATCTCTGCTAGCCTGCCCTCCTCTCGGGGTCCGTCCATTTCCTCCTCCAATCTCTGCTAGCCTGCCCTCCTCTCGGGGTCCGTCCATTTCCTCCTCCAATCTCTGCTAGCCTGCCCTCCTCTCGGGGTCCGTCCATTTCCTCCTCCAATCTCTGCTAGCCTGCCCTCCTCTCGGGGTCCGTCCATTTCCTCCTCCAATCTCTGCTAGCCTGCCCTCCTCTCGGGGTCCGTCCATTTCCTCCTCCAATCTCTGCTAGCCTGCCCTCCTCTCGGGGTCCGTCCATTTCCTCCTCCAATCTCTGCTAGCCTGCCCTCCTCTCGGGGTCCGTCCATTTCCTCAAACAATCTCTGCTAGCCTGCCCTCCTCTCGGGGTCCGTCCATTTCCTCAAACAATCTCTGCTAGCCTGCCCTCCTCTCGGCGTCCGTCCATTTCCTCAAACAATCTCTGCTAGCCTGCCCTCCTCTCGGGGTCCGTCCATTTCCTCCTCCAATCTCTGCTAGCCTGCCCTCCTCTCGGGGTCCGTCCATTTCCTCCTCCAATCTCTGCTAGCCTGCCCTCCTCTCGGGGTCCGTCCATTTCCTCCTCCAATCTCTGCTAGCCTGCCCTAAATTGCATTCCCTACCGCATATAATGTGTCGCCAGCTGCTTCTGAAGCCCCTTGCAATTCGTGTAAGCAAAATTGCCCAAATAGTAGTCGCAAGCCCACATCGTCTTGTAGCCCGCATCCTGAAAGGCCTTTGCTGGCACGCTCCCTTTAAAACCGACCTCATATTCAAACATGACATATGTTTCATTGTCCAGCGGCCTGCCACATGACTCGTTTTCATCCAGGGTATACGGTAGTACGTCCCGAACCCCGAATACCCGCCGGTCCACCGGGATCGGGATCTCGCCTGGAATGTTGGTGGTTAGTTACCCCAGCTTTGAATACGTTACCAAATAAAAACGCTATCGAGTTGGGCTTGCTGTTTTCGGCGACTTTGGCCACGTGATAGAAGGGTACGGCTTGGAGGGCTTCTTCCAGAAATACCATTGTGGCTGGCATCTGTCTGAAATGGGCAGGCTAGCAGAGATTCCTTAGGAAACCAACCTAAATCCGCCGGTCATCGACATGGCATCGAGAATGATAATGTAGACGTCCGGATGTAAGGTATTTTCCGTGATATGTCGCGCATTTGTCGGTCGACCCAAATCACCGAATTCCTTCAATCGGTCTCGACTGGAAAATTCTCTCTCTCTCTCTCTCTCTCTCTCTCTCTCTCTCTCTCTTTCTCTATCTCTATCTCTCTCACTCTCTCGCACTCTCCCTCTATCTATATCTCTCGCACTCTCTCACTCTCGCTCTCTCTCTCTCACGCCCCCTTTTTCGCTCGCTCTCTGGCTCTCCCTTGCTCTCTCTCTCACGCTCTCTCATTCTTTTTCTCTCGCTCTTTCGCTCTCACTCTCTCGCTCTCTGTCACTCGCTCTGTCACTCGCTCTCTCTCTCGCTCTCTCTTTCTCTCTCGCTCTCCCCCAGAAACGTACCTATATTCGTAAATCTGCGTATGCAAATATTTGTAGTCGATTTTCCCGTCGCCAGCTTTGCACTGCACCTCCACCACGTCACACAAAAATTTGGTGCCTTTAATAGGCTGCCATTCGTCGGAGCGAATCGCGTAATTCGCCTTGTAGTAGATGCATCTGAAATGATGGATCATAAAGCATAAAACTGAGTCTCAAAATATTTTTTCATTTATCGGCCAAATGCGATCATTGAAGCAAGACAGGTGCATGCCGGGTTCAAAAATTTCGAAACATTTTTTCTATCTAATTTTGAAAACGACCCTGGGTTTCAGTATTAGGTCCTGCTATCAAATTTTTCGGGTTTTTTGAAACAAGCTGATACCGAAACAGCATAACGGTATAGAAAAATAGGACAAGGTTCTCAAAAAAAAATTCGAAGGATTCAAATTTAGGATTTCCTAGATCCCGCTTTACGAGGTTGCGACGGACTCCCGCTACTGACTACATCATAAAACGAACAAAACAGTTTTTAAAAAAACCTTCTTCTAGCCGTGGGAAAACTTACCGCCCTTCACAGCTGTGGCCCGAACTTTGCCGATTTTTTGGGTTCAGCAAAATTTGCCCATTTTCGAACGACGTCAGCAATTCCTGGGGACGACAAGCTTAAAAAACAGGTATGCGAGCAGAGATTGTTTGAGGATCGTGAGTTTGAAAAAAACTCACAGGTGATCTCGCTTTTCCCGAGTTTTGCCATAAATTCATCCTCCCACGGGTCTTTCCGCTTCAACGGGCACGTATCAAAGATGTCGCGTGATGGTGTCGATAGTCCATCCTCGTAGTCTTCATCCGAATCGTCGTATGCCTTGGGTCGTTTCATCGGACGCTCTGTTTCGCCGTCATTGATCTCTAAAATTCGCAAGAGACTGCTTGGAAATCCGGGAAATCAGAGTCCGGAAGGTTTTCGTAAAACTCCAAAAAACGTGAAACTCACTGTCATAATCGTGTCGAGGACGGGGCAGCTTGAGTGGGAGTTGCACTGAAAAAAGTTCTATTACGGCTTAAGTGCAGTTTAGCCCCCCCCCACCCCAGCGAGACCACAGCCGACCGTATCTTGGCTCCCTGTTCATCTACAGGTGTGTAAAGTATACCAAAATGTCCGTCTTGCTCTCGCGAGTATTTTGGTATACTTTACACATTTGTAGATGAACAGGGAGCCGAGATACACAAGTTGGGTGCCGGCTGGGGGAAGGGGGAAGCTGCACGCCAACCTCTATTACTATTTAGAGCCAGACTTCCGGTGGGAATTTTTTTCGAGTCTTAAAGTACGGTCCGACTCACCCATCATGACCTCCTTGATCTCCTCGTAGTAGATGAGGCACAATAATGAAGCGCATATTAGTAGAAGCCCGGCGACGGCCTGCCGCTGCTCCAGCATCTAAGCCGCCCGGAGATCCCTGGAGAACTTAATATTCTAACTGTCAATAGCTAGACTACGGCTAATAAAATACCGCAAAAAAAAGTGGAGAGCCCTTTAGATACATGGAATTTTTATTGAATGTAGCCCAGCGGGTAGCCGGTGCCCTCGAATTCATAATCGGCGAAATGGTCGAATATCAAACACCAATCAAGCGACCAGAAAAAATTTAAAGGGGAAGGGGGAATTTAAAGGGAAAAACGCGGCAATTCCAAAAATTCTGAAGCTATTTTTGGAATCCTCATCGAATTTTGATCGTTCTAGAAGTTTTAATTATGAAAATTGATGAGAGAATGACCGAGATCGAGAGAATGCCTTACGACATGCAGGGACGTAGCGTAAGGTTGCCCCCCCCCCCCCCGAAATCGGCCGGGGCTTGAAAATTTCATAAGGGGGGACCCTTATGATTTTTGTTTTCTCAAAAATTTGCTGCCTGCGGCGCTATTTTTACACGTTTTTACTGCAATTTGTCGAGCTATGCAGCCTTTTTTCCAAAATTTTTCGCCTGCGGCGCTGTTTTCTAGTTAATTTTTTGAGTTTTCGGAAAAATTTTTCGGGCCCCCCCCGAAATTTTTTTTCTGGCTACGCCCCTGACGACATGTAATCGACGCGCACTCAAAATCTTCGACCCGCAAAAACATTTCGGGTTTTTTTCAAATATTTTGCGTTTTTGCGCAACGAAATCAATTTTCTGGCGCTTTTCGGCGGCAATCGTTTTTTAACCAACAAGTTCAATCCCCAAGCACCCCGAATTCTGACTTCTGAGCCCCTTTAAAGCCACGGGAAAGTCCCAAAAAGCCCGGCCTTCCTGGTTGATGTCTTCTGAAAAGCAAAAAAAGACTAGAATCCAGTCCCCGGAAGCAGAACTAGTCGTATCTGGTATTCTAGGACCCTTGTGCCAAAGCATCGCTTTTCCCAAAAAAATTTGCTGAACTTCCCAGGCAATAAATAATAACCGGGGGAGACAAATAACGAGGGGAAAACCAGGGTTCGATGGGCTGGGTGAAAAACCCAAGCCTAAAAACCGCCTTGGAGGTTGTTTAAGAAAGTTCTAAGGGGGTTTGATGGGTATCATTCCACGCGGAAGAGTGAAATGCATCGATTGAGGTGGCTTACAGCCTGATCCGATACCTATCCGGAAAACCGCAGCCGTAAAACAGCTTTTTGCTAAGATTTACATAAATTGAGGTCTAGAGGTTCGCTAGCAAGGTTCTAAGGGGTTTTTATGGGTATCATCTGACGCGGAAAAGTGAGACGCATCGAATGGTGTAGCTTAAAACCAGAATCGAGTTCATTCCGGAAAAATACTCCCGTAAAACCGCTTTTTTGTTAAGATTTGCACAAATTGGGGTTGGAGGTTGTCTGGAAACGTTCTAAGGGGGGGTTTATGCACATCAATCGAACCGGAAGAGCGAGGTCGATCGGATGGTGTGCTTAAGCCCTGATCTGCCGCCTCCTGGTGATCAGCTATAGGCAAAAGACTCGCTCCGTCCCAATCAAATCGAATCCTGGTGAAAACAGTTCCTCTTCAGGTAATGCTGCGATTTTGAAAAATGCCATCGGATAGAGCGGGGTCAAAAGACTTTACAGTCACTAATAATTCGCGCGTGCCCAGAAGTCCATTTTCCGTAAATATTACGAAATTTCTCAAGTAGTTTGCGTTTTTTCACAACGAAACACCAATTTTTTTTGGTACCCTTCGGCAGTAATTGTGTGAATTTTTGGACCAACTTGTCTAGCTGTATTTTGGCGTTTTCCCCTTCCGGCAATATAACTAATTTTAGACAGTATCCTTCCCGATTTTTTTGACTTCGTAGTACCTTTAAATGGGCGATGAAGTCAGGCTTCGCGTGTTCGGTGGCCAGGGGCGTAGCCAGAAAAAAATTTCGGGGGGAGCCCAAAATTTTTTCCCAAAATACTCTAGAACTTTAACGAGAAAACAGCGCCGCAGGCGAAAAATTTTCGATAAAAGGCTACTTAACTCTACAAATACTAGTGAAAACGTGAAAAAATAGCGCCGCAGATAGCAAACTTTTTGAAAAAATATAAATCATAAGGGTCCCCCTTATGAAATTTTCGGGCCCCGGCCGATTTCGGGGGGCGGTCCCCCGGGGCCTGTATTACGCTAGGTCCTGTCGACAGGCCCCCCGGGGCCTGTCGGTGGCTATTCGTCCAAAAATTGACACGGTTACTGCCGAAAAGTACCAAAAAAAAATTGGTGTTTCGTTGCAAAAAAGCGCAAACGCCTTGAGAAATATCGTAATATTTCCGGGAACGATATCTCACTGTAAAGTGTTTTTACTCAGGCTGGCGTTTTAGAATGGGACCAAGCCTATCTTGTGCAGAATTTTTCGCTGATTCAGAATCTGGTTTCCAAATTTGCTGCCGACCTTTATTTAAAAATTTATTCGACATTTAGGCTAAAAAAATTGACTAAATCTGGATTTTTGCGTTATTTTGTAAGTTGTCGTCACTTCCGACGTTAAAACTGGCTCGGTAATGGTTTTAGAGGTCAAAGCACGATTTTCTGCAAAAAATCATGTATTCTTGTGCAAAAAGCAAAAGAAATTGTGCAGGGCGGGGATCGAACCGCCGCCCTGTGTTTGGCAAGCGAACAGCTTACCAATGCACCATGGTGCCAACTGGGAAGGGGGCTCCGGGAGCGTAGATAAGGGGCACAACAATACCTGGACCCAGACATGGAATAGTGGGCCAGCATCCGAATTTATGCCGTTTTTAAGCTTAATTTAGACCAAAAATGACTTTTCAACGCGAAGTCCGCAGCAAATTTGTAAAACGGATTCGAAATCAGCAAAAAATTCTGAACAGGATAGGCTTGGTCCCATCCTAAAACGCCAGCCTGAGTAAAAACACTTTACAGTCAGGCAATCGTGAATTGTTAGTGACTGTCTTTTAATATAGGGCCGGAGGCGCTCTATCCGATGGCATTTTCCAAAATCGTAGCATTTCGTTCCGCTTCGTTTCAATTTCAAAAATTTAAAATGATAAGATTATGAAAATCGCTTGAGGATTCCAGAAATGGCTTCGCAAATTTGAAATGCACGCATTTTCACGGCCAAACAGGGAGAAAGAACATGCGGCGAGAGAGTGAGAGAGAGAGAGGGCTGTAACTTTTCAATCGGGTTTCTCCGCAGATTTGGAATACAGATTCGGACTCAGCGAAAAATTCTGCACAAGATGGGTTTGGTTTTGAATGGAATTTCCAGGCTTGCAAGAACACATTACAGTGAGGGGCGCGCGTGGGCCAAGCTTCATCGGTCCTTTAAGAGGCTGATACGGTAAGAGTTTAATTTTTTCAGACCACCAATCGGTAGCCCTACGTCCCAGCTACTATCCCCTGGCAGGGAATTGCGAAAAAATAGAAATAAAAATTAATACAATTAAAATAGTTTGACAGGTGATCCGGATTTTGCTTCTTTTTGCCATAACTAATTTATTTTGCATTATTTTGGGCTGCAATTAAAACCCTAAATATATTTTTTGACTCTTTATTGAATTACGTTTCAGCAATTTTGTAAAAGGGCGCTGTAAAAAGCTGAAATTGAAACTCTTAAAATATTTTTTGATGCTCTATCGAACAGTGTATCGAAAATGTCAAAAAAAATATCGAAAACTAGCGTTTTAAGCCTATTTTTGGAGGTTATTTTTGTTTTTGCTGTAACTATTTTATATTACATACATTTAAGCTGCCATAAAAGTCCTTAGTATATTTTTTGATGCTCTATTAAATAACGTCAAAGAAATCCTGACAAAATAGCGAAAATATTGAAAACTTTGGGACCTTCGGGTAAACTAAAAACAACAACTCGAAAACCAGTAAAATATACAAAAGTACGATCGAGTCCCGGCTTCAGGCCATAATCTATGGCCGGTGCCCTGGGTGGGAATCGATGATTTGTTAGCCGACCCCCCCCCCCCCCCACTCTGCTGTATTTGGCGATAAAAAGTGATAAGAGCCCATTTCAGCCCGTGTAGCACCCAACACAAACACACATAAATATAATACCGCCCGCACACAGCCATCGTGAATCAAATTTGATTCGCCGGTTTGCTGCTCGCAGCCATCGCCTATCAAAAGGGCCGACAAATGGCACCCACGCCCCATTGTACTCATGCACAACAATCGTTTTCCGCCCGCGATCAACCCGAACCCATTTGAAGCCTCATTTTTTGATGGGAACCACATGATTCCGCGGTGTTCGTGAGTAGGCTGGCGGATAGTGCGCCAGACGGCGGGGGTGCAGACACACAGGGGAGGGGTGGGGCGCGGAATAGGCGGCGAAAGAGTGAGACTAGGCTATAGGGCACGGGGGAAGAGAACAGGGGGGCGGGGCCAGAGCGCAGATTCTCCCTTCCCCTGTATGCCTGCCATCCTGTCCCGGTCAAACGAACGCAACTGGTAAAGGGCGGAATGCTGTGGGAACATCAAAAACAGCAACCACAGTGTGGTCGGGGGAACTACAGCGTGTCGCAAAAAATCTCAAAAAAATGTCCGATGATGCCGTCAATTAATGGAATGTTTCAATCAATGATGGTGTTAAGAGGGGCTTCAAAAATTAATTCCTGCCCACTAATTCGCGCAACAAAATTTATTGGTTTAACCTACAGGGTGTCCCAATAAAAAACACCCGCCTCTAACTCGACGCAAAAGTATCGGATCGGACCGATCGTTACACCATTCGAAAGCCCATCAAGCGGCCGGTTTGCAACAATCTCGAAAACCACGTTTTTGTTCAAAATCGCTATTTTGAAAGCCATTTAAAATTTTTCCGGGTTTTTCCGGGTTGCATACGAGCCAATTTGCCTCAATTTCTCCAAGCAAAATGACCCGAAGTAGCCGTTAATCAGATATAATACCGCCCGCACACCGCGATCGTGAATCAAATTTGATTCGCCGGTTTGCTGCTCGATGCCATCGCCTATCAAAACGCCCGACAAATAGCACCCACGCCCCATTGTACCCATGCTCAGGCCCGTAGGAGGGGGGCCCAGGGGGCCCTGGGCCCCCCCCGAAATCGGTCGAGGTCTGAAAAATTCATAAGGGGGGACCCTTATGATTTTTAGTTACAAAAATTTTTCTGCCTGCGGCGCTGTTTATTACTGTTTTTCAAACATTTTCTAATTATATGAAGCCTATTTTTTCAAAATTTTTTGCCTGCGGCGCTGGTTTTTCATTTGTGAATCAATTGTTTATACAAATTTTCGCCTGCGGCGCGTTTTCTGCTGTGTTTTCACACGAATTTGAGTGTGGCAAACGCTTTTTTGCTATTTTTTTGCCTGCGGCGCTATTATTGACGCGATTTTCGGATGTTTTAAAAGTGGCGACCGGGGGGAGGGCGCCAAAATTTTTGGGCCCCCCCCCCGAAATTTCGGTTCCGCTACGGGCCTGCCCATGCTCAACAATCGTTTTCCGCCCGCGATCATCCCGAACCCATTTGAAGCCTCAATTTTTGATGGGAACATTAAAAGCAGCAACCACGGTGTGGTCGGGGAAACTACAGGGTGCGTTATACAGGGTGTCCCAAAAAATTGTTTCGAACTATGGCCTCATATACAGGGTGTCCCAAAAAAACGACCTATCTGGCATTTCGCCGTGTTACATCCAATCGGCCCCAAATTTGGACGTCTCGTATGGTATTTCGTACTCGTATTTGGACGTGTATCAGACCTTGCTACAGTAGTTTTAAAGTTATAACAAAAATGAGCCCCCATTTCCAGTTTTCATAGGGTTAGTTTGAAGTTAGACCCAGTGAAGAAAGAAGTTTTAAGTGAAAATTATCAGGTAGGCCTTCTTTACCTTAAGAAATTTTTTCCGGACTAAAATCAATCAAATCAGCGTCGATTTAAGCGATTTTTACAACATAAAATTTCCCAAGTTCTTAAGCGAAATTAGGGATTCACAACCGGAAATCGATGCAAATCGATGCAAAGTCCAAAAAAAGATAGCCGAAAAACTGTTTAGAATTGCGTGAAAAACAGTATTTTGGCTATAACTTGACCACTACTGTAGCTACGGGGCTATAACTTAGGATAGTTGTTATTTAAGGTCTGATAAACCCCTGGTCCAAATTTGGGACCGATTGGATGTAACACGGCAAAATGCCAGATGGGTCGTTCTTTTGGGACTCACTGTAGCTTTTGATAGGGGAGTAAACGATCATGCGTTACCATCTCATAATGCTTGAACGTGTCCGGAAAGAGGAAAAACCCAACTTGATATTTTCGATTTTCAGCTACGTACCCATAAAAATGGCACCCAAAAGATGCGCATCCGAGAAAGCATGCGTTGCGGTTTTCCGGCGTTCTAGTGGTGGGATCTGCCTAATTTTTGGAGTGTGACCAGAATCCTCCCCCGGGCTCGTGATGATGTAGTCCCCAAAGATACTGAAATATTCAAAAATCTACGATCTCAACCCCCCCCGGCTAACGAACCAGTGTCCAGGTTTGGGTATTGATTTTTTATAAAGCTAAGCAGGCAGCTTTCAAATTACGTCACAAGCGCCTTTGACGCTATCGGTAACAGTCCAGCACCGCTAAATTTTCTGGGTTTTTTTGGCCTGAAGAAGGCGTGCTAGCAGCAATCCTTCCGGATTTTACGATTTTACATTATTTTTCCAGATTCGGTTACTTTTCGAAGAAGTTCCAATGTCTCGTCGGCCTCAGCAAAGGGTTCATCGTCGCCGCCAGCCGGCCGTCGAGCCGATAATTTCGATATTTAGTAGCGGCCTGATTTTCTACTTGGTTTGCACTGTTTTCACGGTGTTGTTCACTCTCGGATTATTGTATTCTAGCCCCCCTTACGGGTTGTAAAACACTGAGATGTAGACTGGTCACCGAGTGTATGTGTATAAAACACTTGAGTAAATGTGTGCTTTGTGATAACAATTATGAGAATTGTCACATTTATTAATTTCTCTTATTACGGATTAGAAATTACGGTAATTCCTTGTCGTACTTCTGCGGTAGCGGCTTCCCCTCGAAACTCGCCTTCACCTGCAAATCAATGATGAATTAATCAGAATGAACCAGAATTAGATACAATTGCATAGAAATAATTTAAGTTCTAGGAAATGGTCATCACCTTGGCTGGCACTAGTTGTTCATCAATTTCGTAGCTGAGCTTCATCTGCAAATCCATGACGTACAGAACCATGGTAGAAAAGCCGCTTTGCGGCTTTTCAACCCCGCAAACTGGGTCAGTTTCACTATTTTGCAGGTTTTTCTTGTTAATGCCATAACTAGGTAAGATTCTTTCCGTTTAATCGGCGAGCGCGCTAATTTTTATTTGTCCGATTATATCGCCTACCTTTAATGTATGTTAGTAGCTTAGTAGTTAGTAGTTTCGTTGGCTAAGAAATTCTAAAAAACTTTTTTTTAGTTATTGAAGGTAGAAAATTTTAAGAGCTTTAGTAATTTTTCATACATTTACTTACCACTTTTGACTCCTTCACCTCCTTCCCTCCGTCTTCTTTCGTGCCGCTTTTCGGGTCGGCCGCTTTCACCGCGTTCAAATCCTTACTCTGTAAAAAGATACAAAAGGTTTTCAGACCGACAAAAAAGTCTAAGACGTAACCCTTTAATAGAAATACCTGCTGCGGCTCCTCCTTCCCTCCGTCTTCCGGCGCGCCGCTGCTGGCAGTTGTCTTCGGCGGGTCGGCCGCTTTCACCGCGTTCAAATCCTTACTCTGTAAAAAGATACAAAAGGTTTTCAGACCGACAAAAAAGTCTAAGACGTAACCCTTCAATAGAAATACCTGCTGCGGCTCCTCCTTCCCTCCGTCTTCACCCGAGCCGGCCTCATCGAGGTCCAAAAAGAAACGAGCCGTGGCACACTGAAAGTTCTGGGGTACAGCGAGCGAGAGAGCGAGAGGAGAGAAAGAGCGAGGGAGCGAGCGAGAGAGAGAAAGAGAGGAGAGAGAGAGAGAGAGAGAGAGAGAGAGAGAGAGAGAGAGAGCTGAAAATCCACCCAAAACGGTCCGGGGCGCCGGGAAGCTTGAAAATTCGGGTTTCGCTCGACGCCGGGAATCGTCGCAAGTAACGTTGCTCTTGTGGTGGCCTCCTGCATAGCGTACCAATAATTTCCGCTCGTATTGTTACCTCTTCCACTGCCGTGATGTACGGGGCGAATAAGCCATTCACGACCTTGTTGGCCAACCTTTCGCGCTGAAAACGTTTTTGATAGAACCAGGCCCGTAAGAGGGGGGGGGGGGAGGCACCGGGGGCACGGGTTCAATTTAAACTGCCATATTGCCATGCCACATGCCATAATTTTTAATAAATAGCGGATGGGTTTCTACATTTTTTTTTGACTATTCCTAAGCATAAAAACTTTACAAATGTTTACTTAATTAATTTTAGGCGGAAAAATGTCTTTTTTTTCGATTTTCAAAACATTGTTATAATTTTTTTCCAAAGTTTTCCTACTTTAAATATAGTTCAAACTTACTAAAAACAATGTAAAAAACACTATATATTTACTATTACTAGGCCAACCGAGACGGCCCGGGAAAAAATTGGGTCCCGCCCGTGAATCCTAAAGAAAGCTCGAAGGCTCGGCGTGCCTTTGTTTTGATAATCGATGCTGAAAACAACACCCACAAGTTTGGCATTCTTCGTCAGCCCTTCTCGGATTTGTTCAAATCCCGACGTGCTCGATGATTCGTCTTTTTCATAGAGCCAGCCTTTCAGCTCCTAGAAATCATTTGCTAGAAAATCAGTTGCAAATCATAGGGATTGTTTGTTGCAAAGAGAGCAGGACGGCAACTATATGGGGGCATGGTTCTTCGCAGAATTTTTCTTTCTACATCTATACAAGATTCGCCAATGAGATTGGAGGAAGACGGGGCTACAGGGCCGTGTTTTTTTCGCAGCGAAATCAATTTCGGCAGTAACCCCGTTGGGTCGCCAGTTGGTGTGTATTACAACTCTTTTTCTTGTGTAGGCATCAGCCTTTAAGTTGGTTTTTTAGTGGCAACAGGTGAATTTGGGTTACGCGGGCTTTAGGACTTGGTCCACGCGTAAATACCGCCATTCGCCGTCCTGATCCCTTTAAGTCGATCCAAAAGAAGCTTACGGCAACGACAACCGCAAGCGAAGGACCCGTCGCACCAGACGACAGCTGAAATTTGCCGTATGATTCTATACCAGGGTTCTTTAGGATTCGCGGGGGGGGGGAACAACTTTTTTCCCTAGTAATCGGCCGTCGGTCGTCCTAGTCATCAGATATCAAGTGTTTTTGCATGGTTTTAGTAAATTTTAACTATGCTTAAAGTAGGACATCTTTCGAAAAAGTTGGAAACAAGTTTGAAAATCGCAAAAATTTTCGACCGAAATTAAGTTTTTTTAATTAAACTGTAAGTTTTTTATGCTTAGGAATCGTTAAAAACAATTTTAAAACGCATCCGCTATTTATAAAAAAAAAATTTAGGATCGCCGAGTTTCGTTTTAGAAAAAAGAAATTATTGGGCAAAATTTTATTTAAACGGGAAGCCGACACAGCGGCTGTGTCGGGGTCAGGACCCGCAATCGCTACTTGAGAAACCATTTCTTTAACCATGTTGCCAAAACCTGGTAAGAACCATTACCTGATCTCGACCGCCGTCTACCCTGTAGTGCTCCGGTACGTACCAGTCTTCAATTTTGCTGAGCGCTTTGCCGATACGCTCGACCTGAATTTAGTATACTTCGTCTGTCAAAATTTCCACTTCTTCTGTACGTTCGGGGAGAATCACCATCGCTGCAAGCATCTGATCCAACTTGACAGACGTCTAAAGAAACCTATTTTGATGCGTAGGCATAGAGTTGGAAACACTATGAACAATCTCTTTAGATTTAGAAACTCCCGCCTCAAACTCAAAACATTTTGAGGCTATAGTTTACCCCCCCCCCCCGAGCCGTAACTTTTCAACCATGCGTCCTATTAATGCGCCGAGTATCTCAAAATGTTCGCCGTGGTCCATTACTATAGCCATGTTGTTTTCTTACAACAAAAATTGTTAGAAAAATTTTTATAACAATTATAAGTCTGGGTTTTCTTTCGTTAATTTTTGCTGTTCCAAAGTGAGTTTTCGTATCTCGGCTATCTTTTGACGTACAGAGCTGTCAATAGTATCAAAATGTAGCTCTTGCTCTGGAGAATCAGCCTACAATGCACTTGAGACGAAAAAAATAGCGGAAAATAAAACTATTTGAGTTTTAGGCTCCTGATACATCGAAGCATTACGGCTTAATCTTTTCCACTTTCAAAATCTTGTAAAAAAATTTCTAACAATTTTTGATGTAAGAAAACAACTTGGCTATAGTAATTCGACCACGGCGAAACTAGACTCTTACCCATTTTGAAATAAAGGAGCCCGAATTTTGTTTAGTGACCGAATACGGCAATTTCCCCAACATAAGTGCATTGAGACACCAGGAGCTTCGACCCGACACACAAGGAGACGTTTTGGTGGGCACAGAGTTTCGGGACGGAACCAACGGAACGAAGCCTGTGTGTGCAGACGGAACTGGGACAAATTTTTTTCTGATTAAAACGAACTTTGTAGAATCTGCGAAACGCCTATAATAAAAAAGTTATGCAGGTTTAAATTGATGAAAGCGAAAACGGCCCACTTACGAACTTATCAAAAAATTTGAAAATGCACAATTTTTGGTGAGCTAGTTAGCACATTTTCCTCAGTAAACCACGCTCTTTCGAATTTGCTGCCTCGCAAAATGTTTCCAAATGGCCCCGAATTGCTTATATTCCACATGTATTGAAAATCCATTTTTTCAGGAAATTTTTGGATTTGTTGCGGAAGATGGCTGATTCGAAAGAGCGGGGTTTACTGAGCAAACTGTGCTAATTAGTTTTCGCAAACGATTTTTCGGCGAGTGTTTAGATGGGGGTCCAAAGTCGCCCATTTCTGGCACAAAATAGCACTTTCAAGCATCATGACTTATTTATTCTCGCCCTTCTAGATTCATCAAATTACGTTTTAATCAGAACCTCCTGCACAAGATTGGCTTGGTCCCGTCCCGGCACTCCGTACCCACCAAAAAATGTCTCCTCAAAACAACCCACGTCGTTAAACTTCTTCCGCATCACCCGGTCGAGAAGTATCCATCGCTCTAATCCGGCTTCATTGATTCGTCGTATATTGCCGACAAGCTGAGGAAAAACGATTATTTCAGCGAGGAAAACCCACCTCAGAATATTCCTCCATCACTGGCGATGACGGGGAGAGGAATGCCTTCAACAATGACAGACCGTGGTCCCGCCAAATATGCAAATTTCACAAAGCATCCTAGCCGTTAGTATGCAGAATGCAATCCTTTTCCATTTAAAGACATAGGGGCGGTCCGTGGAGATCGTATATGTTACTCAAGGCCACGATTCTTATCGTGCCGTACATCTGCTACATAGTATGGAGATTACGCCCTGGGTGTATTTGGAGGCGCCATACCGGCAGTGGAGATTTTTACCGGAATCGGGGATTTTTCCTGGGATCAGGGATTTTTCCCGGGATCAGGAATTTTAGCCAGGGATCGACGGAATCGGGAATTTTATTGGAATCGGGTATTTTTCCCGGAATCCGGAAATTCAGGGATTTTAAAAGTGACATCCCATACGATACCACGCGGCAGCGAAATTTCCGAGCAAGCAGACGTTTTAAAGCGTGTACAATTTCAGGCTTATGGCAAGGCGATCCGTCGCTTCGGATGGGCTGTCGCTCCACTCTTTCGAAATCAGGGCGCCTGGCCGCTACGAGCGCCCCGATTTCGAAAGAGTGGAGCGTGGAGATTTCCGGGGGCCTAGTCGCTTCGGAAGCGCCCATCCGAAGCGACTAGGCCCCCGGGGGCACGAAGCCTTAATTTAGGCTCAAACTCGTGGCTGAAACTCTAACTGACTTCAAACCGGTGTCAAATACTGTTTGTAGCATCAAAAATTTTTTATATAAACCGGTTTCTAGAGTAGAAGGCGTCTCCTTCCGGAGGGTGTGCCGAAGAAGAAGGCAAACACGTGTAAGCGTCAGAACACCGTCTTTTTCGGCATTCCCATGCTTTTTAAACTCAGGGATTTTTGCCCCTCCGGAACACCAATTTTAAAATCCCTTTTTCCGACGAAAATTCCCGATTCCGGGAAAATCCCCGTTATCCGAAGGATATCCTTGTACATTGGCACTCGTATGGTAGTGTATATCGTCTCGACTTGCTAGGAAATGAACGAAACCCAAGCGTTTTACAAAGCTCATTTTTACGTTTTACAAGTACATTCGATGACTAGTCTAATCTCAGTGTTTTACAACCCGTAAAAATCTGGCAAAGCGGAAGCTAGTAACAGGAAGAGCCAGGCAGAGATTTGAGGATTCAGTGTACAGCGTTAATGGAAGAAATCACAAATTCACAGGAAAGCCATCGAGTAAGCATGTAAGGGAGTTATAGAATACAACAAGACGAGCGTGCAAAATGAGGAGCAACAACACAGTGGAAACCAAGTAAAAAGGGGGGGGGGCGCTACTCAATATCGACATTATCGGCTTGACGGCCGGCTGGCGGCGACGATGAACCCCTTGCTGAGGCCGACGAGGCATTGGAACTTCTTCGAAAAGTAGCCGAATCTGGAAAAATAATGTCAAATCGTAAAATCCGAAAGGATTTCTGCTAGCCTGCCTTCTTCAGGTCAAAAACCGGGAAATGCGTAAATCTCAATTTTTATAATTCAACTCTCAATTTAAAGAAATATTTTTGACCTGAAATGACCAGAAACGAGTCGATTCCCGGTCCCGCCAAATGTAGAAATGTACACACCTATACCGGCCCGCCGGCAACACGGGAAACTCGCAGACGGAGTGCAGCGGCTTGGACGCCGGGTCGACGATGCAGTTCACCGCGTATTTCTAAAAAACTATGTTCCAAAAATTCAGGAAAAATACCCATTGTATCGGGAGGAGGACGTTGGTCAGCGACGCGTCGTACAGCCCGACCCAGTCCCAGTAGGAGCCTGGAATTGTAGAGTCGAATATAATTTTTTTTGCAAAGGCAACAATCCTTTCTTCTATTTGTTCTATTTAGAAGTTTCCAGATTGCTTAATCGTGCAATAGAGAATATTTAATAGTGTTCTTATCAACATTTCATAACATTTTAGTAACAACTTGTCAAAAATCTTCTAAAATCAACTTTAAATGGAAAATTTTGCCCCGAAATGGACCGTTTATGGCCGAAAAATCGACAGTTTCCATAGCTTTTAGCCAAACGCTGTTAAATTTTAATATTTTTAAACATTTGTAGGGAACACAACTTAATCTATTTACAAAACTGGGACCCTAGCGAACAATTTTCATTCCGCCCCGCCCCCGATATTGCCAAAGAACCGACAAAACCCTCCAAAACGCACCAAATCTGCTCCACCAGCCCTTCAAGTATTGGAAGCGGACGGGCACCGGCACCGAATCGTTCCACGCGGGCATCTTCTCGAACTGGACGGCCCAGTTGACGGGGGCTCGAGGGGGTACAGATGCTTTTAATTTACCTAAAATATAGATTTAAACAACCTGTTGACTCTTACAAAAAACGGGTCGATGGTCGCTCGTCTGCACCTCGTGGATCATGTCGTACTCGTCGACGGTGAGCTTGCCCTGGAAAATCGCGTTTAGAAAATGGATTTAGCCGGAAAAACGAATCTTGCTCACGCCAGCAAATTTCAGTCACGAATTAGCGGCGAAAATGGGGCATCTAGGATTTTCCTGGCGTGATCGATTCAACCCAGTTTAAAAGTTTTCTTAGAAATTGAACTCGATGGAAATCCGAATCCGGAGAGCCCAAATTGAAAAGCTGCGAGATAATTTCACTTTTTCACAGGATTCTGACTCCCGCGTCTTCAAAACAATCCAATTCTCCTTTTTGGCATGCAAAATCTAATCGGTGATCGCTCTCGACTCCAGAATTTCCGGTTGAAGGTTGGGTTGAATCGATTACGCTAGGCAATCCCGAGGCGCCTAATTACGGAACAGCTTCGGGACCAAAATATGTGTTGTTTCTGAGCCATTCGAAGCCAAAATTCACCTTGTACAGCACGCGATCCGTCCACGAGGGCGTCCGCTTCAGGTCGTAGTTGTGGTTGCCGACGTAGTAGCGGTAGCTGGGTGGGAAGTTGATTGGGGCCTGAAAAATGTCTTTGAAGCGAGAGAGAGAGAGAGAGAGAGAGAGAGAGAGAGAGCGAGAAAGAGAGAGGCCCGAAACTCAGTAGAAACCCAGCCAAACCCCTAAAAATCCTCACCTCGGACCAATCCCCAAACACAAGCCGCCTTCGCCGTGCGGCGTTCAACTGGTCGTGCTGGTCGAGCAGTTCCCGAAGTCGTTTCCCCTTGAAAAACGGCTCGAATCCGTCGGGGTCGATCTCGTTGCGAAAGTTCAGATCGCCCAGCCATATTCGATTCCTAGAAAAATGAATTCACCGTTTTCGTGCTAAATAGCTGACCATATAAAGGGATCTTCCGGGAAGGAGCACGTCTCGTCATTTCTGTACTGCAATATCCGGCGCTCGTTCTGGAGGACGTCGTGGACAAAGTGGGAGACGACGAACACAAAGCCGCCCGCGATGGCTTCACCGTGGCCCTAAAAATATTTGTTATGGCAGAAATTTTTTATGAAGATCAATTTCCTGGTTCCGCGTTAGCGCCGTAGCAAGGCAATTTTTCTATAATTCCGCCTATTGCTGCCCAGTAACAAAATAAAATATATTTTCTTATAATATTAGTAGTTTACAATCACGAAAAGATTGCTAAATAGAAACATTTTAAAATCAGAAGTTCTTGACGAGTTTTAGCCCTCATTCATGTTTTTTTTTACGAAAAACGGTGTAGAAATGTCAGCGGAACTGTCTTAATCTTATTTGGTGTTTTTGTGTTAAAAAAAACAGTGTAAAATGCCGTGAAACTCGTTTAAACGTAATTGCTTCGCTCCTAAATCAACATCGCAAAAAAATTGCCTTGCTTCCACGCTAACACGGACGCACCGGAAATAGCAGATTTGAAAAAACGTCAGAGGAAGGATCAGTGCGACAAAAAACGGAATAAAAAGTGATGAATTACCTTCAAAAGTATCCGTACGCCAATCGACCCTTTGTGCCCGAGGATTCCGCGCATCGTGTTCCGCGCGTACCGGTAGTCGACGCTGCGTATTTCGCTGAGATGCGTGTTGTCGACGAGGACGAAGACTTGATTCGTCGCCTCAAAACAACCGTTAAAAACACATTTCTGAAGCTACCTGGTAAGTTCTCGCCACGACTACCATATTGGGCATGTTGGCGGCGAACCAGTCCATAAAGTCGTTGGCCCAGGTCGACATTTTGGCGCCAAACGTCTCGAGGTGTTGGACTTCCTGCAAATTGTAAAGTCACAAAAATTGAGAAATTTCGGTACCTGAAATCCGACGGCAATCATGTCGAGCTGCTGGTCGGCGAACCGGGAGAGCACTTGTGTGGCCGCCTCCGGGCTGCCGCTCTGCATCGCCACGTTGAAGGTGAGCGCCAGGATTTTCCATTTTCTAAACAGAACATTCGTCCGGATCGCAAATTAATCTACGTAAATGTGTGGCGAACCCTTGAATCAATGTAACATTTTTCGGGCCTTACAAGGAGACCTTTTTTTGTGACCAGCCTCTTGTGCAGAATTTTGCGCCGATCCCGACTGTGTTTTCAACTTCTACTCAACGTTCAGATTAAAGACGTTACGAAGCTCTTTATAGCCAAAACCTCCAAAAATTTGGAAACTGTACCGTTTTGCGACCGTTCCCCCGCTTAAAAACGTCTCGACGTTTTTCGAGCAGGTCGTTTTGCAGATTGTGGACCCGGATTCGGAATCGGCGCAAAATTCTGCTAACAATAGGCCTGGTCAAAGCGCAAAACTATTTATGACACTTCTGCGAAAGCTCAAAAACTGGCACATTACCTTAGAATATTTATGCTCGGAACTGGCAGTTTTTCAAAAATGTTTTTGAAACGCTGTTTCCATCAAAAACTACCTCTCATCCTGCGCTGCGTTGTTCATCACCACCTCGTGCAACACTGGGCCATCAACTGCAAGGGCTAAACGAAAAAAATTCGAATTCTCTTCAAACAATCCCAAATCCAACCAAATAGCAACGGCAAAACGCCTCTGATCGCCATCTCACCGGCAATTGGTTGCAAAGCCATTTATTGCACGCTTCATAAAATACAAGACAGTGTAGGAGGAATATGGCTAGCGTAAATCGAGACCCGATGATGAATATATAGAAAGGCTATAATATCAGGCAAAAATTTAGCCTAACGATAAGCACCGAGTTTTGAAAGGGCGCTTTTTCGGGAGTCCACCGCCAGACATCACGAGACGATGGTGAGGGCAGGGAAAAACAGCAATAAGAGAAGGGCAAAGCGGTGGGTGGCTGCTGGTAAACAAGTATTTGGGAGAACTAGAAAAAGCGGCTAACTAGACGGATAGATACAGCACTGGCCTGTTATCGGGGGGAGAATAGCTTTTCCTATAATCCTAAATCGATACAAATACTCTAAATAGACAGCCAGAACACTAATTTTTTCACTCCTATATAACATCTGATAGTATTTAATGCGTCGTTCTAGTTTTTAATAATTTTTAATGGCTAGACCATATCAAAAAATCTAAAACCTTTGAAACCTGTCTTTTTTTTACATTTTTTCGCCATTTCATACCTTTCAAACAAGAAGTCAAAGTTTTCGCGAATTCTTTAAATGGTTGAGCTTTTTATGGCCAAAATCAACCGATCTTGGATATCGAAACTTAAACAAAGGTTCAAAATTCTATAGAAATTATTTATTTTTAAAAGGGTCGTACGAGATTATTTAGAAAAATCCCCTCCCCCGCTAACACTCCAGTACCGGGTAAACATTTAAAACGAAATTGGGAGCAGCACCTAACACTTTAGCAACGAAAACACTAACTAACTGGTGAAAAGAGGGTGGTGCCGAGTGACTGGCACTTTTTCGAGCTCAAAATCATCGCCTACAGCTCATCGCCATCTTTCCAACAGGAATAAGATAGAAAAACGGGGGTAAATTCAAAATTATACATTATTCGAGGGAACGTTCAAGCGTCGTTTAGTAGATGCGGCTCCACTGGAAGTAGTCGGGGTGCAGCTGGCCGGGTTGTGGATGGTTCTCCTCGTAAGCCTGGAAAAAACGTTCATTAAATAAGAGTATTAAAAGTTTGTGGCAACGTGAAAAATTTTAATAAACTGTTCATAATCGATCAATTTTGGCCCGATTTTCCGTATTTGAGTCGATCCGATAGTAGGCAAGCCATTCTCTAATAAGCTCCCCGCAAGCGTAAGTGAAAAATAGATGTTTAGGGCGTTTTAGACAGCTTTAAGCTGTGTAAAAACCAAAACGCGCTTGCCAAAATCGATCAAAAATACACTCGCTCAGCGCCGGAAATCCCCTGTGAGCTTCATGCAAAAAAAACACTGAATGCCCTGGGTTTATACTAGAGGAAATACGTTAATTATGCGGCAAAGTACCTTATCAAGCTTTCCCTCCCGGTACAGCTTCTCGCGCTGCGCACGGATGGCCTCGGCCCGCTTCACCTGCTTCTCGTTCGTCATGCACTCGCGGTAGTCCCTGAACGGAAAAATTAACCTTGATCAACAATCCAAAAATTGGTGCTTCCCCCACCATCAATTTGTAGGGAGAAATTAATTAAAACTACTATTAACCACTAAAGAAACTTGAATAACGCCGAAAAACAAAAAAAAACCGTGGCCATTTCGTAAAAAAAGCCATGAAACCGAACAACAGCATAAACCACGCATTTTCAAAGTGCTCTAAAACGTTTGTATTAGGAAGTCGCGACAATCATTGGCAAAAAGACACCCATTTTTGATGACTTGATGCGTACAGGCTAAACCACACAAAACTTCCTTGATCTACCGCAAACACAAGGCCGCAAATTGCTAAAAGCGGAAGCACCAGCAAACCCTCACCTATTCTCGAGATCGCAGTACTTGCGGCCGAGCTTGGCCCCGTACGCCTCCATGCACCGCCAGAATTGCCCTTCGAAGAAGCCGCAGTTGCGGCCCTGTTGAGACAACGGCATCGACAGCACATCCGAGATGGGCGTCTGCACGATTGGGGTGAGCGTGCTGTAGCCCTCGGGCACTCGGTTGCCGGACGCCATCTGCAAATGCGGGATGACAATGAAGGAGTAACAAAAAAAGGAAAAGAAAAATCAATAGAAAGGTTTCGTGATTCTTTGGCATTATCGGTGGAACAATCATTTTCTAAAGATTATATGCATCCAAGTTTTCTAATATAAACTAGGTAAGCACTACCAAACTGTTTTGACTATTCTACCAGTATAAACTTTACACATTTTTATTAAAAAATACAACAAATATCGATTTCACCCAAAATTTCGACTAAAATAGTTGTCAAACGTTTTCTGGATTGTTTTTCACTTCAAATACACTCCAATTTTACAGAAACACTATGAAAAGTTCAGAATTAGGTTCCTAGGAACTTTTGCCCATATAGGACAAACCCGATCCCCCCGATAATGCGAAAGAACCAGTTTTCTAGCCCAGGAAACAGCAGAAGTCAGAAGTCAGAACCTCAGAAAACAACGCAACTCGGGAAAAAATTGATAACGCGTTTAGGAGATAGATTTCTACGTAGTTGGCACAACACGCGCTTTTTTACCCAACTTATTGCAAAAAAAATCTTAGGTTTTCAAAACCGTGAAGCGCCATTGGCTCTATTAGCTTACAACCTAACGGCATGATCCTAAAATAAAAGCTACAAATGAAAAGCTATCCGCCCGTTTCCCTTGCTCGGCCCAAAATTAGAGCATGACCGCGTTGTTACCCGGGAAACGACAAAAGAATCTAGCTCTTTCCTTTTCTTGTTACGTCTACATTAATACGCTTCTCGCCCAAAAACCCGGACAGAAACCAGAAAATTCAGATTCGCCATGACTGGATTCAGAAATGTGTTTACGGCGGAACTTCAGCCGGCAGAATACGGCACAAACTCCGTGTAGCGCGACTTTTTGCTGATACCGCAAAGAGGGGGACAAGCGGGTGGAAAAGAGCAACTGGAGACTTCGCAGACTTCACGGATTGTTTTGCTGGATTTTTTTATCGCGAGCGGTGCAATGAACGCTGGGCGGGGAATAAATACGTGCGGGAACGGCGGGGGCGAGCTGGTTGTAGGCGCACTTTTTCTTTGCTAGCTAGGATGGACATCGAATTCAACCAGGGCTTCATCGACTACCAGTATGTGAAGACGCTTGAGTCGCATGAAGGTGAGGAGTGGGAATAAGAACTTGTTCTTGCTCGTAAAATTGATAAAAGTCACAGAAAAACTGCAAGAGAGTGATTCTAGCAATGGATAAAGACACAAGAAATATATGTAGGAAATAAATTATCAATAGTCGCTTCTCAGACAAAATCTGGCTGCAAAAGCTCAATAGATTCTTATCCTGCCCCCATACAAAAGAAGATCTCGCCGAAAAACTCAATAAAAACTATGTTTCGAGCCCAAACAACGTTAAAATGCTAGAAGATCGTGCAATTTCAATGGACCAAAGGGCGGCAAAATCCCAATTTCTGCCTGCCTAATCCAACAAAGATACAAACTATCCAAAATTATCTAACAAAACTTCTAATACAATCTTAAAAACTTTATAAAACTGTACTTTACTTTTTTGCTAATTTTTTGACGGGTACGAGCGCGCTCTATTCTTTTGTGGGCAGTGCGTGCTTAGGCTACGTCGCTTGTAGCAGGGTGGAATACAGCCTTAAGCAAAAAATTAAAGTTTAACGTTGTTTTATTAAATTTTATTCAGATTACTGAGCTCCTTAAAATTACAGATCCCTTCGGCAAGGGCTGGCCGCGGACATTTCTGCTGCGATGCATTCTCTACGGCTTCTCTAGTGGCGCCAGTGCTATGATGGCCCAGGTGGGGTTCATATATACGCTATTGCACGTAATAAAAATCACCATTTTTTTCATATAGGTTTATTAATCGCTGATACAGAGTTAACCTTATATTCGTAAAGAATACGGCGGTTTTTCAGTCCTTCTCCTCGCTGAACGCGCCGCTGATGGTGCTGTTCAACAAGACGAGCACCGACATGTTTGGGCTTCACGATGGGTAAGTCGAGGTTCCTCTTCCCAAACAATCTCTGCTAGCCTGCCCTCCTCTCGGGGTCCGTCCATTTCCTCCTCCAATCTCTGCTAGCCTGCCCTCCTCTCGGGGTCCGTCCATTTCCTCAAACAATCTCTGCTAGCCTGCCCTCCTCTCGGGGTCCGTCCATTTCCTCCTCCAATCTCTGCTAGCCTGCCCTCCTCTCGGGGTCCGTCCATTTCCTCAAACAATCTCTGCTAGTCTGCCTTTCAGTAACCTCCCTTTTAGTGGTGCTCTTCTCCTCTCTGGTGCTACCTGGATCGCCATGTCCAGCATGGTGTTCTCCATCGCGGCCCTCATCCCGCTGATGGACTATTTCGGGCGGAAATTCATTTGTGTTTATATTAAGTGAGTACCCCGTCTTATATAAAACCCGTTTTCGTTAGATTCCTCTTCACGTCAGTGGGCGTGGCTTTAATGATAGCTGCCTGGGCGCTGCAGAATGCCCTTTTCTACCTGTTCGGCTTGACGTTTGTCGTCGTCTCGGCGGCCATCCTCGGCCTGGCCGACCCGATTTTTATTAGTGAAATCGCGCCGAAAGAACATAAAGGTGCTGCCAGATAGAATTCATTTAGATTTTCGATCCGATTTTTGGTGTCCTGAAACGATGAAACATGTTTTTTGCGGCATTAACAATCGATAATTTTTGTTATCTCGTTACGATATGAAATTCCAGGCTTCTTCACAGCATCGGTACTTTCCTTTGCCGGAGTTTTCGCTGGCTTTTGCCTGATATTGGCTCGGGAAGATATTTGGGGAACGCCGGAGAATTGGGGCCGTATTGCAGTGCTCGCCGAGGTAAGGCAGGCTAGCAGAGATTGGAGGAGGAAATGGACGGACCCCGAGAGGAGGGGCAGGCTAGCAGAGATTGGAGGAGGAAATGGACGGACCCCGAGAGGAGGGCAGGCTAGCAGAGATTGGAGGAGGAAATGGACGGACCCCGAGAGGAGGGCAGGCTAGCAGAGATTCTTTAGGAAACCTTTGGTTTTTAGGTTAAAAAGCGTTGTTTCAGTTACTAAACATATTCGTTCTGCTGGCCGGCCTATTCTTGCCGGATAGTCCTGGGAAATGTAAAGGTATCTTTTCATTAAATGTAGATAATGATACATTTTCAACTTCAGAAAGCACGATCTCAGTTTTCTACGCTCAGCATTTCCGCAAATTTGCGGGCATTTTCAAGGCGGGTAATGGGACGAGAAAGGTACGTGTTGGAATATTCTTAACCCCGTAAAATAGTGCCCAATTTATTCTTTTAATGACTAATCGGTGTTAGTGAGTAAAAAACTACCTAAATTTGTTCACGTTGGTCAGTCAAAAATTAGTAGCTATAAAAAACGGGTTTCAAAAAATACTCTCGGCTGCGCGGCGCGAAACCCAGAGAATGAGCATTTGCGATGACGGTGAAAATTAGCGGGATCAACGTCAAATCAAAATATCAATTTAGAACTCAACTTAAAAAAATGATTTTAGAAAATCTTCCTATTAATGGCAATGCAAATATTTCTATTAGCCAATATCAACACTATCGAGATAAGCTTTCCGATTCCGGTGTATCGCGATGAGGGGATGGTCGTTAATGAGGTAAGCGACCTCCCAAAGAATCTCTGCTAGCCCGCCTCCTTTTAAAGGGGCTCGGAAGAAAATTCGCGCGGGCTAAAACTGGGCGAAAAACGAAAAGGTTACTGCCGAGAAGCACCAAAAAAAGTGGTTTCATTGCGAAAAAAACGTAAAATATTTGAGTAAAACTGAATGTTCTCCGGGCGAAAACGACTCTTTGAGTTGGCGGCGATTACATGTCGTAATGCATTGTAAGGCACCCAATCTCTCGATTTCCGTGATTCTCTGAGCAATTTTCAAAGTTAAAACGTCTAGAATAATCAAAATTCGATGAGGATTACAGAAATAGCTTCAGAATTTTTAAATTCAAAGGGGTTTGGCCTCCAAACAGGGGCAAAATATCATGCGACGCGGTCGCGTTACGGTCGTATCTGGCCATTTGCCAGGAATCAACGCTGGGGGGGGGGGGAGTCGACCAGATTTTGGTGGCCCTTTAATGATTCAATTCAGGTGCTTGCGATGATCCTCCTCAACTTCATAATAACAATCCCAATCTCCTGGTTCGGTCCTCTAGCCGTCGATCGGCTGGGGAAGAAGCGAATCGTGATGCTGTTGCTTGGATTCCTAATTTTCAAAACTACCCTTCATTTTATTAATGGACAACTGCAGTTCTGGGGACTGAGTAGGTCTTATGGGGTTTTTTTTCTTGTATCACGAAATGAAACCAAAATTACATTCATAGGCACTGACTTAACGGCAAGATTTTTCGTATAAATTTCGTATAAATGAGCGGCAAATTACACCGATAAGCACTGATTTTGCGGCAATTTTTTTACGAAACACACTCTCTTTAAAAATCTCATAAGCCTGCAACAACTGTAGTCTTCATACAGAGATCCTATAAAAATTACACCTCGACGATATATAAATGTTATTTTGATAATTTCAGGTTACTTAAATGCATTTCTACAACGTGTCATCGAGGGTTCCGGGTTGCCGGCGATCACTTTTGTATTGGCTACCGATATTCTACCGCCGAATTTTGTGGTAACGGCAGGACAGGTAAGCTAGCAGAGACTGTTTGAGGAAACGGACGGACCCCAGAGGAGGGCAGGCTAGCAGAGATTGGAGGAGGAAATGGACGGACCCCGAGAGGAGGGCAGGCTAGCAGAGATTGGAGGAGGAAATGGACGGACCCCGAGAGGAGGGCAGGCTAACAGAGATTCTTTGAAGAATCTAATCCTGCTGATTTCAGTTGGCAATGATGTCCTCATGCTCTCTACTCGGGCTCCTCGCCTCAATTTCTCCATTCACTTTCGGCCACTTTCTGCCCGAATACCTCATTTGCATTACCTTATTCTCAACGGGAATGGCTGTATTGGTGCTATGGTTATGGCGGAGAGTGGAGAACGAGGAGGAACAGGTGGAATCTTTTGCCCCCGAAAAAGAGTTGATTGTGACGAAAAACCTTTTGTACGGGAGGTTGTCGCCTAAAACATATTTTTTTTGAATACTTCATTGTTTTAAGAAAACTACGTTAATGTTTTGATTTTTCTATCCTATTGTATACTGTTAGCATTATTCTATGAAACTGAAATTTTAAGATTTTAAGGCAATAACAATAACCACGGGTTTTTAGGTTGAAACAGATTTTTCCAAAATTCAAAAAATCGATTTGAAGAAAACTTACAGTATTTTTGTAGTATCCTAATTTTCAAGAATCTATTCAAGGTATCGAAGCCTTAAATAAAGCTGTGTTAATTTGCAACCTTTTTTAGCCAGCCGACCAGGAGCCGCTGCTCCGAAAATGCTCACCACCGCCCGAATATTCCGCATTAACATAGCGTTGTAATAATTATCTTAATTTGCGTGTAATAATAATACTAAATATAATAAATTACATCATCGAGATCATTAAAAAGGAATTTATTTGGTGTTAGATAAAATCAAATGAAATGCAATGAAAAATGGCTATTAGAACGGGTTCTGCAGTTCGGTCATCTGGCCATATCTGAAACTTTAAGGTTGCCTAAAAAATCGAGGTAGTAGAATTTTATATAGAATTCCTTCAAAATTCAATCTCTAAATTAATAATCCGCACAAAATAAATTGCTCGAGAAAACGTGGGACCTGTGACTGTGTAGCCCTGTTTTCGAATGGTGTCGCTTCATCCTGAAACATTTGTTAAAGAACGGTTTCCAGAATTTTTCAAAAACTCTTTGCTAGCCTGCCCCAAGCTTAAAATTGAAATTATGACTAGAAAATGGTCGCTGCTATCCTGCTAGTGCTGTGAAGAGCTAACACGCTTCTTCACGCGGTTTCCTTTTCACGACGACTCGCTCCCCACCTGGCCCACTACCCCGGCATAGCTGCGGGGCAAATTTCCTTTGTCGCTTCTAAGGAAGAATACAAGTTTGAGGTTAGCAACTGACCCGAGCTTTCCTTTGCGGGAAACTCGTAAATTTTGGAACGCGGCTCTTTGGGGCTGCAGTATGAAATTTTGTTATGCTAGTTTTAATTGTTTGGATAAATGAATTTTAATGAATTTAGCTAGGCGTTGGCAAAGCTACAGTCCATCCTGACTCGCAAAGAATCTCTGCTAGCCTGCCCCTCCACATACTTATGATGTCCATGGTGTTGATGGTGAGAGTGATCATGATCCCCATACCAGATTCGCTCACAGAAGGGGAGATTTCTAAGAATTAATGAAATCATATTGTATTCACGGTTTAATGATACCTATTAACATTTTCCTGCTCGTCGGCCGGCAACCGGAGGATGTATTGGCGGACCTGAATTTTGAAATTTTTTTTGGTGCACTGAAATGAAACTAAAAGAGTTTGTTACCAGCTAAGTTTTATGCTGTTTTTTATCTAGAATTAATTGTATTTAAAATGCTTTTATAACTTATTCAATGATTTAAAAACGTACCGTCTTTTTGCAGCCAGCATGATCCGTCTCATGCATTTTGTGCAGGGCGTCGATTTCCGTTTGGCTGGCCGCCTTTTTCAGCCAGGCGTAGCAGTCGCTAAAGGGTTTGTGAAGGCAGGATTGTTATAGATTTCGCGATTCCGGGATGGCCATTTTTTTACACAACCGGTTTAATTCACAAAATCAAATTTACAAACAAAAAGATGTTTTGATGAACATGTTTCAACAAATTTTATACTCGAATTCGTAAAGTCGGGGAGAATGTAAGGCAAATCTGCTTTTGAGCGAATTTTTAATTTTTGGAGGCTAAGCTGGTTTTCTGCTTTTCGTTTTTTTTCCGGACGTCTTCTAAAGGGGTTTTTGAAGGCAAGCTTTGCTATAGAGTTCGAGATTCCGTGACAATACGACAGAAAAAAAACTAAAGCGGTAAAGGGGCCGGTGCCGAAAAACCATGTTTCGCTTAGTTTGATACTAGAATTCAAAAAATATCGGAGAATTTAGCCATCGGGTTTCCGAACTTGATCTAATTTTTAATTTTTTATCTATTTTTCTTCTTTTTGATCTACTAATGATCTATTTGACCTATTTTTGACAATTTCTGGGCTTGATCTAATTGTTAATTTTTAAAGCCTGACTCGGTGTTCTGCTGCTTCGTCTTTTTGTTCGGAACAACTTTTAAAGGGGTTGTGAAGGCAAGTATTGCTTTAGCTTTCTAGATTCCAAGACGATACTATTGAAACGCCCAAAAATCATGATACGCCCCTCCATACTTTAAAACGAGTTTCATCAAATTTTATGCTCAAATCAAACACTAATTTCTATAACTCTACCTTCCAATTTAATATATTAAAAAAGTTTAAAAAACTAACTCGGTGATCTGCTGCTTCGTCTTTTCTTTCTTTGAACTGTCCAGGCTCTGCAAATATCCCATCACCTTCTCCTTAATTTCCGCGTTCGACTTGCCGGCCGCCTTCATCGCTAAAATGGGCAGGCTAGCAGAGATTGGAGGAGGAAATGGACGGACCCCGAGAGGAGGGCAGGCTAGCAGAGATTGGAGGAGGAAATGGACGGACCCCGAGAGGAGGGGCAGGCTAGCAGAGATTGGAGGAGGAAATGGACGGACCCCGAGAGGAGGGCAGGCTAGCAGAGATTGGAGGAGGAAATGGACGGACCCCGAGAGGAGGGCAGGCTAGCAGAGATTGTTTGAGGAAATGAACGGACCCCGAGAGGAGGGCAGGCTAGCAGAGATTGTTTGAGGAAATGGACGGACCCCGAGAGGAGGGCAGGCTAGCAGAGATTGGAGGGAGGAAATGGACGGACCCCGAGAGGAGGGCAGGCTAGCAGAGATTGTTTGAGGAAATGGACGGACCCCGAGAGGAGGGCAGGCTAGCAGAGATTGGAGGAGGAAATGGACGGACCCCGAGAGGAGGGCAGGATTGTTTGAGGCAAACTCACCCCGGATCTCATCCTTCTGCCCCTCTTCTAGCCAAGATAAATGCTTCTCAATCAGCGCATCAATGTCCTTACGCTTTCGGGAAGACTGTTTTTCGTAGATGTCGCTGCAGATCTGAGCCCATAATTCTTTTAGCGAAAAACACGGTCCCTACTTTTTTGTATTTTGTAGCCTCGGTTTTCTTGTCCCCTTCTTGGCGATCGATAACACCCTCGATGATGGATTTGATCTGAAAAATTTCAGAATTCGAAATTCTAAATTTCCTCAAGGCATCTCTGCTAGTCTGCCCCTTTAAAAGCCATACCTCTTCAACATTTCCGGCCTCCTTCAGCTCCTTGATCTTCTTCACCTCATCTTCCGTCGATAGCGTCATGAAGTAGTGCTTGCATTTGCCTAGCGTAATCGATTAGTGTGGGATGTCGATGTTTTTTAAGGAGTTGTCCCTTTTAAAGCATACATAATATTAATATAAAGAAAGAAACACGTTTTTTTCGTGACGAAACTCGAATTTTTTTGAGGTAGGAATGATTTCTGGCAGAATTTAATGTTTCCGGTAAAGTACCCTTCAAAGGAAGTGATCTTCGATTTAGTGGCGCGAACCCTGGGATTGGTGGACTGGATGTAATTGAGAGTATATAGTTATCGATTTTTTTGCCACGGACCGCTTACGCATTTGCCACGCCGCTACACGCAACGCAACCCGCAAGGAAGTACGGTGCGCAATACGCAACGCAACGTGTAGCACGCACCACACAAACCAACCCCACGCGCTGCCCAACAAGCAACGCAACGCAGTACGCAACGCGATCCGGATTTGCGTTCATATTTTCGAAACTCATATTTTCGAAACTCTTATTTTCGAAAACTCATATTTAAAGATTTGCATAAGCTTAGGTAACCTAAGAAAACCTAAGAAAATATGAGTATCGAAAACATGAGTGTGCCTTCGAAAATCTTTGCCTACCCACGGTACGCACTGCTCGTTCCTAGCGTAATCGATTACGGTACTATTCATTGAACAACAGGCGCGGTACGCAGCGCGGCCCAACCCACTAATACGCTTTGAAAATCCATTAAATATGAAAAATAATCCTGAAAAATTAAATGCGCTATGGAATGGAGGTGTTAAATGGAAAACTACCATACCCTTTGCATGTTCCTTCACCTCGTTCTGCTTCTCCTGGGGCAGCTGCTCGAAATATTCCATCACCCGCTTTTTTAGGTCCTCCGACGACTTTCCGGCTGCCTAAATGCCAATTGAATAAATTGCGAAAAATAGATTTTTGATGTATTTTGAAATATTAGAATGTTGGAATGTTCATTTAAAAGCTTGTTTCGTAATTTATACAATCCCTGATTTCATTTCATCGATAATAAATTTTTTACATCGTTTAAACTATTTTTAAACTTTCTGATGTCTCGGCCTTTAAACTTAATCCTCTTAATTGAATTTGATTTATGCTAATTAATTTGAATTATTTCTGATCGTTAAATACCTTTTCTTTCTTCAGCTCGGCCAGCTGCTCGGCGTTCAGCCAGAAGGCGAAATCCTAAGGAAAACAATTAAATTACAGTTAAACTCAGCGATACCTCAAGCAAATCCCTGCGTTTCCGATCCGTCTTCTTGAACCAAAGTGCTTTGCATTCGGTCTAAAAATCAGGTTTGTTTATTTTTCTCTTTTACTATGATGGGCATCTTATTTTTTACTTATTTGTGTAATACAAAAGTTTGAAAAAGTTGCGAATTATTGTCGCTCACCGCCCACGCGTCGACCAATTTCCGCGTGTTCTCGTCGAGACGCCCTTTATAGTCGGTTACCCTAAAAATTACACATTATTAAAATCATTGATTTTTTAATTGTGGTAAACTATTATAAAAATGTTAGAAGAGAGCTAAACTACAAACTACAAGCTCCAAAAATCCATGAAAAAAAAAACAAAACCTAGTCAAAATCTCCTTGTCATTCCCCTCCTCATGCAAAACTTTCAATTCCGCGATTTCTTCGGTTGTCGCCACCTAAAGAAAGTAATTTTTTTTTATAAATTGTGGCAACATTTCTCAATAATTTTAGCGCTTTTAAAGACACTGGAAAGCGCCAAAATCGACCCCTTGTTTCGGCTAGGTCTAGACAGCTACGCGACGCTTAAAATTACGTACAAGCCTTAATTTTGGCTATTGAATTAGGAATTGATAATTTCAGTGCGAGCTAGAGAAAGACGGCTGCTTTTTGCGTAAATTGTAGTGTAGCGTACTTGTCTAGACCCAGTCGAGGGAAGGGGTTGATTCTCGCGTTTGCCTTTCCAGGGCCTTTAAAAGGTATAAGCTCATTACATGACGCTTTTTAACGATTTTGAGATAATTTCTCGATTATCCGATTAGCTTCTCGGGTTTACGGTCGCTTTAAAGGCCCTGGAAAGGCATAATTTACCGATTTTTCCGCACCGCGACACGCAACGCGCGCGCAGCGTCACCTCTTTGAAAGGGCTGTAATCAATTACGCAGTTAAAAGACGTACAGGGTGCGTCAAAAAAAAAGAACGAAGTTTGCACTTAAATATCCCCTGAACGGAAACGAATCGGACCATGGTTACCTTGCCAGAATGCTTAAATATGCTGGGCATGAAGAAATAACACAAGTTGTTTTTTAGGATTTTTGACGACCAGTGGGTCGTTAAAAAGTTTTGAACATTTTTGAAAAAGTAAAAAACTTTGAAGCGATAAAGTATGGAACTTTTGAAGAGTTAGCGGGACTTCAAGGGTATCAAAATGAAGCTCTTGGAATGCGCTATCAAACCAGTGGTAAAGGAGTTTGATCGGTATAACTAGCCAGCAATATGAGTCTTCGGAAAATCCCGACTTTTCGGGCATGGGCGGTTCCGAGTTGACCATAAAAACCTGTCGCCCTCATAACTTTTTGTGTTGATTGAATTTAATGCTGTTTGCCAAAGCTAATCATGCTACGATTTTAACTATACTAAAGTAAAACTTGCAGTTTCGACCGACTTGGCAGGGTGCCAAAAAAAGTTTTGCCCATGCCCGAAAAGTACGGATTTTCCGAATGCTCCTATTGACGGCTAGTTAAATCGCTCAAACTCCTTTACCACTGGTTTGATAGCGCATTCCAAGAGCTTCATTTTGATACCCTTGAAGTCCCGCTAACTCTTCAAAAGTTCCATACTTTATCGCTTCAAAGTTTTTTACTTTTTCAAAAATGTTCAAAACTTTTTAACGACCCACTGGTCGTCAAAAATCTTAAAAAACAACTTGTGTTATTTCTTCATGCCCAGCATATTTAAGCATTCTGGCAAGGTAACCATGGTCCGATTCGTTTCCGTTCAGGAGATATTTAAGTGCAAACTTCGTCCTTTTTTTTGACGCACCCTGTAGGTGCGCACTGCGTGTCGTGGGCGTTAATAAATCCAAAGAATCCATGCCCATGCCTTGCCGGGCCCTTTAACCACCTTTTTAATCCACTCGACACAATCATTTTTGTAGTGTTCATCGAGCTGTTCCCGCTTCTCGGCCGGGAGTTCGCGATACCAAGCCATTATCGTGTCCCTTTGCACCTCGACCGAGGTCCCGTTTTCCTTCAGCTAAAATTGAATTAAATCCTAATTTATCCATTCGCGCTATTTATTTTACATGCTTGTACATCATTATACGGCTGCCAAATCAAAAAATAGTGATAGTCCCAATCCCATTAGATTTAATAAATTTCATGGTTTCAAATTTCACTTTTGGTCGAAAAAATATGTGTTGCATGTTGAATTCAATATAATTTAGTAGTTTCTGGGTTAATCAAGAAATGAAAAGTGCTCAACCCGACAGGAAATAATGAAACGCGCTACTTGGCATGTAATGCGACAGGTGAGCTGCGCACGCGACACGCGATGCCACACGATAGGAAACGCGGAACGCGACACGAAAGTTGACGCGTTCGCGTTACGGGTTGCGCAGCGCGACAGGAAATTTAACGCGCTACGCAACCCGTAACGCGAAATGAAATAATACAACACGAAAGGCGCCAGGAAATTTAACTGACCAGCTACTCGACGTGAAATTAAGCTCGACGCAACACGCAACGCGACCCGAAATCTAACGCAACGCGCGCCAGCAAATGAAACGCGCTACGCGACACGCAGCGCAACACGAAATAAAACGAGCAGCCCGCCACGTAACGCCACACGAATTTGACGCGCGGTACGACACGCAAGGCTGAGCGCAGCGCAACGCTTAATGGATAAATCGCCACTGGTACGCTCACCCTGAGAAAGCAAGTTTGAGATGTTTTAAAAACGGTGTTTCAAGGAAATTTGGGATCACCAAGTCCCGGAAAAATCTAATCCGCCTTTGTCAAGACACAAAACCGTTTTAAACTTCTTTATAAAAACATTCTTGACAAAATACGTAAATCCGTCTACAAAAACGGTGAAAAAAGCTGCAAAACCGACCACTTTTAATGCGACCGCCATGCCAACTTTGGAAAACTGAATTTGGACACGTTTTAAAAACAGTGTTTCAAGGAAATTTGGGATTATAAAGTGCTGGAAAAGTCTAATTCTGCTTCGGTGGGCAAGTGCCAAGTATAAGCCCTTTTGGGAGGGGCCTTATATTTCTGGCAAATTGCGAATTGTAGTGTTTTCACACAGAAGTCGCGCAAAGACACAGTCTTCTACGCTGCGCAGCGAGAGAGAGAGAGAGAGAGACCCGGCTGTTTCGATTCGAGAGCCGAAGATATTTGGCATTTCCGCATTCCTTTAAACTTCTTTAAAAAATTCAATACTTAAATCCTTCAAAAAAACGGTGAAAAAAGCTACAAAAACCTAACGCCTTTCATATGACTGCCAGGCCAACCATAGAAAACCCAATTTGGAAACGTTTTCAGAACGGTGTTTCAGGGAAATTTGGGATTACCAAGTGCCGGAAAAGTCTAGTCCGCTGCTGTACTTTATTTCACTCCTATAAATTCTTAATCAAGAAAAAGATTATTCAAATCTGTCGCAAAACTGTCGAAAAAGCTACAAAAATTTAACGCTTTTCAGGCCCACTTTAGGAACATACTTTGAAAACGTACAAAAACAGTGTTTCGACAAAATTTGAGGTTAAACGGGACCAGAAATGACTAATTATTGTAGACCTAGCAGGTTATAGAAAAAGCATCAACCTATCTCAAGACTAAAAAACATTAATCATTCGCTCTGTCACAAAGCTGTAAAAAATGCTACGAAAACCTAACGCTTTTCATATACTGCCAGGCCGACTTTACAACATATTTTGGAACCGTTTAAAAATAGTGTTTCGCAGAAATTTTGGGTTAACAGGAATCAGATAAGTTTAATAGCAGAAATTCAGGTGCCGCTGACGCCGATTCGCATTTTTTACACAAATAAATAATTCAATCTGAAGCAAAACTATGTAAAAGTAAAACTATACAAAAACCAACCGCTTTTAATATCGCCGCCTGCTCGTCGTTCATCCAGCGACCGGCGTCGCGCGCGTGTCGCCCGCGATTCGGACTGCTGCGGAGCCCCGGGGCGTCGCTGTTTATGCTGAAAATTTGCGGGGGGTAGGCTAGCATAGATTCTTGGGGAAAAATGGCTTTTAAAGGGGTGGACAAGGCCGCGCTATGGACTTTCCATTGAAATGATCGTCTTACCGGTCCCTTTAAATCAAAAATCTTGCAAAAATATTGCTCAGATATCCTTTTCCTCACTAACAGTTGGTAAGGTAATGATAATCTATAGTCATCCTTGCAACTCGCCTGTTCCGACCGGGGGTCGAACCCGGGTAGTTCGGTTCGGGGGGCAGGCACTTTGGCAGTACACCATAGGTGATGTGGGGAGGAAGCGGGGAAGGACTTTGACCCCCAGGCCCCCAAACATTGGCCTGCCCTCCACTCGGGCGGGGTCCGTACATTTCCTCAAACAATCTCTGCTAGCCTGCCCTCCTCTCGGGGTACATCCATTTCCTCAAACAATCTCTGCTAGCCTGCCCTCCTCTCGGGGTCCGTCCATTTCCTCCTCCAATCTCTGCTAGCCTGCCCTCCTCTCGGGGTCCGTCCATTTCCTCCTCCAATCTCTGCTAGCCTGCCCTCCTCTCGGGGTCCGTCCATTTCCTCAAACAATCTCTGCTGGCCTGCCCTCCTCTCGGGGTCCGTCCATTTCCTCAAACAATCTCTGCTAGTCTGCCCTACTATTTCGTTGAAAATCCATCGAATAAAACCCTTCTTTGCAATTGAATTGTAAAACAATCGGGCATTAAAAATACCTTACATTCCCCAATGGCATCTGCTAGCCTGCCCCAAGCTTAAAATTGAAATTATCACTAGAAAATGGTCGCTGATATCTTGCTATTGGACCTCTGAAGAGCTAACACGCTTCACACGCGGTTTGCGTTCCACGACGACTCGCTCCCCACCTGGCCCACTACCCCTAACTTCTGTAGTCAGTTCTACGGAACAACCCAAATTTGAGGTTAGCAACTGACCCGAGCTTTCCTTTGTGGAAACTCTTAAATTTTGGAACGCGGCTTTTTGGGCTGCACTATGCAACTTTGTGGCTTTGCTAAATTGCTAGCCTTTTAACAAATTAAATTTTGTAAATTTCATTAGACGCTAGCAAAGCTACCGTACATTCTGAATGGCAGAGCGACACCGAGCAGCAGCACGCCGATGATTATCGTCGCGATCCACATCGCGTGCATCTGAATAAATGTCATAGAATTAACGTTAAAGCCTTATTTAAAAATTAAGCGTAAACTTAAGTTCTAAATTCGCTATAATTAGGTTGAAAATCCGAACAACAAATCCGGCACCCACCCGATTGCAGCAAGGACGGCCAGCACTGTGTTATCACCATATTTGGGGTGGGCTACTTTTTCATCGCAGTCTCTCTTTCTCTCTCTCTCTCTCTCTCTCTCTCTCTCTCTTTCTCTCTCTCTCTCTCGCCGCAACGGCTTCAGGGCGTCGAAACCCAGACGGGCTGGCTGCCCGATAAGCCGAAGAGTGGTCAGCGAGCCAAGGTCTATAGGCCAGGTGATGTCCCGGCTTCCGAAAGGATCTGTGCAAGCTTGCACCACACTGGAGGAGGGCAGGCTAGCAAAGGTTCTTTGGGATGTAGCTTTTCACGTTTTCAACAGAAAAATCAATATTTATGCAATTCATTACACTTTGTACAGCCATAAAAAATTATACATTTTTTTAGAATATTTACAATGGGAGCGGGAACTTAAATCTGGGGATAATTGAGGGCGAGACGGTCCCGCCGAGATCCCGTCGGCAGTAGTAGGCGCGGTCCTGAAATGGCGGTTATTGGAAATTCTCAAACGATCTCTGCTGGCCTGCCCAGTCTAAGGGTCCGAATTTCCTCAAACAATCTATGATGGTTTTTGCTTTCCGACTACTTTTCATTTATACAAATTACGAAATACTCACCACTGAATCGAGGGCGCAAATGTCAAACTTTTTGCAGTCGGCGTCACCGTGGGCAGGGTTGCATTTCTGGAATGAGATTTTTTATTTAGAGAGGCAGAGCGAGAGACACAGAATGAGAGAGAGAGATAGAAAGAGAGCGAAACAGAGAGAGAGAGTGAGAGAGAGAGAGAGAGAGAAACTCACCACTTTCAGCGTGCAAAACGCCTTATCCATGCACTGACAAATGGCCCGCGAATTCCCGCATCGGGCCCCAATAATCCGTTCACAGTCCGCGTCCGTCGTACAGTAATCCGCCTGGAATTGTTTTATACAGTTCTTTAAATAGTTTTTCATTGCTAGAAAGTTTTTAAAAAATCCGAAAGTTTTCAAAATTCGAAAATTTCGACTTTTTTTTGTCATTTTTTTGGACGAAAAAGTCAGAAATTTTCGAGATTCCTCCCCCCCCGCTAACAGATAAAAACCCAAAAATCCACGAACCACAGCAAGGGCAATCAGGGCGGCAGAAAAGAAAAGCGAGCACTTCATTCTGAAAATTAAATCTTTAAAACGAGGAGAAAATCGTATACAAGAGAAAATTAAAATTTAACGATAGTAAAAGGCCAAAAAACCGTAAATTGCGTTAAAATAACTTTGATAATTAAAAACCTTTTTTGTCTTTAGTTGACAAAGTTAAAATGTATACTATTAAATTAGATTTAGTTATAAAAATATTCAATTCAAAGCATTAAATTTAGAAAATTACTTAAAAACGATTGGCTCGGAAAATGACCTGCTCCCTGACGCTTCGTTGCCAGTTTATATAACCCGCAGTTTTCACCAGTCAAAAGCCTATCTATGTCGCACCGTCTGTTTATTTATTCGTGCCCAAAAAAGGTCAAAATCTCGCGTTTCTCGGCGTATCTTCAGCTGCCCCATGTCTCTCGCCGCAACCCCTAAAATATGCTCTTCCGGCACCCCAAATTTGTTATGCCAAAAACGCGCGTGTGAATTGTTTTCTTTCTGACGTTTTTTAATGGCTCAGCTGGACAAGGTTGCTGACCAAAAATGACGCCATTTCCTCCTCCAATCTCTGCTAGCCTGCCCTCCTCTCGGGGTCAAAAATGGCCGATTTTTTACCAAAATTTCGATTTTTAATGTTGTTAGATAGTTTCTCTAGCTTAAATATAGTTATATGCTACCAAAAATGCTATTAAAATACTAACTATTACTATTCACTTAATAGGCATTTCTAGACCTATGCAAAAACAGTGCGGCCAATCGATCGATTGAAAAGTATACTAACCGCTTTAATTTCAGCTCAAAATCTGTATGAAAACTAAAACAAAGTAATACGACAAAGTTATAGCAAAAAAAAGTAGAATTCGGGCAACCTATTAAACCCCAATTTAACGGACCCGAAACCTGTTCTTACCCGAACACAATCTGCCTACGAAATTTGCATACTAAATTACGAAAAACGGTAATAGGAAACAAAATAAATTTGCATGCGTTTCTCCGTAGATAATGGTTGCCGACCCGTCGCCGTTATTGCTACCTCGCCAACCCGGCCTAGACGGTCGCCCGCCCGGATGGCTCCTCCGACTCCGAAATCGAAGAAGCCCCAGCCCCGCAAGGTCGCCTCACGTGAAGCCGGTTCGATATTTGGTTTGGCGCTTCAAAAGGACAATTTAGCGCCCGCGGTTACGCCTCCAGCCAAGAAGGAAGAGAAGCCGCCGCAGCCTCCCAACGCTTCCACGCGCGAATTCGTCAAGCTGACCTTGGGCCTTGGTGGGTTTACGGGCTGCATTCCAGATATCCCCACCTACCGTATCTCGGCTCCCTGTTTATCTACAGGTGTTTAAAGTATACCAAAATACTCGCCAGAGCAACACGAACATTTTGGTATACTTTACACACATGTAGATGAACAGGGAGCCGAGATACAAAAATTGGGGCGGGGGGCGGCTGGGGGGGGGGGTTATCCGGTTAGTCTGGCTAGTTACCCCTAATTTATCGCTCTAGACTGGGTTTTAAACTGTTCTCCTTGTTAAATACTTGGATTCCACATATTTTTATTGGAAAATAACAAAAGTAACTATGGTCTTGTGGGAAAGAGCGACGCGAGGCGCCTCTAGACGCTTACGACGGGGAAAGGCGTGGCTGTCGGCTATAACAACTTTTCTTTATAAAGCTTTTTTCTTTTTCATTCTTTGTTTCTTTTTTTAAAAAAAGTATGTGCCATTAAAGTATTTAACGAGGGGAACATTTTGAGATACTTTGCGCGACTGTAAAATTCGATAAAAGGCAGGATTTTACCGTATTTTTTTATCTTACATGATTTTGTAATTCCTTTCTAAACTTTTTTTTTGGTTTCTTTGTGTGGTTGAAAACAGTATGTGGCATTCAAGTATTTAACGAGGGGAACATTTGGCGATACTTTGCGCGGCTAAAGAATTCGGAGAAAAACTCGCAGAGTAGAAATACCTCGAATTTCTTGCGTTTTTGCTGTTTAATAGATTTTCGGAGACGTTTCAATTCTCTAATTTTTTGGACACCACCTTTATCAACTCTTTTAGGCCTGGGCGGTCTCCGTGCAAAATGGGTCGAGCTGAAGCCGTACGCCGGCCCCAACAAAGCCATCACCGCCTTCACCGCGAACCCGGACAAGAATCGGTACCAGGACACGGTCTGCCTGGAGGAGACCCGCGTCAAGATCACCCCGGAAGAGGCCAATGAGGGCGACTACATCCACGCCAATTGGGTCAAGGTATCGTTTGAAAATTATCACTTTCGTTGAACGTTGAACAAATGGTCCGAATTTAGGTTGTTTTTGCGATAACTATTTAATTATTGCGTTATTTTGAGCTAATTTAAAACTTGGTGGATATTTGTTGAAGCTCTATTGAATGGTTTCAAAGAAATTGTGCAAAAATAGAGAAATATTGGTAGTTTGTACCTGATTCTTGATTTAGGGGTATCGGCTTTTCTCTATGGTTTTTCCTTGGCCTTATAAACAACTATAAGGTTTTTGTTTGCCGCTTTTATTAGGTTTTAACTATATCAGGCGCAGAAAAAGCTTAAAAAACCTTTGAAAAGTCGTTTGGTCATTTTGCATCGAAAAAAATAACTTTTTAGCCTCAATTGAATGTCTTTTAGGGAATTTTAGCAAGTTTTTTGTGCTGAAAAACGGTTACAACAGCTAAAAAGTTTCTTTCCTCCCTCGCGAATTCGATTTTTCAATTTAGATGGACAACCGGGAGACGTGGATCGCCACCCAGGCCCCCACCGACGCCACCATCGTCGACTTTTGGCGCATGTGCTGGGAGCACGAGGTGGTGAACATTGTCCAGCTGTGCCGCCTCGTTGAAAACGGAAAGAACAAGGTGAGATCCGCGCGCGAAACTTCGGAATGTTGCCGTTTTTCAGTGCGCTGCCTACTGGCCGGACGAGCCGGGCCTCTTCCAGAATCACGGCCGCTTCTTCGTCAACAACAAGAAAAAGGAGATGCAGGAGGGCTTTACGGCCATGACGATCGAGCTGTTGCCGGATGGGTGCTCGAACAGCCGCATTATTCGGTGAGGACTTTTGCAAATTACAATTTTTGCCCTAGAAATTCCGTACGAAATAAAATCATTTTGATCGCGTTTTACATAGTTTTTCGGGTTCTTTCGCACAGTAAAATAGAGCTATGTTTTAACTAGAAAACCTATCTAAAAGACTTCTTTTAGAAGAACAGACATTTTTTTGAAAAAGCTGTTTTGGTCGACAAATCGATAGTATTTGTGTTTTTTCATAAAAATTTGTACATTTTCCACGTTTAGGAATCGTAAATAACTAAATAAAACTTTTCACCGCCCCCGATAATGCAAAGAACCAATAAAAGCTATTTTTATGGTTTATTTACATGGTTTGTCGATGTAAAAAGCACATCAAAGGAATAAATTTCGAAAATTTTTGAGTTTTTGGTGAAAATTGTATGCCAAATCAGGGTGGAATTTGACTGGGAGAATTTGGGGGTTGCTGCCTGGAGGTGGTCGTCTTGCCTGGAGGTGGTCAAAAACGGGATGGAATTTTTTTTGCGGCCGCTTCGCGGCCTAAGCCTAAGCCTAAGCAGCCAAAAAACGCAGTTTTACCGCCACCGTTTTCCGGATACGGTCCGGATCGACTTCTAACTTACACCAATCGACGCGTCTTGCTCTTCCGCATCAGGTGATATGCATGAAAAGCCATGAAAACTTTGTTTGACAACCTCCTCCCCCCGATTTATGCAAATTTCAGCCAAAAAACACAGTTTTACCGCCACCGTTTTCCGGATACGGTCCGGATCGACTTCTAACTTACACCGATCGACGCGTCTTGCTCTTCCGCATCAGGTGATACCCATGAAAAGCCATGAAAACTTTGTTTGACAACCTCCAACCCCTAATTTATGCAAATTTCAGCCAAAAAACAGACATTTCAGGTCACAGATTTCCGGAACCCAGACGGATCCACTTCTGACCTACACCAATCGACGCGTCTTGCCCTTGCGCATCTAGTGATACCCTGGAAAAGCCAGGAAAACTTTGTTTGACAACCTCCACCCCCTTTTTTCTGGTGCGGGTTACGGTAGCACGACAGTTAACCCTGGTTCGGCCCCCGACGACGGCAGGAAATCACGCAAAAAGACCGGGTTGAGACAGGAGAGGCATAAGACCGTGTCATATAAAGAGGAAAAGCAGTAGAAATGTGTGGAAAAGGGGGAAAAACGTTTTTTTCCGCGATTTCTATTTTCTCCCAATTATTTCCCAATTAGTTTTTCTTTTTTCCCCCGCGAAGCGGGGTTAGGGGGGAGGTAAAAACCACTTCATCGGATAGAGAAATCTTCAGGCTATCCAGGGAGGTCCTACACATACCATAAACATCGCGGAATCGGGAGAAAAGTTGATTTGAATGGCTACGCAAAAACTGAAATCCCATAAATTCTCCCAATTAGAAAAATTTTGTTTCTATTTTCATTTTTTGCCTATAGGCCCGAACCGGACCAAATTTTTGGGAGACAAGCCCCTTTGGCCCACCTACCAGAGGAGGTGGTCAGCCGGGCAGTATCGGCTAAGCCGGCCGAGAAAACCGGAAAAGAGTGGGGAAAATTTCGGGTGAAATTCACCGGTTTTCTAATTGGGAGAAAACAAAAAAGGGGGGGTGGAGGTTGTCAAACAAAGTTTTCCTGGCTTTTCCAGGGTATCACTAGATGCGCAAGGGCAAGACGCGTCGATTCGTGTAGGTTAGAAGTGGATCCGTCTGGGTTCCGGAAATCTGTGACCGGAAATGTCTGTTTTTTGGCTGAAATTTGCATAAATTAGGGGTTGGAGGTTGTCAAACAAAGTTTTCATGGCTTTTCATGGGTATCACCTGATGCGGAAGAGCAAGACGCGTCGATTGGTGTAGGTTAGAAGCCGATCCGGACCGCATCCGGAAAACGGTGGCGGTAAAACTGTGTTTTTTGGCTGAAATTTGCATAAATCGGGGGGTGGAGGTTGTCAAACAAAGTTTTCATGGCTTTTCATGGGTATCACCTTATGCGCAAGAGCAAGACGCGTCGATTGGTGTAAGTTAGAAGTTGATCCGTGCCGATTCCGGAAAGCTGTGGCGGCAAAACTATGTTTTTCCGGGTAAAAATCATAAATCAGAGGGTTGGAGGTTGCCAAACAAAGTTTTTATGCTTAGTGACTGGTATCAAAAGATGCAACAGTGGAAGCAGAAGAGTTTCGGATAGGTGAGAAGCGGATTCGGTCCGGATCTGCAAAACTGTGGCCGTAAAAACTGCGTTTTTTCCGCGAAAAATCGATACATCAGGGGTTGGAGTTTGCTAAAAATTTTTTCGGCCGCTACGCGGCCGTCCTGGAGGTGGTCGTCCTACCTGGAGGTGGTCTTGGGATTTTTTCCCATCAAATTCCACCCTGTGCCAAATTACCGAAAGTTGCGCATCACGCGTTTTGCAAATATTTTGGCCAGCCGGTGCGTGCAACACAATTTTCCAGGCTCATCCAAATGCCCGACTGGCCGGACCACGGCGTGCCCACCAGCCGACGGGGCGTCCTCCGCTTTCTGCGTGCTTTGGAGAAGGTATACCGAAATTCGCGTTCAAAAACTCTTGTCTTTAGCACGGCGACGAGCTGAACAAGGGCCAAACGGTGATGCACTGCTCGGCGGGCGTCGGCCGCACCGGCACGATCATGCTCATCCACTGGATCAAAACGGCATGCATGGCCAACGAGTCGGTCGACGTAGGATTCGCTTTTCGGCACTGATTCTGGCTACTTTCAGCCGTTCGAGATGTTCAAGAAGGTGCGCGACCAGCGGGCCTGCTCGGTGCAGACGGAGCAGCAGTTCCTCTTCATCTTTGCGACCTGCCTGGAATGGGTTGATGTAAGATTTTTATCGATTTGCAAAGATATTCTGAAAACTCGGTTCTTTCGCATTATCGGGGGGGATCAACTATTTTATTTACGTGGAAAACCAATAAAAACCTATAACCGATTTTTTAGGTCCAATTCTTGTCGAAAACGGCCAGTTTTTGTTGAAAAATCTATTTTTTTCGTGTTTTTTAATGAAAATTTGTAGAGCTTTTACGTTTTGCAGGAGCAAACAAAAAAAAGTACGAAACACTTTCTCTACTTATCCTATCCTACTATATATAAAAAAATAGTGTCTGTGTGTGTGTGTGTGTGCATTTGCATACAACTTCCGTGAGGATGTTCCGCACCTACAGCCTCAGGGAAGCATTTTTTCGGTAGTGAAGAAACGTCATTAGGTAAAGAAGGGTCCGGAATCGACTGCACGCACATAAAATCCTTGAAAAATTGCTATTTTCGCTATTAAAAACAAATTTTTGTAAAATTCTCGCCTACCCTCTTTGTTAGGGATCAATTAGCATAAGCCGGAAGTCGGATAGCCTATATAAAGCGACAGAGGAGCCGTTTTTCACTTTTTTCCTGATAGATTTTGGGGAAGAAGCATGCAAATTGAAGACTTTCATCGGTCCTAGACGGGGCCAGGGTTGAAAAGCCGCGAAGCGGTTTTTCAACCCTGGTTTTAAAGAAATTGGACCCTTAGAAAAAAAAGGTGGCCCCCACGCCTTTTTTGGCGGCTAAAAGGATTTTTTCAAAAAAAAGTTCAAAAAATGGCTTTTTCTAAAAAATTTAATCAGGTTTTCAAACTTTCAAATGATCGATCGCCCTGGCAATCATGCAACTTTCAGGCCCGCTTCGCCGAGCTGCCCCAGCTGCCGAACTTTAAGACGACGTTGAGCGCGCTGACGGGCGCCGCCACATCCGGCAACGCGACGGCTTAATCTTCCCCCCTGGAGCACTGATTCTTTCTGCCCATTCTTTTCCTTCATTTCCCCCCTCTGTATTTGGCTTGTATTGTGTTGTAAAATGTGTCGTTTTTCAAATGTCTTTGTGAAATGCTTTTTGTCGTTTTGGTGATAAACTGGGTCGTTTATGTGGTGGCTTGGTGGAGTGAAGCGGCTTTCCAGTTGGTTGGTACTCGTTCGTTAGTGGGGGGACGCCTCTCTAAACCTACATGTCAATAATATAGTGTATTTTGCTAACGCTTTTGGTAGTTTTAGATTGCGAGAAAGTTAAAAATATCTTGGAAATTTTTTTAATTCGCGTTTTCGTCCAAATAGTCAAAATTTTTGATTTTTTAGACGTTTTTATATCTAAAAACCGAGTAAAATGGGAGAAGAATGCTTTATATTTTGTTATAGGATCCTACAGGATTAAAGGGAAAACGGGTATTTCGCCCTCCCCCGCTAACAGACCAGTACCAAACAGGCCTGTCTAGTATACTTTTCCCATTTTTAGCTCTTTCTTGAGCATTTCTTCTTTTCCTAACTTAATTTAATTAGTTTACTTTTATATTAATAACTTTCCTTTTATTAAGATCGCAAATGTTTGGAAAGATTTTTCTATGTTATCTGTTAAATCGATTAAATTATGATTTATCGGTCATTTAGATGTCAAAAAATTTATCGGAAGGTCTGCTGCGCAAAACTCGGCGTCGTCGGCGCACAATAGGAGTCGCTCGTACACGCCTCGGTTCTGCACGCAAAATAACGGCCAACGAGGCACGTCGACGCATCGTATTCGTACAAGAAGCCGCCGTTCGACTTCAGATACGCACACTTTTCCGCGTCGCTCGCCGGCTTCAATTGGGCCGCGATGCCGGGATCCTGGAAAGTACTGGACTGTTAGCGGGGGGGGGGGATTTTTCCTAGTATCCCGTACATTTTAATTTCTCTATTAATAACAAAAAATATCATTTATCTAGTGTCTATTTTCATCTTACGCAGCTTTTTAAACTTTCTAGCACTGAAAATCTATGAAATGGCTATTAAAACCATCTAAAAAATTTAAAAACTTCGAAAGATGCCTTTCTTGGTCAAAAACGTATGAAAAACGGCCCAAAAAATCAAAATTTTCGAATTTTAAAAATTTTAAAGCGTTTTTTATAACTTTCTGGCACTCAAAAACTATGAAAATCTCCAAAAAAGTACCTATTTAACACGCACGAAGAAAAACAGAAAAAATGTCCCATTTTTTGAAGAGTATTTTAAACTTTCTAGCACTCAAAAGCTATTGAAAAACAGCCCTTGGTATAGTAGGAAAATGGCCGAATTCTGACCCTACCACTCGAGTCCCATCCAACCATCGCCAATCCGGTACCGCCGCACTCCCATTATTTGTCAGGCCAACCCACACGCCCAGCGTACGCCCCTCACCGCTACGGTATGCTGCAAAAAAAGGAAGGGTTTTTGTATTCAAGGAATTTGAAGGCAATTTTGATACCCCTATTTTATCCCTAGAAACATTAAAGGGGCTCCGAATCTTGTCTATGCCCCAAGGCGTCGATTCCTGGCAATTAGCCAGATGCGACCGTAACGCGACCGCGCCGCATGATCTTTTGCCATTGTTTGGACGCGAAAACGCTTGAATCATAAAATTCTGACACAATTTCTGGGATCCTCATCGAATTTTGATCATTCCAGACTTTTTAATTATGAAAATTGATCAGAGAATCACCGAGATCGGGAGCTTGGGTGCCTTACAAGGCATTACGACATGTAATCCCCCCACTCAAAATGTCCTTTTCTCCCCGAAAACTTTTCGGTTTTACTCAAATCTTTTACGTTTTTTCGAAATGAAATCAATTTTCTGGTGCTTCTCGGCAGTTTCAGTTTTTTTGACCTGTAGGTGCAATCCCCGCAGGCACCAATTTTGATTTTCGAGTCCCTTTAAAATCCGAAAAACTGACGATTGAGCGCGGCGAGTGCTTCGGAAATATCCTTCGTTTGCGCCAACGTCGACTGTAGCTCCAGCTTTGGGCACGCTTCTCTTGCCGAAAGTTGCGTGCTGGTGCCGGTTCCATACTAAAGGCAAGCCAGCGGAGATTTTTTTGAGGCAACAACGAAAAAACTTACCCAAAAGCAACCGGTCGCAATATCATTACTGCCGGGCAAAAAGTGCTCGCCCGGGTCGCTGCAATCACCGATACAGGGGCAGAAGTAGTTTGCTAAAACGCAAACCCTTTAAGGAGACCAGTCCTCATCTACGATTGGCAAGAAGCCAACCGGTTACGGTATGTAAAAACGCGGAGGGAGCACGACCGTTTTTCTTCGGCTCCCTGATTTCACTTACCCTGACACAGTAATCCGACCAATTTCTGCCCGTCCAGCCCCTTGCTCGCATCCAGAAAATAGCCCGGACTGGCCAGATCCTGCAGCTTTGAAACTTTTGGGCCGTCTTCAAAGCCTGCAAAGCAGATAAGCTCGAAAAACGAGATGGATCGTTTTTTCTGATTTTTGGTGTTAAACCAGTCTTAAATTACTGTTGATAAAGCTTGAATAATACTGACTTAGGACCACCACAATCCCTCCACTAAGCTTGAACGTTTCCACGGAAGCATTCGGGCTCGCGAAATTGCCTTGTCTGAAAATTAGCTTTAGAAGTTCCGGTTTCGAGATCCTCAACAATCTCTGCTAGCCTGCCCTCCTCTCGGGGTCCGTCCATTTCCTCCTCCAATCTCTGCTAGCCTGCCCTCCTCTCGGGGTCCGTCCATTTCCTCCTCCAATCTCTGCTAGCCTGCCCTCCTCTCGGGGTCCGTCCATTTCCTCAAACAATCTCTGCTAGCCTTCCTTCCCCGCAAAACTGACCGATATCCCTCCGAAGCGATCAGAATCACTTCCTGCCGATTTGTCACCTGGACATCATAGAGTTTTTGGCGCGCCAGGTCAATCGCACTAAATTCAGATTTATTTAAAGGACCAAGCAAGACCGAGTGGGAGCAAAATCCATAAGGATTCCACAGCCAAAAGATTGTATAGCCGTGCCTTGCCGGTCCCTTTAAAAACACGCACCTCGTCAAATCAGATACCTCGCTCGGCAGATACGGTATGGCGAGGTTGTTAAAATCGGCGTACGACTTGAAATCTTTCAGATTTGCGACATTTCGTGGTGCGGCCGCGTAGGCGATGACGCCGATTCGGCTTTGGTATCTGAATTCCATGGTCGAAGTTGTCTAAACCGTTACCCACCTACCGTAACCCTTGGCCAAGGGTGACGCCCTGGAAGGCCGATTTCACTTGGCTGATCATCTGAAGAATTTCTCTCTTCTCTCTCTCTCGCTCTCTCTCTCTCTCTCACTCTCTCTCACTCTCTCTCTCTCTCTCTCTCTCTCTCTCTAACCGATTACGCCATAACTCGAAACGAACCGAAAAATAGCCGGTCGCATTCGTGGCGCTCGAGCTGTCGAAGAGGATCTCCACATCGAGCCAGATTTTGTTCGGAGAACAGGTTAAATTCGCGGCCTCGAGGCAGGTGGCTGAAAGGGCTAACTAGCAGAGCTTGTTTGAGGAAATGGACGGACCCCGAGAGGAGGGCAGGCTAGCAGAGATTGGAGGAGGAAATGGACGGACCCCGAGAGGAGGGCAGGCTAGCAGAGATTGGAAGAGGAAATGGACGGACCCCGAGAGGAGGGCAGGCTAGCAGAGATTGTTTGAGGAAATGGACGGACCCCGAGAGGAGGGCAGGCTAGCAGAGATTGGAGGAGGAAATGGACGGACCCCGAGAGAAGGGCAGGCTTGCAGAGATTATTTGAGGAAAACGCAACGGACTCACCAAAACACAGCGCAACAATCAGCAACCGCCCTCGGTGCATTTGGTGGTCAGAAGCGGAAGAATTCAAGTAGTCTAGCCCCGAAAATTCCAAAGCCGCGAGACCCGTTATCAGCCGGAAATTCCCCTCTGCTGATTTCGGCTAAAAAGGTGAAGCCACAAGTCGGGTGAGTAATCTGCCAAAAAATGGAAAAAGATACCCCGTTCCGCTGGATATCAACAAGGCACGCCTCTGCTTCCGTTTTAAAGTCGGGGTCCCGGATCCGTCGGTTTGACAATAATAAATTCTTCCGGCTGGCCGTAAATACCGGGGGCTGGAATTCATCGGCCTCCGGGTAAGAGTAAAGTGTTTTTGGGGAGGATCGAACTCACAGCTATCATGTGCAGATAAGAACTCTCCCTCACTCTCTCTCACTCTCTCTCCATGTCTCTCTCTATCTATCTCTCACCCTCTCTCTTTCTCTCGCTCTCTCTCCCTCACTCTCTCTCACTCTCTCTCTCTCTCTCCATCTCTTTCTATTATCTCCCTCTCTCCCTCTCTTTGTCTCTCTCTCCCTCTCTCTCTGTCTCTCTCTCCCTCTCTCTTTCTCCCTCTCTCTCCCTCTCTCTTTCTCTCGCTTCCTCTCTTTCTCTCGCTCCCTCTCTTGATCTCTCTCGCTCTCTCTCTCTGTCTCTCTCTCTCTCTCGCGTTTAATGCATCCATTTATTCGCGGCGATCTGTAACGAGTGATAAATGAGTTGAGGATGGGCAGAGGGGGGCGGGGTTTGTGGATAAATCTGTACACAAGACGACACAACAACGAGTGAACATTACACACAAAAATGTTTTTACAACGGGAAAAGAATAGAGAATTATTTGGTGGAGGAGGTGGCGTTTGTAAATGGGACGCGTCGCGTCGTCGTCGTCGCGGCGCTCGTTCACTTCCTGCGCGACTGAAAAAGGTGCGGTTTTTGGCTTAGATTTGGGCTTGGGTTTGGGATAGGCCCAGCTTTGGCTTCGGCTTAGCTTCAGCTTAAGTATGCTTAGCTTCCGCTTGACTTCGGTGTTGGCTTAGCTTAGGCATAGGCTTAAGTTAGGCTTATGCTTAGGCTTAGGCACAGGCTCAGCTTCGGCTTGGCTTAGCTCTGTAATAGGCTTAGCTTCGGCTTGGCTTAGCTCTGGAATAGGCTTAGCTTGAGCTTTAGCCTAGCGGAGCTTCGGCTTGGCTTGAGCTCAGCTTAGCGTAGGCTTAGGTTCAGCTTGGGCTTCAGTCTGCTTAGGTTTGGCTTAGCTTAGCTTATGCTCAGGCCTATGCTTCGGCTTACCTTCCGGGAAATGTGCTTAATTTTAGAGGGTGGTCGCTTCGGGCCGGAGGACGGGGTGACTGGTGCGGGGGCTGAGGTAGGCGGAGGGTCGGGTCTAAAAACAGGGCAGGCTAGCAGGGATCATTTGCGGAAATCTAAGGGGAAACCGCGACAAACCTGGGTTTTGGCGTTTCGGCCGTGGGTTTGGGATCGGCAATCGCTGGGTTTGGCGCCACCTGGAAAGGGGTTCGAGGGAGGACCCGAATTTCCTGGTTCTGGTCTCTTAGCGGGGGGTAGGTAAATAGGTGGAGAAACAGAAAGTGGTTCCCCTGAAAAATCCCCTCTCCCCCGCAAACAGCGCAGAACCAATTTCCGCAGGGAATCTCTGCTAGCCTGCCTCCCCAGGGCAGTCCAAATTTCCGCAAACAATATCTGCTATCCTGCCTTTTCTGGGGTTACGGGGGGCGCCACAGGCTTCGCTTCCGGTTCCACGATGGTTTCCGCTCGCTTCTGCGCCGCTACCGGCGCCTGGAGATTCGTTTTAAAGGGACGCTAAAGCCAATGGATACCGTAGCTACCGGCGGTACCGGCTGCAACGCTTCATTGGTGCGCCATGGGCTTCGTAGCGGCGGTGGCTGAAAGTTGGAATAACGGCCGACCCGCCAGCCAACGTCCAACTACTGTATCTCGGTCTCCTTGTGCCCTCCAGAGCTCTAAAACATACCAAACTGTTCGCCTTTCCCTGGCGAGTATTTTGGTAAACTTTACAGCCCTGTAGGATCCAGGAAAGCCGAGTTACGGTAGGCCAAGGACGGTGGGGGTGGGGGGGGGGCTGCTGCAGACCCTACTCACCTTTGCCGGCTCCATCTCGACGACGACCACGCCCGAATCATCTGCCGGTTTCGCCTAAATCGTAGGCAATTAAAAATTAAGGGAAAAATCCTTGTAAATTATGAGGATTTACAAAAAATAAGGGTATAAAAATGCACCGGTTTGGGATCGGCCGGATGGGAAACGGTGGCTGGGTGGAATTTGAGGTCCTAAAACGGGCGAGTTTCAAGGGTCCGTCCATTTCCTCAAAGAATCTATGCTAGCCTACCTCTTGCCGCAATCCTGCCGGGGAGCCGGGCTGGGTGTTCTGAAATTAAATTCTATCATTCGCAGCAAACCATAAAAAAAATCAAGAATGTTTCGGAAGGCTACCTCTTCCTTCACAGACGTCGCCGAGCTTTTTCGAGATCCCGGCTCGCTCTCTTGCTGAAAAAGAAAAGAGTGGCGAGAAAGAGAGCGAGATAAAAAGCGCGAGAGAGAGGGAGAGAAAAAGAGAGAGTGAGAGAGCGAGATGGAGAGAGATAGAGAGAGACAAAGAGAGAGACAGGGAGAGACAGAGGGGGAGAGATTGCGAGAGAAAGAGAGAGGGTGTGAGAGAGTGAGAGAGACACAGAGAGGGAGAGTGAGAGAGAGAGAATGCGAGAGAAAGAGAGAGAGAGAGAGAGAGAGAGAGAGGAGAGAGCCATACCGTATCCTCCGAGCTGCCCCCTTCGCCATGACGTCCAGCGATCGGCTCGCAGGAAGTGATGCGATGTCCGGACAGCTCCACCCATTTTGCCGCGACCTGAATTTTTCCGGTTACGGTAGCGATAGCCCCATTTCAAGACAACGTGTCAGCATGGACTTTTGACGTATTTTCGACGTGCTTTCATTAGCCATTCAAAAGATGAAGCCGTTTATTCTCGGGGAAAAGAAAGGAGAAAATGCAACGTAGTCTATTCCGGCTAATCGACAACGATGGGCTGCGCGTAGACGCGACGCTGGCTTTTGGCCTTTGGCGTTGGCGGGCCCTGCGACACGATTTCCGGGTAGGTGAGTTTAAAGGGATCGGTAAGGCATGGCGGTTCTGGACTGTTAGCGGGGGGGAGGATTTTTAACAAAGGGAAAAGCCCTTGCTAAAAAGATCCATTCCAATTTTCCACAGATTTGTTGAAGATCAATTACGTATTTTTCTGGTGTTTTTAGGAGTTTTTGATTGCTAGAAAGCTATCAAAATGCTTTTTAAAATGTTGAAAATCGGCAAAAATTTTTCAGGAATTTTCGAGTACTGTTTTTCATAAATTTTTAGCCAAAAAAATGAAAAAGAACCCCGAAAACCTACCCTAAAATTACTCCAAAAATTGTTTAAAACCGTATCAAAATGGTTTGTTTTTTGTTATAAGGCCGTCCGGCATTAATTCGCAAAATCTGGTCTCCCCCCCCCCGCTAACAATCCAGTACCGCCATAGCTTGCCGGTCCCTTGAATGCGAGTGTACCGAGACTACCTGTGAAGCCTGCTTGACTCGCTCGGGGCGGGTGGGAGCAGCTGACGTCCCGCCCTCCTCCTTGCCGTCGTCAATGTCCATCTCGTCGATTGTCGTCTAAAGGAAATGATACGGATTTCCTCAAAGAATCTCTGCTAGCCGCCCACCTCAGCCGCCTTGGGCCCTTTCCCTTTTGGTGCCAGCGGATCGGGCGGGAACGTCGTCATACTGCATCTGGAAACCTCGGAAATTCCAGGACCCGGCTCAGGCGCCCACTGGCAATCCCAGTCGACGTACAGCAACGCGCCAAAGTTGTTGAACGTGCCGCAGTAGTTCGGGGCCGAGAACACGGTCACCAGGTGACGATGGGCAAAGAATTCGTAGCTGAAAAAGATGGCAGGCTAGCAGAGATTGTTTGAGGAAATGGACGGACCCCGAGAGGAGGGCAGGCTAGCAGAGATTGGAGGAGGAAATGGACGGACCCCGAGAGGAGGGCAGGCTAGCAGAGATTGGAGGAGGAAATGGACTGGACCCCGAGAGGAGGGCAGGCTAGCAGAGATTGGAGGAGGAAATGGACGGACCCCGAGAGGAGGGCAGGCTAGCAGAGATTGGGAGGAGGAAATGGACTGGACCCCGAGAGGAGGGCAGGCTAGCAGAGATTGGAGGAGGAAATGGACGGACCCCGAGAGGAGGGCAGGCTAGCAGAGATTGGAGGAGGAAATGGACGGACCCCGAGGAGGGCAGGCTAGCAGAGATTGGAGGAGGAAATGGACCGGACCCCGAGAGGAGGGCAGGCTAGCAGAGATTGGAGGAGGAAATGGACGGACCCCGAGAGGAGGGCAGGCTAGCAGAGATTGGAGGAGGAAATGGACGGACCCCGAGAGGAGGGCAGGCTAGCAGAGATTGGAGGAGGAAATGGACGGACCCCGAGAGGAGGGCAGGCTAGCAGAGATTGGAGGAGGAAATGGACGGACCCCGAGAGGAGGGCAGGCTAGCAGAGATTGGAGGAGGAAATGGACGGACCCCGAGAGGAGGGCAGGGCTAGCAGAGATTGGAGGAGGAAATGGACGGACCCTGAGAGGAGGGCAGGCTAGCAGAGATTGGAGGAGGAAATGGACGGACCCCGAGAGGAGGGCAGGCTAGCAGAGATTGGAGGAGGAAATGGACGGACCCCGAGAGGAGGGCAGGCTAGCAGAGATTGGAGGAGGAAACGAACCCATCCTGTACGACCTGATGGCCGCGGACGACGAGATCGATGCTGAACTTCTTGCACAGCTCCTGCAGAGCCCTGGAATTCGCGGGATTCCACGAAGGATCTCTGCTAGCTGACCGTTTGCTAAAATGATGTGATATGCCGCGGGCGGATGCTTCATAGAGTGGATCGAGGGGTCCGTTGGCCATTTGGGGGCTCGGGTCGGCCCACAGCAGATCGACGGCCAGACACGCGGCAAACGGGTCGACCGGGCGCTCGATGTCGTTCAGCTGGCTCAGCTCTGAGCAATTATAGCCGTCCGTTTTTTTTTAAAGTAAGACAAGGCATGGATTCATGGCTTATGTGCAGGTTACCTCCCCCAGCCGACCCCCACCTGTGTATCTCGGCTCCCTGTTCATCTACAGGTGGGTAAAGCATCCCAAAATGCTCGTCAGAGCAAGGCGAACATTTAAGTATACTTTACGCACCTCTAGATGAACAGGGAGCCGAGATACAAAAGTTGGGTGCCGGCTCGCTAAACTAACCGAAAAATCCATATATCCATCGCAGACGATACCTTGCAACATTGGGAGATGCCGCCGTGCATGCAGAGGATTCGGCGCGAGATCAGCGCCGTCATCGGCATCCAGTTGAACAGGTCCTGCGCCAAAGTATTTGTCAATTTTTGTCAAAAGTCGTTTTAACGTTACAAACTTTTTTTTGTTAAGCCCGAATTTTTCAAATATAGATAGTGGAAGTGTTTCTAAATAGTTTTTACTAGTCCTAAACGTGAAAACCACAAAAAATACTAAAAACTGTCAAAAAAAAATTACCCCCCCCCCCGATAACGCGAAAGAACCCGAACCTGAAATTGGTCCCAGAGCCCGCGGCCGACGTGGTTCTCCGGGAACCGGGAGCAGCACTCCTCGTAGAAGCCGTACACCTGCAAAAGTGGCTCGCCTCCGACAAATGGTGCTTTTTCATTATCGGGGGGGGGGACTTCTTTAATTTTTTATAAGTTTTTTTTTATCAAATATAGCGATCTTTCCACTAGAAAAACTAGCTAAAAAAGTTTCGAAAAGGTCTAAAATTCGAAATCGGTCAAAATTCCTCCTTTTTCTCGAAATAATTGATCTGATTTTCGTATTTTTTTAATTTGGTATCTATTAGAATTTTTGGCAGGAATTTTTTACGTTTAAGAATAACAAAAAAAAACGTTTAAAAACAGCTCTAATGCTCCTTTTAAAGCCGGGAACGCGTACCCGATTGACGGCCGAGCACTCGTGGTTCCCGCGCAGCAGATAGATGGCCGATGGATGGATTACCTGCCAGAAATCGGGTTTTAAAACGCGAAAACCCTCACCTTGACGAGCAGCAGAAAAACGATACACTCCAACGAGTTCGGGCCCCGGTCCACGTAGTCGCCGAGGAACAGGTAGCGCTGAAATTGGTTATCAGGCCGCTCGAACCTTCATGCGTTTTTTCCGAGCTTTTTGCCCTTTTTCGCAACGAAATCAATATGCCGGTACTACAAAAACAAATGGTTTTCCCTTACCCTCGATTCCCCGTCGGGCCACCCGGTCTTCTTGAAGATGCGCATCAGATCCGTGAACTGGCCGTGGATGTCGCCGACGCAGTACACCGGCGCCTTCACCTCGAGGCGCATCGGCTCAGCGCGGATGATCGGGCTGCAAACGGTGGGCTAGACTTACGTGAGACGGCTTGAGAGCAGTTGTAACCGCACCCTAACACGTGACTTTTCCAAGAAATGGGCGCCAGAAGTAGGCCAATCACTCACGTGGCTCTCCGGATCACCTCCTCGATGATGGCCGGCGTCAGCTCGTTTTTGACGGCCCACACCTGAAAGTGGGCTATTTTTGCGTTAATTAAATAAATGAATCAATAAAACCACAAAAATACCAGAAATATAGATTTTTCGACCAAAATTTGCTAAGACTCCAGATACCCCCCCCAGCCGCCGGCCCCCAACTTTTGTATCTCGGCTCCCTGTTTATCTACAGGTGTGTAAAGTATACTAAAATACTCGCCAAAGCAAGGCGGACATTTTGGTATACTTTACATCCCTGTAGATGAACAGGCGGTCGAAATATAAACGCGGGGGTATCTGGAGTTCAGCCCAAAAGTTCAACCAAAAAAGTTTCGAGTTTTTTTTTTCTTGAGCACCTCCTTGTCGTCCTTGGTCTTGTCCTTGTAGACGGCCTCCTGCATGCGTCTCATCAACGCCCCCGCGTCCAGCTCCACCTTTACGTCGGCCGCCATCGTTGTGCTGCTAGAAGCCGTCGTCGTGTTGTCAATATAACGGAAAAAGCCCACTGTAAAGCTGCACCCGGTGGCGGTTGAGGAAAAGTGCATTTTGCGGTGTCCATCTTGCGATCACCGGAAGTGATTCGGGTATGGAAAACAGGATTATGCTTTCTGCTTCAATAGGGACCGATTTTTGGGACTTGAGCCTCGTTGTGAGCAAGAGCGAATTGAGCCTCAGGTTCTTTCGCATTGTTCGGGCGAGGGAAAGTACGTCTTCCTGTAGTATAGGCCTGGAAATGTCTGGTAACTTAATAGGAAATAGTTAAATAATGTTTTTAATCAAAAAAACACGATTTCAGCCAGACAAACTATCCAAAAATGCCCTAAACTCTAAATTTTCGTAAAAAATCACAATTTATACTCGAAAAAAGGGACATTTCTGTATTTTTTATGATATATTTGTAAATTTGTACTCTTACGAATAGTAAAAAAACAACTTAGAACCGCTTGTGCTACTTATATTCATTCCACTGGAGCCGATACTACCGATTTGGTTAAGCGATTATGAGTTGAAAAAATTATTAGGACCCTCCTCTCAAGAAACTTATCAAATTCAAAATTTTCAACCGGAAACGCTAGCTTCCTGTCGGATCTATAAATTCCAGTCAAAAACATTGAGAGAAAGCTGACTCCTAGCCCCCCAACACCCACTTGAACGTTTTATTCCTCGCAACAAATACCCGTATCGCGCACAACCAACGAAAAGCAATTACAACATGCAAAAAGCGGGCTAATAGCACAAAATTTTTGAAAACTCAACAAAAAGTGTGGTGTTATTTACAAAGCAAAATCTCGAAAACGTTACAAAACATTCGAAAATTCAACACAGAAAAACCACAGTAGAATTGAAAAAACGGCTAAAGCTAATCAAAATCAGAATCTTAGAAAATGTTTGAATTAGCTGGCCGACTGGCCGACGACGATCGGGGCCCGACGGCGCACACGCTGCGGCCGATGTGATTCGTGGTTTGGCGTCCATGGGCCCTGAAAAAAAAACAGAAATATTCTCGGTTCTGGATTGTTAGCGGGGGGACCAAAATTTTCCCTGTTCTCCACGGCTCTATACCAAAACAAAAACCATTTCTATAGCTTTTTCAATAGCTTTTATGTTTAAAAACACTCAAAACACTACAATAGTTTTTATGTTTAACAACACTACAAAAAACTAATAAAAATCTGGAAAATTTTTGATTTTCTGGTCAAAAATGTATGAAAAATGAGCGAAAAAGGTCTTTATAATTTTCCAAATTTTTAGAATATTTTTCATCGCTTTCTAGCAAACACAAACACCAAACCAAAAAAGCCGAAAAAAACAAACCAAAAAAGCAACTAAAAACGCTATCAAAATATATTATATATTATCCACAGGTCCCCCTGCTAAACACCCCCCCCGCTAACGGCCCAGAACCCCGAGCGTACCTTCGACTCGTAGGCGTAGAAATCCATCGGATAGTAGCCATCCGGAAATTCGAGCGAATCCAGCGCCACGTTCAGCTCGTAGGGGGTGAGCAGGGGGCGGGCGAAGAACGTTCCCCAATCAATCGACAGTCGAGGGCACGCGATTTGCACCCAACTGAAAAGGAAAGAAAATTAATTCAATTCAAAGAACTTATTTCATATAAACATAACGGTACTATTATATTACGGGGAAAACGGTGTCTTCAACATATGGAAAAAATCGCGAAAATATAGAAAACCAGTTTCAAAAGTTACTTTTGTGTTCGCTCTAACTTTTTTTCTATTAATTTTTCGATGCTGTCTCGAACGGCGTTGCAAAAAAACAACCCGAAAAAGTAGCGAAAATATCCAAGTTCTGCCAAGGTAAATTTCTCCCCCGCTCGAAATAGAACAGAACCAAAATAACTATAATAAGGCACCACTAGCCGTATAAACGTTTTATAAGGAACAATCATAAATTCATTAAATATAAAGAGTTATAACACTTCTCCTAGTAATACTTTAAAATAAATATAGGGTAGCTATAAAAACACGAACCACTCAATCTCATCGAATAGCGCGAGTTTTGCCGGGAAGATCTCAGACAGCACGACGACGGTCACCTCCTTGCCCTTGCTCTTCAGCTTGTCGACGAGCTCCTGCAATTTCAGGAATTCATGGAGGTAGCAAACCTTACCTGGAGCACTTTGGTGTTTCCTGCCTTCCCGAGCGCCCCCAAAACGACGCCAAACCGCGTGCATTCGCGGGCTATCCTCACGGCCGCTCGGCGGTTATTGCGCATCGTTGAGTGGTCGTAGTGCTCCCTAAGGCCATATTTAATTGAGCACCACCCGTTTTACCTCGTCAACTTTCTGGCGTATGGGTCGTATTGAAAGGCCGCGATTTTCGGGTTGTGGATCATGATCGACTCGAGGTGGAAGCGCCCGTCGCCGAGGTAACTAAAAAATGGTGAATTTTGGTGTTGCGCTATCTCCAGCTGACTCCGGATAGTTTTTGACCCTTTTAAAGCACAGAAACACCACAAAAAGACATGAATTCTAGGATTCGGGAATTCAGATTCGTTTTTGATGACTAAAATTACAATTTTCACTTTCTAAAATTTTCGGAATTATTTTTGTTTCAAAAAAAATATGCACAAATGTATGTCTTACGTCGAAAAATTGCTTTTTTCCGAGGCAACCGGCCCAAATTGTCGATTTTTTCAAACTTGTTTTGAAGGTTTTTCTACTTTAAAATAGTTAAAAAAGGCCAAAAACAATGCAAAAACACTTTAAATTTGATTCCTAGGTCAAAAAAGTGGGTCCCCACGCGCGAATCTTAAAGAATCTCCAAGAAAACCGACATTAGCCGGTCCACATCATCGCCAAGCCGCGGCGACGTGCAGCCGAGGATTTCGCCCGGACTCAACGGCTTGCACTGCGGCATCACAATCGTGTAGCCGTCATTGCTGAGCAGCTGGCGAACGGCCTAAAGCGAAAATGTTGGCGATGAAACGGTTCTTTCGCATTATCGGGGGAGAGGGGCAAATCTTTTTTTTTTTTGTGTCTAGAAAAGAATAGTTTTTAATTTTTTTTGGAACAGAAATGTTTTTTTATTAATATTAAACTACATTTCGGCTAGAAAAGCTATCCAAAAGGTTCAAAACTTTCCAAAAAGTCGAAATTTTGGTCAAAAACGGCGAATTTTGCTCGAAATCTCTATAATTTACCAGATGGTTCCAGTCGCTTCGCGACTGTAACCATCTGGCCTTCGGGCTACCCTTCATGCAATCCACTTAAAAAACTACTTCGATACCTCCCTGCTAGCTTTAGATACCCCCCATGGCTGAAATCCCCTCCAAAAACTACCTAAATACCTTCCTGATGGCTTCAGATACCCCCCTGGCTGAAATCCCCTTCAAAAACTACCTAAATACCTTCCTGATGGCTTCAGATACCCCCCATGGCTGAAATCCCCTTCAAAAACTACCTAAATACCTTTCCGATGGCTTCAGATACCCCCCATGGCTGAAATCCCCCTCAAAAACTACTTCGATACCTCCTGATGGCTTCAGATACACCCCATGGCTGAAATCCCCTCAAAAACTACTTCGATACCTCCCTGATGGCTTCAGATACACCCCATGGCTGAAATCCCCCTCAAAAACTACTTCGATACCTCCCTGATGGCTTCAGATACACCCCATGGCTGAAATCCCCTTCAAAAACTACTTCGATACCCCCTGATGGCTTCAGATACCCCCATGGCTGAAATCCCCCTCAAAAACTACTTCGATACCTCCCTGATGGCTTCAGATACACCCCATGGCTGAAATCCCCTTCAAAAACTACCTAAATACCTTTCCGATGGCTTCAGATGCCCCCCATGGCTGAAATCCCCCTCAAAAACTACTTCGATACCTCCCTGATGGCTTCAGATACACCCCATGGCTGAAATCCCCTTCAAAAACAACCTAAATACCTTTCCGATGGCTTCAGATACCCCCCATGGCTGAAATCCCCCTCAAAAACTACTTCGATACCTCCCTGATGGCTTCAGATACCCCCCATGGCTGAAATCCCCCTCAAAAACTACTTCGATACCTCCCTGATGGCTTCAGATACCCCCCATGGCTGAAATCCCCTCAAAAACTACTTCGATACCTCCCTGATGGCTTCAGATACACCCCATGGCTGAAATCCCCTCAAAAACTACTTCGATACCTCCCTGATGGCTTCAGATACACCCCATGGCTGAAATCCCCTTCAAAAACTACTTCGATACCTCCCTGATGGCTTCAGATACCCCCCATGGCTGAAATCCCCTTAAAAAACAAAAATAACGACCGACCGGATGGAATGAAAGCAAAAAAGAAATGAAATCCCCCGTGAAAATTTTCATCCACGAAACGCGCGCCACCTGGCTCACTATGCGAAAATCATGCCAACCTCCGTCCCCCACCCCTTTTACTAAGGAAAAAACTTTCAAAGTTAATTTTAATAATTTAAACTAAAACTTTTTCGTAATTTTTTTATCAGTTTGGGGGTTTCTGACCACGCTCTATCCGAATCCGAAGAGAGCTAAGCTCTAGCTCCTTTCCCCTTCGAGTTGAATTCGGCTTCAGACAGACGGACAGACAGACGGACGCGTCAAGAAAATTATTATAGTTGATGTTCCTTTTAATAAAACTTTATTTAGTGGTTTATTCTAAAATAAATGTATTTTTTGAAACAATCGAAATACGTTTAGGAATAGTAGAAACCGTTCCGCTCTTTTTATAAAAAAATTGATTCTACGAAAACATTGTACGAAATTCTACGAAAAAACTTTTTCTTGCCCCCGATAATGCGGAAGAACCGATCAAAAAAGCAAACCTGCAACGACGGGATGAACTGGATCGTGCTGACGATCGCTATTCTCTGCGACGGCTCAAAGTTGGCCTAAAAAGGGAAAAATTTTTGTGCTTTTCACATTTCCTCACCTTAAGACAATCGACAAAATGCGAGAGGTTGATCTCGATGTTGACAAAAATGTAGAGCATGGCGATGCCCTCTGTATTCTGGATTGGGACGAGGCAGCTGTGCCCATAGTGCACGAGCAGATCACAGCCTAGAAACAAATGCATTTTTAGCAGAAAAAAAGATGATACTTCACTGTTAGCGGGGGGGGGGGGTAGCAGGAAGAAGCTAATTTTTTCCAGTAATTCCGTACCTATAACGAAATATACACCATTTTTACAGCATTTCACACCGTTTTCAGGTACAAAAACCTCATAAAAGTTCTCGAGAATTATTGATTTCACTGGTCAAGAATGTAAGAGGTGAAAAAAGGTGAAATTTTTGAATTTTCAACATTTTTCATAACTTTTTAGCAGTCAAAAACTACTAACAACACTTTAAAAATGGATTACATAATCAAAAGTCAAAATAGGCGAAAAACACCGCCCCCAACTAACAGTCCAGTACCGAAAAATAAATACCTAAAGCCTTGGCGGTGAAATCGTCGACGCAGCACGCTCCGTAGGTGACGTCGCCCATGATGACCGTCTCGCAACCGGTGTGCTTCTCCAGGATGTCGGCGATCAGGCACGCGTACATCAGCAGCCCTTCCGGGAATTGCAGGGCCACTGAAATGAACGACCTCATCGGAAAAAACCAAGGCCCGCTCACCGTTTTTCGCGCCCAAATGCCGGATTTTCCATATAGTCTTCGGCAGCTCAAACGTGTAGTTGGCGGGGAGCTAAACGAGAGGATTAGTTGAGCATCGCCACTTACTATTTCAACATCCTTCGCCAAAATCGGATCGCCCGCTATCGCCTCGAGCTGATCGGCCAACGTAGAAGGGCCGGCCATCCTCGCGTCTAGAAAATTAACGGTTACGCTGGATGTATATAATCTATCGAAACGGAAGAAGAAAATGGTCAAAAAGCCGAAGATTTAATTGTTTATAAAGTTACATAGATTAACATAGATTGTTGCAATCCGTCAAGTTAGAAGGTCTTTATCGGGAGACCCTGTATAGAATAATATGCTTTCGGCATATCTCCACTACTTCAATGTTTTTAAAAAATAACCAGGGTTGAAAAGCCGCTAAGCGGCTTTTCACCCCTGGCCTTTGCGCGGGGATCTTTAAAAGTCGGGCTTTGCATAATTCGGGCGAAGAGCTAGAGCGAACCCAAAAAAATAGCAAAAGCAACCGGCCGCGAGCGCGACAAAAGCCAAAATGAGGCTCCTAGCGCCTCGTATGCAAATTAGTCTATTTCCATATGTTTTTAAAACGTCAAAATAAGGTATAAAACGAAATTTTAGTAAAAATCTGATAAGCGTGCAGTAATCTACGCCCTCGACTACCCCTAACTACCTTATTTCTGGACGAAAAAATTCTTTCCCCTTCGAGTTATGGCTGGAACCCGGGTTTTTATGCAAAGTGTCTACACACACACAGACACTATTTTTTTATATATAGTAGGATTAAGAAAAAATTAAGAAAATGAATTCTTGGTTCAAAAATCAGGAGAATCCATGTCGTAATGGTCGCGATAAGTGCGCGATAACTGCCTGGCGATAGGAGCTAAACGTCGCCAAGAGCGGCTTTTGCCAGTGATTTTTCTTTCGATATATCGAGATTTGGAACATTTGGATTTTCCAGTTCCAAAGAAAGAAAGAAGAAGAAGGCGGAGCCGGCTGGCGCCATAATACACGCTATCATTCCCTAATCAAAAGGCACGTATAGGAAAATTAGTACGCGGCGCTCACATGTACGCGGAATTGTCCACGGACGGTGTAATTTGTACTCTCCCGTTTGGAGAGTACAAATTACACCGTATATAAATGACGCTTTATCCCGAAAGTTGAAAAAAAAATGAAAATGTTCTACGAAAAATTGCGCATCTTTTCGGATCAAGATACCGAAAATCAGGGGGGACCAGGGGTGGAGGCGAGGGACCTGGTGTCAGTTCAAGAGCGGTGACTGCCGGGGGTGATTACTGGCGCGAAGCGCCAGAAAATTTTTCCTGCGGGCGGAAAAGCTCGGAAAATTGACAACACTTGGGCAGCAATGACATAATACCAGATATGTAAGTACTAACTAGGGAAGCCCGCATAGACCCGAACCCAGAATTGGCTGAAAATTTTTGTTTGTTGGTCCCACATTTTGTGGCATTTTCAGAGTTTGAAAGGAATTTAATTCTTTTTGTCCTGGCTGCCCCTCCCCCCGAAATCCGGCGTGCCCGAAAAAAATGTAAGGGTCCCGCTTATCCCCAGCCCAACTTTTTTTTGTCGGTCCTGGTGGGGGGTAGTAATCAAATATAAAGCGTTTTCACATTGTTTTTAGCAAAATTTAAGCCTACTTGAATCGGAAAAACTTTTTAAAAAGTTAGAAATACGCTTTAAAAAGTCGAAAATTTGGTGATTTTTGGGCCGAAAAATTGATTTTTCGAGCTAAAATTAAATTCTTTAATCAAATTTTGTAAAGTTTTTATGTTTAGGAATAGCTATAAACAATTTAGAAACACTTCCCCTATTTACATAAAAATTATAGGCTTGGGCGGAAAAAAGTTCGGTCCCAAATTGTACAAAATAGCTTGTAAAATGGCTCGATTGCTTTATTTTGGAAAAACCTTAAGTAGATGGAAAATGCGCCTTTTCGAGCAGCTACAATCGAACGCTAACCGGGGGTCAAAGTTTTTTTTTAACAACAAAAAAAACTTTGAATATGGTTTTTCGGGCTATAAAAAATGCTCCTAGTATATTTTTCGGCCCTCTATGGAACGGCGTTTTCAAATCAATTTTCAGGAATGATAAGGACCGTTGACATCAGGCACGGCATCTCAGCCAAAGCTTTTCGCCGCAATAAAGGGCCGCCGGGAAGAGAGCAAAAGGGTCGCTACGGGGGACTCCCACGTACGTCGCTACTCTGGGGGGGAATGGGTATTGCCTCTTTCCAAGTCACCGTTCAAATTCCCGCCAACAAAACTTGCTACTTTCAAAGCCTTGGTCCAATTCAGAGATGAATTCAGTCGCCTTTCTATTTGGTCACATTCGAAAGAGCGCATTTTGTTCTACAAATCTGGAAATCGACTTTTTCAAATTACAATCTAGGTAAAAAGTTATAAGCGTTCAAAGCATTTTCTCGTAGCATTTTTGGCCCCCCAATTAAATGTCGTAATTGCGGGTCCTGAGATGCCGTGTCAGGCGGCTATCGTGGCAGCAAATCTCCCACGTGTTTGACAGATTTGAACCAGATGAACTGATCGCTGAAAATCAACCTAAAATGTTTCACATTTTTTTTTGAAGACCGTGAAATTCCGTGATTTTGCAGACAAGCCGAAGATGGGAAATGAAAACTCGCGGCGTTTCGGAATCGTTTTTGTTTGGCCGACGGTATTTATTAATTCAAAATTGCAAAGAAATATGGAGAAAAATGGCTGTTCATGGGCACTGTTCAGATTGTTGTCTGGACGGTCGCGTCATCGAACATAATCGAAATGCTTATAATGCATGATGCGGCCTTTACCATTGCAGATGCCCTGCGATACATAATCAATGCACCTGAAAAGATACATTCGGTTAGAGTGTAGTTTACTTTTATATCTAGGCTCCCTGTTCATCTACAGGTGTGTCAAGTACAGGGTGTCCCAAAAAAAAATCGACCCCCCTCTAGCGGGCCGGAGAAAGGTCCGATCGGGATGGTTTTTACACTATTCGAAAGCCCTCGGAAAGACGAGAAAATAAGTGCTTTTCGTTTTACAAATTTTTTTAGCCCGCGCTCCATATTCAACGATTTCTCAAAAAGAGTAAAATCAGCATCGTTATGTTTGCTTTAGCAAGCAATTAGCATGCTGCAATTGCATAAAATTTGCAGTTTTCATGGATTTTCGGCCTAAATTTAGTGGATTAAAATGACTATAAAGAAGAACAAGAAGTGCTTGTTTTCTCGCCTTTTCGAGAGCTGTCGATAGATACCGAAATCGTCACAATCGGACATGATGGCGGCCCGCAAGAGGGGGTCGATTTCATGAAAAGCGCGGTGTTACCTACCTGGTTCATGACATTTGGGCTGGTAGTAGTGCGATCGATGTACCGCATAAACCGCCTAAAATACGGGGTGAGGAAGGCGCGATCAAAAGAAAACAAATTATAAAGAAAAGAAATCACGGGTGGACGAACGGACGTCGTCCACGCGGCATTTCTTTCCGGTCGTAGTCCGACATTTCTCAGCAAAATATTGTAAAACAAAAAAGTTGAAATTACGGTTTATAATTCCGATTCCACTGGGATTTTGACGGATTTCCACCTCGAAATGTTTAGTAAAAATGAAGAGGGCACTTTTTTCCAGCCGGAGGAATTTTTTGATTTACGAAAATCCTACTATATATAAAAAAATAGTGTCTGTGTGTGTGTGTGTGTGTGTGTGTGTGTGTGTGTGGTGTGTGTGTGTGTGTGTGTGTGTGTGTGTGTGTGTGTGTGTGTGTGTGTGTGTGTGTGTGTGTGTGTGTGTGTGTGTGTGTGTGTGTGTGTGTGTGTGGTGTGTAGTGTGTGTGTGTGTGTGTGTGTGTGTGTGTGTGTGTGTGTGTGTGTGTGTGTGTGTGTGTGTGTGTGTGTGTGTGTGTGTGTGTGTGTGTGTGTGTGTGTGTGTGTGTGTGTGTGTGTGTGTGTGTGTGTGTGTGTGTGTGTGTGTGTGTGTGTGTGTGTGTGTGTGTGTGTGTGTGTGTGTGTGTGTGTGTGTGTGTGTGTGTGTGTGTGTGTGTGTGTGTGTGTGTGTGTGTGTGTGTGTGTGTGTGTGTGTGTGTGTGTGTGTGTGTGTGTGTGTGTGTGTGTGTGTGTGTGTGTGTGTGTGTGTGTGTGTGTGTGTGTGTGTGTGTGTGTGTGTGTGTGTGTGTGTGTGTGTGTGTGTGTGTGTGTGTGTGTGTGTGTGTGTGTGTGTGTGTGTGTGTGTGTGTGTGTGTGTGTGTGTGTGTGTGTGTGTGTGTGTGTGTGTGTGTGTGTGTGTGTGTGTGTGTGTGTGTGTGTGTGTGTGTGTGTGTGTGTGTGTGTGTGTGTGTGTGTGTGTGTGTGTGTGTGTGTGTGTGTGTGTGTGTGTGTGTGTGTGTGTGTGTGTGTGTGTGTGTGTGTGTGTGTGTGTGTGTGTGTGTGTGTGTGTGTGTGTGTGTGTGTGTGTGTGTGTGTGTGTGTGTGTGTGTGTGTGTGTGTGTGTGTGTGTGTGTGTGTGTGTGTGTGTGTGTGTGTGTGTGTGTGTGTGTGTGTGTGTGTGTGTGTGTGTGTGTGTGTGTGTGTGTGTGTGTGTGTGTGTGTGTGTGTGTGTGTGTGTGTGTGTGTGTGTGTGTGTGTGTGTGTGTGTGTGTGTGTGTGTGTGTGTGTGTGTGTGTATATATTTGCATACACTTCCGTTTGGATGTTCCGCACCTACAGGGTCAGGGAAGCATTTTTTCGGTAGGGAAGAAACGTCATAGGGTAAAGGAGGGGCTGGAATCGACTGCACACACATAAAATCTTTGAAAAATTGCTATTTTCGCTATTAAAATTAGGCTTTTGTAAAATTTTCAGTCAACCTCTTTGTTAGGAAGCAATTAGCATCCGCCGGAAGTGGAAATGGCTCATAAAAAGGAAGAGAGGGCGCGCTCTTCATTTTTTGGTGATCGGTTTTCGGTAATTATGCAAAGTCAATACTTTCATAGGTCCTAGACGGGGCCAGGGTTGAAAAGCCGCGAAGCGGTTTTTCAACCCTGGTTACTTCTAAATTTGGACTTTTTTTCACTTTTTATTCCCAAAATCGGCAGAAACCGGCCTGAAAATGACAATTTTTCGGCAAATTACGGAAATTGGCATGCTAATTGCGAGAACATAGCTAAAAATCGGTACCGGCGTCGCCAAAAAAATAGAGTTTTTTAGCTGTAATTGTTTTGATTTACAATATTTGGACACCCTGTATTTTAGCGATACCTCGAGAGCCACTGTCAGGCGATCTGCCTAACTCAGAATTGTGGTTATTTTATGGTCCGATACACCCCTTTGCAAAGTATGGATGTAACATGTAATACGTCCAAATGCCGGAGGGGTGCTTTATGTGGGGACACTCTGCACGCCCACTGAACACACCGGCATATAGCGCTCATGGGCGTCGCGTATCCGCGAGATCTCGTCCTGATCATCGACTTCATTCAAACGTCTGCCCAGCACCAGTTTTTCCACTTCTTTCTAAAATCGTGTAATAATAATCATGCATCAACTATAATAATTTTGCCGTGGTCTTTTTCCGTCCGTGTGAAGCCGAATTCAACTCGAAGGGGAAAGGAGCTAGAGCTCAGGTCTCTTCGGATTCGACGAGAGCACGGTCGGAAACCACCATAATGATAACAAAAGTAGAAAAAGTTTTCGATTAAATATTAAATTTAACTTGTGACCCGCTTACAAGGAAACGTTTTTGAGGGACATCCCAGATTGGTAATCAAAGCTAGCTCATTGGATGGAAAAAAAATTCTGAACAAGATGGCGTTTTCCAAATTTCCTTAATCGCCGACATGTTCGAGTTTGCAAAAATTCCGAAAAAATTTAAAAAAACCAGGGTTGAAAAGCCGCTCGGCGGCTTTTCACCCCTGGGCCTCGTCTAGGTACGATCACAAAAATAAATACTTTGCATATTCTGCCCAAATCCCGCTAACAAAAATGGGAAATCTCCTCTGTAGCCTGGTTTTATAGGCAATATCCACTTCCGGCGCATGCAAATTTTGCCTAACAAGTGTCCTTTCACAAAAACCAAAATTTAATGTCGAAAATCGTAAATTTTGAAAAATCTAATAAGTCGGCAGTCATCTCCACTTCATTACGCATCAAATGACGTATCAAACATGTCCGAAAACTTCTTCCCTGACCCGTTATGAGCGGAACATACATCCGGAAGTGGATGCAAATCTACACAGACACACGCACACTAGTTTTTATATATAGTAGGATTACAATTTTTGGCCGAAAATTCGCAAAAATGGCCCAAAATTCATCAAAATCGGGCCCGATTCGGGCCGAACGGGCCCGGCACAAACACCCGGGCCCGGCCCGGATCTCCAAATCCAGGCCCGGGCCCTGCCCGTTGTCAAGGCCTGCTTATAGCCTCGCTCGGAGACCCCGATCGGCATGCCGGCGTGCTCTATTGGTGGTGCGCCTGCCTAACAAAGTTTTGAATTTTTTTACGCACGGGTTCGATGCCCAATTTAAGGAAAACTTTTGCTTTTCTAATCGATCATACTCGAATCGTTTCGACAGTATTCAAAACGTAAAAAGAAAGCGAATTACGATGGGAAGCTCAGCGGTTAAGGAGATTCCTGTGGCACTCTTGCAAACCTTTTCTCAACGTGTTTAGAAATTCCTGCTGTTCCTAGTTGTTGTTTTTGTTTGACCAGAAATCGTAGCCAATCGGGTGAGGAAGCAAAAAGCCAAAGTTTTCGCCAACTCTGAATCGAATCTGCGCGTAAAAAACCCAAAAGTTTCATAGGCAAGCGCACTCCCAATTGGTCACGCCGGTATGCCGATCGGCGTCTCTGAGCGAGACTATAAGGCCACTCTCCAAGTAAGCCGAAATGGCGGATCAGACGGAAAATAACTTCAAATTAGTCGTTAAAATTATCCTTCTCGAACGTGCCGGCGATTAAAGGGCTAGTTCAGCCAATAAAACAAAAGACGTTCCGCGGCCGGGGGTCGAACCCTCTCTGCGTTTTTGTGTCTGCGCCTCTCTCATTTCCCCGATGTCTAATAGCTGCCGTAATGGGGGACTGTTCGGGCGCACTGTGCCTACGTCCACAGTTTCCCAAGGTACCAGCCCAAGCTCTAAAAGTTGAACTAGCCCTTTAAGCAATTTTGGAAAACGCCATGTTGTTCAGAATTTTTCTCTATCTCTCTTTTTTCACGAAGTGGCTGTAGTCAGCTGATAGAACGGAGCAAAATTACCTTGAGCACTTTCGTTTCGCCCCGTCTCGGGTTTCGAAAGTTGATTGTGTAGATGGTGCCGGGTGTTAGTTCTGCACCTCTGGACAGAATTTCCTAAAATCACCTTGTTTCCACCAAACCAATAGTGATTTTACGACCATGTTTTTTTTGGGTTTTTTTGCGTTATCAGGGGGGACAAAATTTTTCTTAAAATCCATTTTTTTCAAATACGGATAGCGGGACTATTATTTTCAAACATAAAAAATTTACAAATTTTTATGGTAAGATGCATAAAAAAAAAATCGATTGTTCAACCATAGGCAAATGTCGAAAAATCCCGAAAAACGAGCTGCGATCGACCGAAAAAGGCCTTTTTAATTAATTTAAAAATCAGGGTCACGGCAATGCAGGTTTTTCGGGTTGAAATTAAATCCCCTAGTATAATCTTTGTCGCTCTATCCGATGGAATGCATGAATAGGTACCACGAGGCCGCAGAAGGTCATATCGGTCCCCCTTCCCGTTATTTGCCCTCCCCCCCCCCCCGTTCAGCGACTTTTACCTCACATGTCTGCTCTTGATTGGGGCAGCTGATATTGAGTTCAATTGAGCATTGCGCTTTAGGGTTTTTTTTTGGATTCCGAGAGTTAACCGATAGACAAACCCGAAGGATCCGCAAGCAATCATCCACCCCGCCACCATCACACACGAATGCTCGCGTTGCCCATTTTGCCAGTTCAATCCGCTTTGCCAATTGCTCGTCTGCCATCCCCTAAAAGTATACAATGGTGCTTGAGACCGCCAAACGCCAAACGCCAATTTCCCAAAATCCGGACAGTCAGAAACCTCAATTTTAGAAACAATTATGGGTAAACGACCGGAAATATGACATTCTGGCTGTCGGCATTTGTTTTTCAAGTTGCTGTTTTTTAGGGTTTCTGTGCCCGGACACTTCCCCTATGATTTGAGGCCCCAAAACCGGTTGGCCCGGTCAGGATGAGTGTTTTTTTCCAGTATTAGACCAAAATGGAACAAGCCTGAAAAAAAATTTATATACAAACTTAGATTTTCGGCGAGTTGGTTTTCGGCGAGATGGTCCGATACCGGTAAAGCCTATATAAAGGGACCCAGGAGCGCTTTTCATTTTTTTTTGTCTTATCGAAATCCAGAAAAATCATGCAACGTGGAGAATATTGTAGGGTAAGACGGGGTCAGGGTTGACCAGTCGCGACGCGGCTTTTCAACCCTGGTTTAAAGGGCACGTTCAGGGACATTTTTTTGGAAAAAAGCAAAGGTTTTTGCCGCGGCCGGGGGTCGAACCCGGGACCCCCGCTCGGGAGGCGCGGATGGATACCAGTCAGCCACAGCTACAACCTGGCGAGGGGCCGAGGGGCGCCCCACGCCGCAAAGGAGCGGAATGGCCTGTCCCAGCACGGGCAGGCAGTGCGCGCGGTCCCCACGTCCATAGGGTGTACACGTTGGGACGAGTACACGGCCCCTCCCTGAACGTGCGCTTTAACGATTAAAATACAAACGACATCCGGATTTTGATGTTTGCATCGGTTTGCCCGCTACATAATTGATCACGACTCGAATTTTCGGGACCATTACATTTCCGCAACGACATTTCAGCAACGTTTGAAAAGAGTGTGGAGGGAGGACAGGGACACTCGCCTCTCGCCGCACTCTTTTCGACAGTTGCTGAAATGTCATGGTCCCGAATTTTCAGAAGATTTAAAGCTGTGATCCCCGACCGGATAACTTTTTGACCGCTACTTTCAACGGGGTGTCCCAGTAAAAAAAGGTGACGCTGGCATTTTGCTATTTCAAATCCGATCGATGTGAAATTTTTAACAGAGCTGCGGAAGGGAAATTGAAATGTTCACAAAAACTTTCAGCCCGATCGGTACAGTAGTTTTCGGGTTTTTGCATAAATGCGGTTTTTCCAACACGTGCGCTTCATTTATTCGACTATCTTTTTGGGGGTTTCATCAATTAACATAAATGTCCGGATCTAAATCCTTCATTCTTCCAAAACATTGGGGTTGCGAATACCTTGTTAAAGTTACTTAAAGGGGCTACGAAATGCCAAAAATGAGCGACGGCCCGAAAATCGGAGCCCTGTACGTCGGAGGCCTCTGTACGCCCAGGGGCCGGGAAGCTCGCAAAATTTGAAATTGCCTGTTGTCACCTCGAAATCACGTTCTCGGCTGTTTCTGGGCCAAATTTGATGATTCAAACACCAAAACTATTTAAAATTGAGTGAGGATTTCAAAAATTGGCTCAGAATGCGCGAATTATAGTGTTTTCACAAAGAAACCGGGCAAAAACAACTTCGCGCCAAAATCGAAAGTGTGAGGGCTCTTGTCTCGCAGCGCCCGCTGGCAATTTGCCAGAAATCAATGAGCCCTCCCAAAAGGGCTTTGATTTGGCAGTTCAGAGCCCCTTTAAATAGCCTTTTGCCATGCCGAATTTCGCGACATAAAAAAATTTCCTGGGATAACCAAGGGTCGGCGCCAGGCCTTGACAACGGGCCGGCCCAAAAGCTAAAATCTAAGGCCCGGCCCGGCCCGTTGTCATATTCCAAAGCTCTTCCGTAAAATCCGGCGGAATCCAGGTTAAAAACGTCAAGTAAAGTTTATTTTTGCTATGACTCGAAAACTACTGTACGGATCGGGCTCAAAGTTTTTGTGAACATTTTAATTTCCCTTCCGCATCTCTGTTGAAAATTTCACGTCGATCGGATTTGAAATAGCAAAATGCCAGCGTGACCCTTTTTATTGGGTCACGATCGAAGATCGGAAATCGTGTTCCTCAAATAAACCTGACAACTTGCTGTATTTGCCAAAGTCAGCCCGGCAACTACAGCACGTGAAAATACAATAAACCCACCTCGTGCAGTCCGTAGAGAGTCCATACCTAAAAATAATTGTTGCTCGGAAGTGGGAAGCGGTAAGAGTGGGAAACCTATTAATGCGCCGAGTATTATAAGTCTGGGTTTTTTTAGCTAATTTTTGCTGGTCCAAAGTGGTCCGGCATTAATTACAGTACGGCATTATTAGGAAGCATAGCTAAAAAGTTACGAAGGGGGTAAACTAGACTTTAGCATGGGATGCAGAAAAGCCATGTCCGCGATGGGATTTGCTATTACAAAATGCATAAAATGACGATGCCTAAAATTTCAGAACGCCTAAATTTCATAATGTCTCAACCTACAGCGAGACGTTTTTGAGTGTCGTCGGAACCTCGGGACAAGACCAAGCCTTTCTTGTGCAGACAATGTGTAATTAACAGCCGGTACAGCCGGTACAGCCCATTTTAGACAAAGCCAGCTGGTGCATCTTGTTCAGCAAAAATTCTCTATCAATTAAGCTACTAACTCAATAATTTTGGAATTATATTGATGCGGCTTACATTACGAATTCGGAAATTTATAGATTCTGTAATTTAGGCACTTTGAGAATGCATTCCAAAATTTATGCATTCTAAACTTTATGTATTCTGAGATTTATGCATGGCGAGTTTGGACATTATGGAATTACGACATTCTGATTTTACGCATTCTGATTTTAGATGCGCCGATAAATATTCTGTAGTTTTGCCATCGGATGGATTCAATTTCAGCCCGAAAAACTACATTTATAAAACTTATTTATTATACATTTATTGATAAAACTTTTTGGGAATCTGTCAAAATCTCGAAAATCAGAATCTCGAACTTGCAGAATCGAATTTTCAGAACCTCGAAATTTACATGGTCTAAATCAGCATTATAGGCGGCGAAAATTGCACGCATACGTCCTGAACCCACTACGCATATTTCGAGATCCTGAAAATTCGAGATTTTGATAGGTATGCAAACTTCTTAGCTAAAAAAATTACTCATTTTAAATTATGATATTTTCGGCTGGAAGTCTATCCATTAGTATATTTTTGGGTGCTCTATCGAGCGACATAGGCAAAATGTCGAAAAAATCCCGAAAAACGACGTTCCTTCCCGTTATCCCAGCTGCGATCGACCGGAAACGGTCTATTTTAATTGATTCAAAAATCACGGTCACGGCAATGAAGTTTTTTTCGGGCTGAAATTAAATCTCCTAGTGTAATGTTTGACTCTCTATACGATGACATGCATGAATAGGTACCACGAGGCCGCATAGGGTCTTATCGTCCGCCCCCGTTAAAGGGATACCCAATGTTTTGGCAGCAAATATATAGTTATATATTCCGGGCAGTACAACTGACGCTCGAATTCCGCGCGGTAACGGGGGGCCCATTGCCGCACGAAATTCGGACCCTTTCCCTCTTGTGGCGTCCCCATGGGACCCAATGGCTTGCCACTATGGCCTAATGGATAGCATCCAGGCGTACAAAACGGGGGTCCCGGGTTCGACCCCCACCCGCGACATGGTTTTTGCTTTTTGACTCTCGGAAAGGTTGGGCATCCCTTTAAGCGACTTTTACCGCACGCGCATGCACGCCGTAGCGTTCTGCTCTTCTCTCGCTATCCACCATCCATCCCCCCCACTCTGGTCGCTGACAGGCCAGACTCCAAACAAGGAAATATGCAAGTTGACTTACGTCAATGAAATTATTTGCCACAGACTCCGGTCTGCATCTGAGAAATTTAATGATCCCGGAAATGGCGTATGCATTAGAACCCGTCAGATCGCAGCGGCCGACGTGTCGAAGGGAGGCGACGAGCGGCTCGATCTACAGGGTGTCCAAATCAAAAAAAGCCGCTGCTCGGCGTTTGACCGTCTTCTATCCGTTGGAGTTGAACTTTTTTCCGGCAATGGTAACCCATTGGGGGGGGGCAATGTTCTCAAGAAAAAACACACAAAACAAGGTTTGTGAGGTGCCCAACTCTACCTGTTGAAGTGACCGCTTCCTCTGTCGCCGGCCGAGCGGTACATCCGGTAGACCGAATGCCCGCATCCACTAGATTTCGGATATTCGAAGTTCACGGCTCCCAAGCGTCAGCTCAACGGCGCCAGCCAAAAGGCGCCCCTCATTTCGGCTAGTCTGCTAGTGGACTCAAAAACCGTCAGCAAAAAAAAAAAATCTAGATCAGAAGTCTCGATTGCCAGGCTCGATTTTGACGCACCACTATGAAAAGAAAGAGCAAAGTCCCTTCTATTTTTTGAGCGATCAATTAGGTTACAGAAGGGAAAGTTACAGCGTGTTGAAAGTAGAAAACTCCCCCCGTTTTGCGTTCTATTGTTTTGGTGTTTTGGAGCGTGGCGTAACCTAGCCCCCGTCTCCCCTCTCGTGCGCGTTTTTACTAAAGGATGAATAGCCGCGGAGCTGCTTTTATGTCACATTATTTCAGGCTGAAATCAATTCTCTTAGTATATTTTTCGTGGCCCTATCGAATGGCGTTTGCGAGCTCCCACAGTAAATTAAAAAATATTACAATAATGAGTCCCCCCTTATTTTATCCCCCCCCGGTTATCCTATAAGTGCCGCGATTGTAACCCTCGAAATCAGATTTTTTTTGGCTTTGAGAGTGGAAAATTCGAAATCAGCAGGTAATTTTAGATATAGTAAGTTGACAACTAAATATTTGCCAGCCAGGGGTTTTCAGGAAATCGGCCTAGAAAGCCGAAAAATGGACGTGATTTAATGGATTTGGTATCAGAATCTCGCATTTCATAATTTAGCAATTTCAGAATCTCGCATTTTCAACAACTTAGCATTTTCACAATTTCGCACTGCCTACGGACTAGAGTGTGTCGTTTGCAAATACAAATCCACTTTGAATAAATAAAGCCGGTGCTAATGCACTTGGGGGCGGGCAGTCCAAAATTGGTAGTAAGGGGTTACGAGACGCTCCGCTTAAGTTACTTGGTTTTCGGCTTAAGCCTAGGCTTAACTTAGCTTTAACTAAGCTTACCTTAAGCTTAGGCTTAAGCTTAAGCCCAAGCTAAGCTTAGCTTGGCCCAAAGCTCAGCTCAGGCTTTGTTTGTATGAAGCTAAGTCTAGGCTTAGGCTTGGCTTAGGTTTTCCGGAGGCTTCGAGTTTAAAAAACGGCATTTGGAGCATCTTGTAGTCAAAATTCGGACTGCCCCCCCCAAGTGCATTAGCACCATTAATCCAAATAACGGATATTCAAATAATCCAGAACCGTTATTTGGATAACCGTTCTCCCGGAGTGCCGATTCAAATATATTTAAACATGTTCAAATAAACCGAGCTTTGTCAAACCGCTCTCCTTTTGACAGAACCTAGTCAAATCTTTCATTCAAATAAGAAATGTCGAATTTCGAGACGGGTTGGGCTAAAATATCAACCGCAAAATATCGCACAGTCCTGCAAACCCGTTTTGCAGAATGCCGACATCAAAAATATCGACAACAAAAATGCAGACACAAAAATTTTCTATATAGATGTCAGCATTGCATTTCGAAACAAAACATCCCGTCGGCATTTTCGCGTTTCGGCATTTTCAAGTCGGCATTCTGACAGTTGTTATATTGCGCTTGGCGAGCCGATAGGCACTTTGGCTGTCTACCGCTAATTCCGATCACCGAAAAACCGGAAACCCTAACAATCCCGAAATACCGAAAAATACCGTCATTTTTTTTACTATTCGGCATTTTAGCATCTAGAAAATGGCCCGTGTTGATATGCTAACATCAACAAAGGCCCTGTTGAAATGTGGTGCGATTTTTCAAATTTCGTTGAGCTTGTCCAGCTCGGATTTATTTGAATAACCAGCGCCCAAAACCCGCTTCGCGGGCCTTGGGCGCTGGAATGCCGCCTTTGCATGAACAATTTGACTTTTCCATAGCTCGGGTCCTTCGGACCCTCTCCCCCTACCGCCCACACACGCGCGTGCAACCGGGAAGAATGAGGAAACTTCTATTTTTTCACATTATGCAAACTACCCTCAAAAATGAGTAAACCCGGCTTTAACTTTGTAAACTTGTATTTTATCGCAATTCTGAAAACGCCATCGGAAGGAGGAGGGTCGATTCCCCCGGGTGACGAAGAATTAGCGCATTTTATCCAGGGGATGGCCCTCAAATCGGGCCTCGAAAGTGACATCCACACACACACAGAGATACACCCCAAAATTATATAAGGTAGGATGTTCAAATATACATATTTGAATCGGAGCGAAGGTGGTTCCGTTATTTGACCGATTATTTGAAGAATTTCCGGGATGCCTTCAAATAATTCATTTGAGCGGGCTCGACTATCCTACCTTATATAATTTTGGAGTGTATCTCTGTGTGTGTGTGTGTGTGTCCGTCGCCAGGGAGGGCTACTTTGCATAATTCCAAAAAATACAAACTTCCTCATTCTTGCAAGTTGCACGCGCGGGTGTGGTCGGAGGAAGGAAGGGGTCCGAAGGACCCAAGCTATCGGAAAGTCAAATTTCTCATGCAAAGGACGCATTCCAGCGCCCAAGGCCCGCGAAGCGGGTTTTGGGCGCTGGTATACAAATAATTATTCAAACACGACACACTCTACTACGGACTAACTGCATTTCCGGAGCTACCCTGGATGCCCGAAAAGCCCTGAAAATGTGAGATTCTGCAACTGCGAGATTATGAAAGAGTCCCGATTTACTGGTGTCAGTTACGGTCTACCGAAGGACGCACCCCCCCATACATCCAGTTCCCCGAGCTTCGCCGCATGTCCATGTCCACAAAGGGACTCGGGTAGATTGACTGAAATCGTATCGATTAATTGGGAATTGCTGTCAGAATGTCGAAATTTCACAATGTCGAAATTTCATAATGTCGAAATTTCATCACGTCGAAATTTCATAATGACGAAATTTCATAATGTCGAAATTCAGAATGTCGAAATTGACATAGGCCAATATTACCGGTGAAACCGCCAAATCCTAGCCAAAAAATTTTTTCCACTTTCTATTTTTTTATCTTATTTCACGACAACATTTTTTTGCCTAGAATTCGGGGACTCACACTCACCTATGAAATTTCGACATTATGAATTTCGACATTCTGAACATAAGCCATTAATTGGCGATAGCGCTACTTTCGGCTACGGTTTACTGATTTCCAGTCATTTCGCATAATCTTCATTTCGCATACCGCCATTGCGCATAATTGTGTTTTGCATAATTTTTATTCCGGAACGGTGATTTCGCATAACGCTTATTTCATACCAGGGTTGAACAACCGCTTCGCGGCTTTTCAACCCTGGCCCCTTCTTCTCCAATGATATTCTTGGCTTTGCATAATTTTCCTGGATTCGGATGACGAAAAATGGAAAATGCTCTTGCCGTCTCTTTAAATAGGCTGCCGCGACTTCCGGTGCATGCTAACTTGATCCTAACAAATTGGGTGTCCGATTTTCCATGAAAAACTTAATTTTAGTGTCGAAAATATCATATTTTGCAAAATCTAATATATGTGCAGTCATCTCTAGCCCATTACGCACCTAATGACGTATCGAACATACCCCTAAGTACTTCCCTTCTTGAGATACTACTGGAACACGGTGACGGAAGTTGCATGCAAATGCACACACACACACACACAGACACTATTTTTTTATATATAGTAGGATAACGCTTATTTCGCATAATTTTGATTTCGCCTAACCGCCATTTCGCATAATTTCCGCTATTGGCAGCCGATGGTATATATAAAACTCTATCTTAAAAGGCACGTTCAGGGACGTTTTTTTTCGAAAAAAGCAAAGATTTTCGCCGCAGCCGGGGGTCGAACCCGGGCCCTCCGCTCGGGAGGCGCGGATGGATGCCAGTCAGCCACAGCAATAACCCGACGAGGGGGCGAGGGGCGCCCCACGGCGCAAAGGAGGGGGAATTACCAGTCACAGCACGGGCAGGCAGTGCGCGCGGTCCCTACGTCCATAGGGTGTATACGTTGGGACGAGTACACGGCCCCTCCCTGAACGTGCGCTTTAATAATCAGCAACCGATGAAAAACAAGCTACCTGCGCGGTTTTTTGCCCCCTTCCTTGCAGATATCCCAAGCTTGCTCAAAACCTATGCATTACCCATGGGTATACGTCTGTTTTGAGGGGCTTTGCCAAAAATCCTACGTTGCAGTTAGTATCTATGTGGAAACTAGCAAATCTGACCGCAAGCCTATGTCAAAAGCATTACTTTGACTGCAGATCTGAACAAACAAACTGAACCGTAGCCAAAAAGCTTTAGCTTTTGAGCTTCGAGGGCCGGGGGTGTAATCTTGCTTCGTCACGGCGGTACCAACAAAACTTACCCCTATCCAGGAGGTGTTCAGTCTCAATATAAATGAATGGATGGAGCCAATCCGTTGGAGCAGTCGATATAACGGACGGAAGAAACGAGCCCATCGCACGCGATACGCTCTAAAGTATCGAATGCTCCTATTGACGGCTGGATAAAACTGAGCGTTATTCTTTCCCAATCATATCCCCCATTAAATAAACATAAGCGCAACACGGAGAATTTTTCGAGCTATCAACCTTGGTGTGAGTGAAATTTGAAAATAAAAATCCACTGAATACTGTCACCAACTTCTTTGGTGTGGGTGGTGGAGAGAAAAAATGAAAAGAAAAGTTAAAGGGATAGGGGCAGCATAAGGCAATCGATTACGCACGAGAAAGAAAATATCTCTGCGCCTCTCCTCTGGGCGCCCTCTCTCGCCGCTGCATCTGTTGAACCCCCCCTTCCCAAGGGGGGTTCAACAGATGCCGTCCTCATCTTTTTAATGTAGTCCTTTGGGATGCATAATGGAAGCTTTCGACCAAAAAGCAAAAATAAAATTCGTGAGCGGATCCGTACCAGCGTTACCATTCCCAGACGCCGACCACTAACCCACAAGACTACCTGAGCACGGCGGTTGGGGTGTGAGGAGGGCTTATGAAGGTATCGCCAAAAAAACTTTAAACCGCTGTAACTTTATTAAAAAAAGGTATCCTCAGCTAAAAGTTACATCAATCGATTCGTCTCG